TTAGTTGGAATTGATATTTAAATCTTAATTATAATCATTTAAATCCAACTGAATGTATTTCTTTCATTACTTTTCCACTGACTGCCAAACCAGTAAGCCTTGAGGCATTAAACTGTGAGGACTTTAAAAAAGGCCCTATATTGTTTACATGTAGCTGCTTTGGCGGAGGGGAGTGGTAAAGTTTCAAATTTGGTTAAGAGTATGTAACACAATAATAATAATGATAATAATGTTAATAATAATAATAATGATAATTCATTTTTTCCATCCTTTGTTGCAAATGCCTCTGACCCAGAGCCATTATTGGAACATACCAGAATAGCCTTTTTGTTAATGAAAGGCCTCAGTGGTGCACAGATATGATATGAAAATAATTTTCTCTTGTGTGAGGCATCAGTCAATTTAGGAATTACCAAGTGTAAAATTTCAAGTCAATATGGTCCAGAAACTACTCATTTTTGTAGAGGGTGGAGCAGGGAGGGGTGGAGAGGTCGAAATTATTAGGTTTGCGTACCGTTTTCACTCTTTGCACCCTGAACACTCAGTCACGCACACTTCAGATGGATGCTCAACACAACAGCGTCAAAAAATAATCAAGCAAATAACTAAGACGTGCAAAGCTTCCACGGTGAATATAAATTTACCGCTATAAACAGTGAAAAGGCCTTACAGATTTTACACGTAGCTTCTTTGAAGGTACAACTTCCTATGACGTTCTAACAAGATTATCAAGTTGTCAAATACGTATTTTCATATGATTGATACCAATTGCTTTATTAAGTCGAAATAAGCTTAATGTCAAGAATAAATAAGCGGATTACCACACTTACGACGAATTTTGTGGTCCGTTAAAAAAATGAATGCTTGGTTCAATTACGTAGTTCACCGAAAGGTTAATTTTGTTTGCCTGCTAGGATTTCTTTTAACATTGAATACATTTTCAAGACCTGTACTCGACGAGGTGCACTTCTTGCGATTGTTCTGCAATCTAGCGAGTCCTTCGGAAAAACGTCACCGAGAGCAGAGCTAAGACACTATTCAGAAGCAAGTATTTTCTAGGTTTGAAATTCCCTTCGGTTCCATTTGACCGTGAGTAGAGTTTAGAATTCACGAAGAAAGCGTATTTTAGCCAAAGGCAGAAGATTCGTATTTGAACGGAGCGCAGCGAGATAAGGTAATATTCTTTCACGCGAAAATTAAAAAAAAAAAAAAGGGTTAATAGATAACTTCTCATTTGTTTTTTCTCGCGCAAGTAACAAAAATGTTCCCTTCCCTGTTCCCATCCAATCGCACTTCAACCAGTCGGGGGAGGTGAGTATAGAATTGTTAACAAATCATCAGAAGGCTTGGTTACCTGATTGAGCCTGGTGTCTAAGCTCCTTCAGAAAGTGATCCCAAAAAAAATTTCTGCCGCCCGTGTATGGCGCGCCTTTCCGGTCAATATTCAAACAACCTTAATATACGATACATCCATTACATTCCTTTGCCATATTTTTTATTTCCTTTATGTAGATATATTTTTTCGCTACTTTATTTTTCAGTTTCCTTCTATATTTTTTAAATCTCTTCCTATCAATTTAGATACACGTGTTTAACGCATCTATTTTCTATTTTTTCTCTTTATCTTATATGCGTTCTATATTTTTTATATTCATTCCATATGTTTTTTTCGTTCCGAGTGGGATTTTTTATTTTCTTTCTAATTAGTATGCAACACGTGATCACATGACCACGCTACACTTTTTGGGGCTGCCTGGTGTACCAGTACACGGGAGAATTCCTATTGTTTTCATATCCATACATGGAGTTGTGACGCAGTTCGTCAATGTTTCGTTCCTTTGTGTACCGGTACACGAGGACACAACCCACTTTTTCCATTCCGCCATTTTGGCGTTCGGCTATATGGAGGAAGAGCTATCGACTGCTTGTCGTGCGGCCGCGGATGCTTTAGAGATTTTAAGTAATTTGAGACCTGGTTTTACGAGAAATGTAATACCTCGGATGAATTCAACGTCAGTCTCTGTCAGTCAGCCGAACAACGGGGATCGTAAGGTAAACAACGAGGAACTTCTGTCGAACGAACTTGCCATTCAGTCCTCGACGTCGCCAGCCTCTAACAGTTCTATTCAAGCTCGGCTTGCCACTCTCTTTCCGACAATTGGTTCGAACCGAGCTAGTGGGAAAAGCACTAGTAGAAGACTAGCAAGGTCAAAGCAGACCATTAAGTCGACCAAAGGCCGCCCACCCAAGACACTTGTTTACAAGGATCTAGTCCTTATTCCCAGTCCCAAGATCAACAAAGTGCCTACACATACAACCCGACTTCAGTTAGAAGAGAGAGAACTTGTCTGCCACGAGTTTCCCTTTGACAAGAGCTGGGATGCACATTCCCTCAAAGCTGCTATATTGAATCGATTTCCAAAGCTTTTGCTATTTGAATATGTCAAGGTGGGTAACTTTGCGTTGTGATATAAGTTTAAACATTGTTCTACGTTTAATGCTTTAATAATATCATTGCTGTTCAGTGTGTACATTTGTTGTGGCTGCACTATTTTTAAATACGCATTTATACTATTTTGCCAAAAATTTTACCACATAAGAGGATACCTGCAGTGACGCGAGTAATGGACTTCGAATTTTTGGCAGAATTTGTTGGGTTATTTTAGATTTCCTCTGGTACTGCCCCGCTCCCACCCCTTTCTCCTTCCTTGTGATATAAGTTTAACTTAACTACTCTTTCATTAGATTTACCCTTGACTTTTGCAAGAAGCGTGCAAGTAATGTGTGTTTTTCTTAACCTAGCCATGCTATGGAAAGCTAATAACTCCTAAGCTGGCAGAAGGCATAACTCTGGATGCAGAAAGAGTGACCAGGATGGCTGGTCAAGGAGCTGTTTATGTTAGATCACTGGTGACTTTGGAATCTGAAGATGAGGGTGAAACTGAAGAGGAGCTAGAGAATTCAGCATTAGATAACAGTCCAAGGTGAACTTTTTCTTGTGAATTTTTGCACTGAACAAGATAAAACCTGTATAGATTTCTTTTAGCTTTTTTGCCTCACTGCAAAGGTAGCTTCCCGTTGCAGTGGAATCATCTTATATATGATAGACTGGCATCCCAGATCATGCTACTAGGCATGACAATGGCTTTTGTTGGAAATATTATCTAGTTTGTCTCCAAACAGATTTGTGTATTTATTTATTTTATTGGTTATTTATTTATTTATTTGTTTGCTCAGATCTTTATTCAATTGTTTGGCTGGACAGGACATAAATTAATTTGGTTTATTGCAACTCCATGTGATTGTGGATATTTGTATAAAGATGAACCTTCATAGTCTGTTACATCATTGCCAATTAGTTCCCTTTTTTATGGTTTGTGACAAGTTGATATTTCCTTTTAGTGTTAGTGGAGCACAAAGAAGCTCTCTGTTGCTTTCATTTGGGGAGAGTGAAGGGAGGCCAGATGCAGCTGTGGTGTCCCACCCTGCCAGGATGCTGCACAACCTTATTGTGTACCATTTCCAACTGAAGCAGAAACATCACATCAAAATACAGAGTTAAATGATGTAGAGACAGGCAGTAACTCTGATATTGTTCATGCATCATCTGAGCATGTACCTGTGTCTGTATCAGTACCTGTACCTCAACTGTTACCAAAACGTATCATCCAAGTGCACAGGCTAAATATTAAGAAGGATTTGATTGACTTATTCCGAGATCCATTAATTATGAGTCAGGACATAGAGATAATTGTTATTGATGCTAGGGGAGTTGAAGAAGTGGGCAGAGGTGCTGGGTTGCTCAGAGATGTTTTCTCTCTTTTTTGGAAAGAAACATATGATTCCCTTTTTGTTGGAGAAAATGAGCGTGTACCATTTGTAAGACATGATTATCAAAGGGATGAATGGGTTGCTGTTGGCAGAATCTTGGTGAAAGGATATTTAACCTGTCAATACCTACCAGTCCTTCTGTCTCAAACATTCCTTGCTTGTCTTTTTTGGGGGGAATCTGTTGTAACTAGTGCTATGCTGACTCAATCCTTTAGAAATTACATTTCAGTTGATGAAAAATGTTTGATTGACAAGTGCCTTGCTGGTGATATGAAGTGGGATGATGAAGATGAAATGTCCCAGCTTTTAGAAGTTTTTAGTAACTATGACTGTCGAATTATGGTAAATTCTGAGAATATTATTCAAGTTATTGAAGAAATAGCCCATAAGGAGCTGCTGCAGAAGCCACAGTATATTGCAGACTGCTGGAAGGATATAGTTTCCACACTCCTTCCTAGTTTTCCTGATTTTGCAGCAATTTCCAAAAGGTATGAATTGTTAATACCATCCACAAGCAAAATCCTTAGTTGCCTAGAGGCAAACCCTGAGAGTGATGGGGAAAGGGATGGCCTTAAGTTTCTCAAACGGTATATTAAGGGCCTTGACACGCCTCAGAAATTGTCAAAGTTTGTAAGGTTTATCAGTGGGTCTGAGTTAATGCTTTTTGACGCAGTCCAAGTAAATTTTACCAACTTATCTGGTTTGGGTCGCCGACCAATTGCCCACACTTGTAATACTGTGTTGGAGCTATCCTCGACTTATCAGTCATTTCCTGAACTTAGAGAGGAGTTCAGTGCAATACTTGCATCAGATTATTGGGAAATGGATATTGTGTAATATGCCTTGTGACAAAAAGAAGACCATTATGATGGCAAGCTGATAGAACAGACTGTTTATTCATTTTTGTAGTGAAATTATGTCTTTTAATTATGTCTTCCAGAAGAACGCTATTAAAAATCCGGCCAGCAGGTCTCGACCCATTAGAACTCAGCACGTTATGACCACGCCTCTCAATACAGGGAAACTATGCACGCCAAGATTACTAGTTCTACGATGGCCGGGCGATTTCAAAAAGATTGTTTCTAATATGAACTGATCCTCCTAATCGATTCATATAAGTACTTTCCAGCTATAAAATTAATTAAGAATTGCAATATTTATGGGACTCCTTATGGATGATGTGGTGGTGCATATTCTTCAACTTCTTGACCAAAGTCAGGAGTCTGGGTCAGGATGAACTGAGATTCTGTTTTCTCAGACGGTCTAACGGCTTCCAAATTGTGACTGTAACCGTATGAAAAGTACACCAACAAACCTGGAATGAACAATAACAACTTTTTACACTGGAACGTTTGCAACCATGACCAATATACACCAAGAAAAAAAAGAGGAAACTAATCCGGAAATAAATTAATAAAAACAAAAAAATAGAGAAGTTGGTCGACAGGTCAAGAAACTCAACTTTTCATGTGGGCAAAATTTATGCCAGAGTGCTATGCCAGAGAAAAGGCGCCCTGGGGACGAGGTTGCCTCATCTTCCACTCGACCCAGTCCTCGAGGCTAACATTCAAACATTTCATACCAATTTTCCATTACATACCTAGACACATCCAAATGCTAAACCTTATATACGTCCAATGATTCAGCGTCACCAAAAGCAAAGTATTGACAAATATCGTAAGGGCTGGAATGAACGGGACTCCTGGAACCATGAACGGGAATGTGGCAGAATTTCTAGGCTGCCTGATGATCAACGTCAAAGATGAGACGATCATTAAACCGAAGATACAGGAAAGAATGATTGCCCAGACCTCCCCCGAGCTCAGATATGACTGTGTTTGAGTAAGGCAGATATTTAGGGCCATTATGGATACAGTCAACAAGAATGCACCAACACGTGCATGGAAGCTTGTCGTACTGTCTGGTTCTGTTGTTACATTTGACGACTCCTCATCGTTGCTTTCGACTCGTTGGTAGGTAACCTCGTGACTAGCACCATCTTTGTCCTCAGTCTCGCCAGGACGGCAGCAGACCGACTGAAGCCATTTTCGGGTCCTTTCTTTGGTTCTGTCGTCGTCATATTTGACGATTTGTACTCCAGGAGTGTAACGCGTCACCAACACAGCAATAGCTACCATGGTGTACGACATTATGGTACCGATAGACAACAACTCCACCTAAAAATACATGTGAAAATGACATACCAGGAGTGAGGTGAAGATGGCTGGATATTGGCCGAGTTCTCTTTTTTTGCGTTTCCATGGATCGAGTCTATGAAAACACAAAAAAGGAACTAGCCTAATGTCCAGTCATCTTGACTGAACAAGCTTGGTCAACAAAGGATTTATTGTATCTATATATCGAAAGTATCTCGCTTTGTTTTAATAAAAGATTTAATGATGAGAGCCGGGAGAGAGAGCTTAATGTGTTTGCAGCAGAACAAACCCTCAAGAGTCGTTTATGTTTTCTTTGGTTTGACAGTCTTTTGCGCTTTTTGCGACTCTATCGCCGCTATTGTCCACAAATTACGAACTTTGTAAGTCTGCTCCATGCGACGTTTTTTAGTGCAGGATCGAGGCAGGCAATCCCAAGTGGGCAAGATGGGTCCATGATGCCCAGTTGGGTTGCCAATCAGAACACAGGATTTGCTTCATATTGCTCACGAACGATGCCAGCGATATGATACAGAAAGATATTTTAAGAATTAAAATTTCCCTCAGTATCTTTCTTAGTAAATGTCGAACGTTCTCTATAGGACCACAACGCGTTCAGATGGAAACCGTGTTTTTACGTTTTCCATTTTTAGGTGTCAATTCTAAGCTACGGTTGGCGTTAAAGAGAATTTTTGTCGTTGCTAAATGCTAAAAAAAGTTACCATGCGGAGAATAATTCAAATTCAATCCAAAATTCCATTCTACGGAATATACCCACTTCTACTAAATTATCTGTTATGTTAATAGTAACATTTCGACAGCTTCGCTAGTGAATCATGTTTAGACAGCTCTCGCGAGACTCGATTTTGCTTTCAGTTAAAGAAATTAATTCCAATTAAGAAACTAACCAGTTGCTTTACGTCAAGAAGTAAAGCAAGGATTGCAGCTAAACGTCCTTCAACCAAAACCGCACGAACTGGAACCTTTGTCTTCTCGTGCACATGCGCAAACCAGTTGAATATCAATCCGTCAGACGCCATGGAGTATGCAATACGTGGGCCTGCGAATAAGTTGGCCAGCAGGGAGCTCATTGTTGCACAAAGCCCACCTATTGCCACCACGTATTTGGCGCCGCTCAACCCACGTTGAACAAAAACCTCAGCCAGAGGAGTAAAGTGGCTCAGTTTATGATAAGGTATCATTAATGTAAGCACCGTTGCGACTCCAAAATACGCCAAGAAACTTATCGCAAGAGTAAGAATGGTAGAGAAGGGTAGCGAATGCTTGGGATTGATAGCTTCTTCTCCCGCCGATCCTATGACGTCAAATCCAACGAAGGCGAAAAAGCAGCTTGCCCCAGCTGCTAGAGTACCTCGAAACCTGTACGGGGCAAATTTTGGTTTCCAGTTCTCCCCATCGGCGAAGTAAAATCCAATAACGATGATGAACAAGATGACGGCTAAGTTTACGAAGGTTACAATTTTATTCACAAGAGATGATTTTTGTGCTCCCAGCGAGACAATAAAAGAAGCCGCCAAGGCCAGTGTGAATGCCAAGAAGTCAGGAAAGCTTCCAAGGCCAGAAACGTTCCACGTGGCTATTTCGTTCATAAAGAACTTGAATATATAACCCTGAGCAAATGAGTTGATATACTCGCTGCAGGCGCGCGCCAGGCTTGCAGCAGCGATGACATATTCTAGAATCATGTTCCAACCGAGAACGAACGCCCAAAACTCTCCAACAGTCGCATACGAGTACGTGTAGGCGGAGCCGGCCTTGGGAATACGGCATCCAAACTCCGCGTAACAAATCCCAGACAAAGCGGCAGCAACAGCAGCAATGAAAAAGGAGATAATAACAGCGGGCCCAGCGATGTCACGTGCTAATTCCCCTGTGACCACGTACAGGCCAGCACCTAACACACAGCCCACACCGAAAAAAGTGAGATCTGAGGTTGTAAGGCATCTTTTAAGGCGGCTCTCCGATAGCCAGTCTTCTGTAGGCTTTATACGTGTTAAGTTGTCACGCACTTTGGAGCAGCTGTTCATCGCTGTCAAAATAAAAAAAAAATTGTTTTTATCTAACGGTTACTTTCGATTCATTAGTTCGAGTGTGTTTTTTCATTCGGTATAAATATTTTTTAATTCATCAGTTACAGACTTCCAGTGATAAGAGGAAAAGATAGAGATGGAAGGGATGAATTCCACGTTCTCTTACTTTTTCGCTTGCTTTAATTTCGTCGCTTGATTAGGGAAGGATAGGAAATTGCCTACGACACACAAATTTATGAGATTTTCTGTTGCTTTCCTTATCTATCATTTATCAATGTATTTTGGTATTCATGCATAATAACACAGCTTCTCATTGTCGAGGTGTCTGTCGGTTTTAAAAGAGGCGGTAAAAAGTCGAGTGTTCTTTTTCTAGCTATGGTGCGTGCCACACAATTTGCCTTTGTAACCTTCAGTTAAATAAAAAAAAAAGCTTAAAGCAAAGGCTAACTAGTCGGTTAAGGTCAAAGCACAGCCTTGCGTCATTTTCTGTGCTAAAGTAATCTTGAAAACAAAGGGCAAGTTTGAAAGAGCTAAGCTTCACTAAAATAACCAAGTAAGGCAGAGGTGTTCGACTTCTAAAATGAAATTAATAAATTATTTGATGCTGGCGATGAAATTTTGAACCAGCTACGAGGATATGCGCGGCTTGCGTGTTATTGAGCAACAGGGCTTTCGTATATCGTATAAAAGTCTGTATATCAGTCTGTCAGAAAAAAACGAAAGAAAGAAACAACGAAATAAATAAAATGAAGACAACATAATTGATTGAGTGAGCCTGTGTACAGGAAAGTATGTGGTATTTAGTTATTGAATGCAAACAGACATATTGGTATAGCCAAAACGCAACCGAATAAAAAAAGCAGTAAATTAGGAATGGTTGAGTGTAAAGCGACACTGATTAGCAAAGTCACCCTTAAGCATTGAAGATAAATATTGATGAGCGAATGGGAAGAAAATTTTTTTCCATACTTGTGACCCAAGAATCGATTTTCGGTATCTGCAGACGATTACTCAGTTTAGAAGAAAACTGATACTAAAAAAAAAAACCCTCTTGAGGATTGCTGTAATCAATATTACAAGGTGGAGTAATCTCCTGTGTCAAATGTCTCTTGAAGTCAGTCAGTTATGCTTAATTTTTTTGTCCCCTTTTTTGCAATTTTAATAATAACTACAACAATAATTTAGACAATAATAACAATATTTTAAATAATTGAATTTTCAACTGAAGCGGCCCGTCTGCATGACTTGGTATAATGTTCAGGGTAGTTGACTGTGACTTGAAATTCCTGCGCAACACAAGTCTCGCTTTGCAAAAATGTCATTTTAGAGAATAAGTGCACTTTACAGACAATCAATTCCTAAATCGTGATAAGAATCTTGTGGATTCTATGTCTAACTTCAAGTACAAAGCTTTCAACCAAATGCCTAGTCAACCTTGTCAACGTTTCCATGATTTCTAATGCAGATGCTCATAGTAATTTTTCCTTTTTTAGACTTCGGCAGTAAGGAGGGTTAAGACACTAAACTTACCTTCTCTCAGTAAAAGAGATCCTCTGTCAAGTTATTAAAAAGCGACCGTTAACGTTTGGATAAAGCGAGCTGAAGTTCACCGAAAGTCCGCCCGTTCTAGTCCCGCTACTGGAATCACGTAGTAGTGTCTTTATTGGTCAGTTTACACCATAATTAGCAAAAGCGTGAGGTATGTCATTAGACACAGAATACATTATCGTGTGTAGCGAAGCATTTAAGTGCCTATGACACGAAAATTGTTTGGGTAAATATTCAGCTTATCATATGTACAAACCAATTCCGAAAGAAGAAAAATTTAAAAAAACTTAAAACTAGGTTTCTTCGGGCCTTAAAGTGCTCTTATTTTGTCTAAAAAGTGTCCCGTGGACTGGTAACGAATTAGCGGGTGATGACGTAAATACTGTGAAAATTAAACCTACAAATCTCTCACAAATCTTCTAATTTTGTATAGTCAGCGTTAAAATACTCTCGAAATAATGTCCGATAGCGATGTATAGCTACCTTCAGCAAGCTCTACCGAGAGTTGTGATACATCGTACTCAAGTAGTAGATAAGAAATGGAAGTTGCGAGTACAGTTCAGTCCTTCGAAGGAGAACCGCGTGCACCAAACTGCGGTGTTTAAGTCAGGATTAGAACAAAAACTTCGCGTTACTGAATGTTTAGTTTGTTGCGTTTGTGTTTTGTTTTTTATGGCGAAATCGGTAAAATTTCCGCATAGCTCCATACTACATTATGCATTCAGTTCTTGGATAGAGAAAACCAGGACAAAGACATTACATTGCCATCGGGAAAACATTTTTCTTTTTCAATAATATGGGCCTGTTCGGAAATTTCACTGCGAAATCTATCATGGTTAAGAATGGGTAGCTGTGTTCATTTCTGTTGCCACAACAATTTATTCCTTCGCACTATGTGCGGCGAAGGTTTCCCTCGGTCAATGCTTTGGAGGGTAAAATTTGCGCACAGCCCCATACTATTGTTAAACAAATCTGTTTTCCCAATGGCAATGTATTGTTTTTGTCATTGTTTTCTCTATCCAAGAAATGAATGCATAACAACAATAATGGAGACACTTTTTGGCAGCCAAATCGTACTTTCAGTGCACAAAAGAATGGTCAAGGTGAACTCACTAGGCGTCAAGGTCGATTATTTCTAATTTTAAAACAGGTATCAACCAGAAAATGCAAAAAGAAATTTCGTGTCAGGGGCACTTTAAACAGACGCCGGACAACAATAACAATACAATACAACCTAACACAAGAAACAAAAGAAGCACACAATGTAAGTCTAAGTGACAAGAGCTCTCTGAACGAAAAAAAAAGTAAACTTATCAAGAAGTGAAAAACACAGGCAAGGATGGAAGTGAGCTTGATCCGAGCGCCGATAGTACGAGGGACAATGTTTTGTTAATGAACTAATCGAAACAGATGAAACCTGCTTTTCGCCTTTTGCTCCTCCTTGGGCTTATCTTTTATAATAAACCAAGCCTCCCTTTTCCAGGACTGTCACTGAACAATGAGTTATGGATTGAGGGGGGAGGGAGGGGGAAAATGGTGCAATTATCGTATCCTGCTTAAAGTCAGTGTAATACAGTCAGAATTCCCCCAACTGCCACAACGGAGACAGAGAAAAGACAAAGAAAAGTGGCCGTTAAGAGAGGTTTGAGTGTAAGATGATACAACACTTTCAAAGGTTAGAATATTTATCGTCCACCGAGTGCTAAGAGGAGAAACGTGAACAGAACAAAACAAAACTAACAAGGTGCAGCAAGAGGTTATAAACTGTTATAATCTCTTGGGTGCAGTGAGTCTGTTTGTTTTTTTCAGTATTACAGACTTTTTGCTGTGGTTGTATTAAACTGTCCAAGATAGCCTCCTCGAGGTTTTTGTCACACGTTTCTTTTACACCGTCGATTATGTAGTCGGTGTAAAGAGATAATTCAGGCACTTGGGACTCAAATTGGTAGCCTTTGCTGGAGAAGGGGCCGTCAGTAGAGGTTGGATTCCAAAACGATTGTTTTACCGGTGATTTTAACAACATCTACTAATATTTTGAGATTTAAGAATAACAAAGGCATCCAAACGAAATGGCGATGAAACCTGATGAAAACCATTGAGGCCTAAAAAGTTAGGTTCTCTCACAAAAAAAAAAAGAACATTAATTTTAGACAAAATACTGTAGTGTATTAAAACCGGATGTTTGAGGTAGCCGTAAGTTTATGTATTGGACATCCCACAATGCCATGCTTGCTCTGTTGCGAGTGTTGTGGAGACCAAAGAAGCATGTTGAATGTATGTTCGGTTTTGTTGTAATCCTATAACATCGTGATTGTAAATCATTAAAATACAGAATTTAATAAATACTACTGAGCTCACATCGCGCTCACTTGTAAGAAATACTACCAGCATACGAAAATATTATTCGTGTCCCCGGGCGGAAATGTGATTTATCACATAAACTGCGGTGTTATACAGGGATTTCCGGCCCTGAGAAAAATAATTGTTTTTGCGTAATTGCTCAAGCGCTTTCGCTTTCTGATGAAAATTGTGTTATTGTTCAAACCATTCTGTTACAATTGTTTTTATAACATAGCGCCGCGCAAGGCCTACCTATTTATTCAGGGATGAGCAAGGAGCTACCAGGGTAAAAATTGCTATGTACTGCTCGGCTTTGCATCCATCACATGACGTGTACAATTTCACTTCGGCTGAAATTTTCCGTTGATCTTGGCGCGGTTTCAAAACTTTCAAGATTTTTTTTCCCGCTCTATTCCCATTTTGACAGACCTTCTGGAGCTCAAGAAGGAAAACAATGACCATGTGGTTCTTCCAAGCGACAAAGTTAGTTTTGGAGTCGACGATAATTTATTCCCAAACGCAATGCGAATTATGGCTGAAAACAAAGCTAAGCTTTCTGACTTCAACTGAGGCTTGGCGACGTAGGATAATCTTCATAAACCGGAGAGAGTATATATTTCAGTACAGTGTCTTCCAGAAGAACGCTATTAAAAATCCGGCCAGCAGGTCTCGACCCATTAGAACTCAGCACGTTATGACCACGCCTCTCAATACAGGGAAACTATGCACGCCAAGATTACTAGTTCTACGATGGCCGGGCGATTTCAAAAAGATTGTTTCTAATATGAACTGATCCTCCTAATCGATTCATATCAGTACTTTCCAGCTATAAAATTAATTAAGAATTGCAATATTTATGGGACTCCTTATGGATGATGTGGTGGTGCATATTCTTCAACTTCTTGACCAAAGTCTGGAGTCTGGGTCAGGATGAACTGAGATTCTGTTTTTCTCAGACGGTCTAACGGCTTCCAAACTGTGACTGTAACCGTATGAAAAGTACACCAACAAACCTGGAATGAACAATAACAACTTTTTACACTGGAACGTTTGCAACCATGACCAATATACACCAAGAAAAAAAGAGGAAACTAATCCGGAAATAAATTAATAAAAAAAAAAAAAAGAGAAGTTGGTCGACAGGTCAAGAAACTCAACTTTTCATGTGGGCAAAATTTATGCCAGAGTGCTATGCCAGAGAAAAGGCGCCCTGGGGACGAGGTTGCCTCATCTTCCACTCGACCCAGTCCTCGAGGCTAACATTCAAACATTTCATACCAATTTTCCATTACATACCTAGACACATCCAAATGCTAAACCTTATATACGTCCAATGATTCAGCGTCACCAAAAGCAAAGTATTGACAAATATCGTAAGGGCTGGAATGAACGGGACTCCTGGAACCATGAACGGGAATGTGGCAGAATTTCTAGGCTGCCTGATGATCAACGTCAAAGATGAGACGATCATTAAACCGAAGATACAGGAAAGAATGATTGCCCAGACCTCCCCGAGCTCAGATATGACTGTGTCTGAGTAAGGCAGATATTTAGGGCCATTATGGATACAGTCAACAAGAATGCACCAACACGTGCATGGAAGCTTGTCGTACTGTCTGGTTCTGTTGTTACATTTGACGACTCCTCATCGTTGCTTTCGACTCGTTGGTAGGTAACCTCGTGACTAGCACCATCTTTGTCCTCAGTCTCGCCAGGACGGCAGCAGACCGACTGAAGCCATTTTCGGGTCCTTTCTTTGGTTCTGTCGTCGTCATATTTGACGATTTGTACTCCAGGAGTGTAACGCGTCACCAACACAGCAATAGCTACCATGGTGTACGACATTATGGTACCGATAGACAACAACTCCACCTAAAAATACATTTGAAAATGACATACCAAGAGTGAGGTGAAGATGGCTGGATATTGGCCGAGTTCTCTTTTTTTGCGTTTCCATGGATCGAGTCTATGAAAACACAAAAAAGGAACTAGCCTAATGTCCAGTCACCTTGACCGAACAAGCTTTAGTCAACAAAGGATTAATTGTATCTATATATCGAAAGTATCTCGCTTTGTTTTAATAAAAGATTTAATGATGAGAGCCGGGAGAGAGAGCTTAATGTGTTTGCAGCAGAACAAACCCTCAAGAGTCGTTTATGTTTTCTTTGGTTTGACAGTCTTTTGCGCTTTTTGCGACTCTATCGCCGCTATTGTCCACAAATTACGAACTTTGTAAGTCTGCTCCATGCGACGTTTTTTAGTGCAGGATCGAGGCAGGCAATCCCAAGTGGGCAAGATGGGTCCATGATGCCCAGTTGGGTTGCCAATCAGAACACAGGATTTGCTTCATATTGCTCACGAACGATGCCAGCGATATGATACAGAAAGATATTTTAAGAATTAAAATTTCCCTCAGTATCTTTCTTAGTAAATGTCGAACGTTCTCTATGGGACCACAACGCGTTCAGATGGAAACCGTGTTTTTTTTTTACGTTTTCCATTTTTAGGTGTCAATTCTAAGCTACGGTTGGCGTTAAAGAGAATTTTTGTCGTTGCTAAATGCTAAAAAAAGTTACCATGCGGAGAATAATTCAAATTCAATCCAAAATTCCATTCTACGGAATATACCCACTTCTACTAAATTATCTGTTATGTTAATAGTAACATATTTCGACAGCTTCGCTAGTGAATCATGTTTAGACAGCTCTCGCGAGACTCGATTTTGCTTTCAGTTAAAGAAATTAATTCCAATTAAGAAACTAACCAGTTGCTTTACGTCAAGAAGTAAAGCAAGGATTGCAGCTAAACGTCCTTCAACCAAAACCGCACGAACTGGAACCTTTGTCTTCTCGTGCACATGCGCAAACCAGTTGAATATCAATCCGTCAGACGCCATGGAGTATGCAATACGTGGGCCTGCGAATAAGTTGGCCAGCAGGGAGCTCATTGTTGCACAAAGCCCACCTATTGCCACCACGTATTTGGCGCCGCTCAACCCACGTTGAACAAAAACCTCAGCCAGAGGAGCAAAGTGGCTCAGTTTATGATAAGGTATCATTAATGTAAGCACCGTTGCGACTCCAAAATACGCCAAGAAACTTATCGCAAGAGTAAGAATGGTAGAGAAGGGTAGCGAATGCTTGGGATTGATAGCTTCTTCTCCCGCCGATCCTATGACGTCAAATCCAACGAAGGCGAAAAAGCAGCTTGCCCCAGCTGCTAGAGTACCTCGAAACCTGTACGGGGCAAATTTTGGTTTCCAGTTCTCCCCATCGGCGAAGTAAAATCCAATAACGATGATGAACAAGATGACGGCTAAGTTTACGAAGGTTACAATTTTATTCACAAGAGATGATTTTTGTGCTCCCAGCGAGACAATAAAAGAAGCCGCCAAGGCCAGTGTGAATGCCAAGAAGTCAGGAAAGCTTCCAAGGCCAGAAACGTTCCACGTGGCTATTTCGTTCATAAAGAACTTGAATATATAACCCTGAGCAAATGAGTTGATATACTCGCTGCAGGCGCGCGCCAGGCTTGCAGCAGCGATGACATATTCTAGAATCATGTTCCAACCGAGAACGAACGCCCAAAACTCTCCAACAGTCGCATACGAGTACGTGTAGGCGGAGCCGGCCTTGGGAATACGGCATCCAAACTCCGCGTAACAAATCCCAGACAAAGCGGCAGCAACAGCAGCAATGAAAAGGAGATAATAACAGCGGGCCCAGCGATGTCACGTGCTAATTCCCCTGTGACCACGTACAGGCCAGCACCTAACACACAGCCCACACCGAAAAAGTGAGATCTGAGGTTGCAAGGCATCTTTTAAGGCGGCTCTCCGATAGCCAGTCTTCTGTAGGCTTTATACGTGTTAAGTTGTCACGCACTTTGGAGCAGCTGTTCATCGCTGTCAAAAAAAAAAAAATTGTTTTTATCTAACGGTTACTTTCGATTCATTAGTTCGAGTGTGTTTTTTCATTCGGTATAAATATTTTTTAATTCATCAGTTACAGACTTCCAGTGATAAGAGGAAAAGATAGAGATGGAAGGGATGAATTCCACGTTCTCTTACTTTTTCGCTTGCTTTAATTTCGTCGCTTGATTAGGGAAGGATAGGAAATTGCCTACGACACACAAATTTATGAGATTTTCTGTTGCTTTCCTTATCTATCATTTATCAATGTATTTTGGTATTCATGCATAATAACACAGCTTCTCATTGTCGAGGTGTCTGTCGGTTTTAAAAGAGGCGGTAAAAAGTCGAGTGTTCTTTTCTAGCTATGGTGCGTGCCACACAATTTGCCTTTGTAACCTTCAGTTAAATAAAAAAAAAGCTTAAAGCAAAGGCTAACTAGTCGGTTAAGGTCAAAGCACAGCCTTGCGTCATTTTCTGTGCTAAAGTAATCTTGAAAACAAAGGGCAAGTTTGAAAGAGCTAAGCTTCACTAAAATAACCAAGTAAGGCAGAGGTGTTCGACTTCTAAAATGAAATTAATAAATTATTTGATGCTGGCGATGAAATTTTGAACCAGCTACGAGGATATGCGCGGCTTGCGTGTTATTGAGCAACAGGGCTTTCGTATATCGTATAAAAGTCTGTATATCAGTCTGTCAGGGAAAAAAACGAAAGAAACAACGAAATAAATAAAATGAAGACAACATAATTGATTGAGTGAGCCTGTGTACAGGAAAGTATGTGGTATTTAGTTATTGAATGCAAACAGACATATTGGTATAGCCAAAACGCAACCGAATAAAAAAAGCAGTAAATTAGGAATGGTTGAGTGTAAAGCGACACTGATTAGCAAAGTCACCCTTAAGCATTGAAGATAAATATTGATGAGCGAATGGGAAGAAAATTTTTTTCCATACTTGTGACCCAAGAATCGATTTTCGGTATCTGCAGACGATTACTCAGTTTAGAAGAAAACTGATACTAATTGCTGTAATCAATATTACAAGGTGGAGTAATCTCCTGTGTCAAATGTCTCTTGAAGTCAGTCAGTTATGCTTAATTTTTTTGTCCCCTTTTTTGCAATTTTAATAATAACTACAACAATAATTTAGACAATAATAACAATATTTTAAATAATTGAATTTTCAACTGAAGCGGCCCGTCTGCATGACTTGGTATAATGTTCAGGGTAGTTGACTGTGACTTGAAATTCCTGCGCAACACAAGTCTCGCTTTGCAAAAATGTCATTTTAGAGAATAAGTGCACTTTACAGACAATCAATTCCTAAATCGTGATAAGAATCTTGTGGATTCTATGTGCAACTTCAAGTACACAGCTTTCAACCAAATGCCTAGTCAGCCTTGTCAACGTTTCCATGATTTCTAATGCAGATGCTCATAGTAATTTTTCCATTTTTAGACTTCGGCAGTAAGGAGGGTTAAGACACTAAACGTACCTTCTCTCAGTAAAAGAGATCCTCTGTCAAGTTATTAAAAAGCGACCGTTAACGTTTGGATAAAGCGAGCTGAAGTTCACCGAAAGTCCGCCCGTTCTAGTCCCGCTACTGGAATCACGTAGTAGTGTCTTTATTGGTCAGTTTACACCATAATTAGCAAAAGCGTGAGGTATGTCATTAGACACAGAATACATTATCGTGTGTAGCGAAGCATTTAAGTGCCTATGACACGAAAATTGTTTGGGTAAATATTCAGCTTATCATATGTACAAACCAATTCCGAAAGAAGAAAAATTTAAAAAAACTTAAAACTAGGTTTCTTCGGGCCTTAAAGTGCTCTTATTTTGTCTAAAAAGTGTCCCGTGGACTGGTAACGAATTAGCGGGTGATGACGTAAATACTGTGAAAATTAAACCTACAAATCTCTCACAAATCTTCTAATTTTGTATAGTCAGCGTTAAAATACTCTCGAAATAATGTCCGATAGCGATGTATAGCTACCTTCAGCAAGCTCTACCGAGAGTTGTGATACATCGTACTCAAGTAGTAGATAAGAAATGGAAGTTGCGAGTACAGTTCAGTCCTTCGAAGGAGAACCGCGTGCACCAAACTGCGGTGTTTAAGTCAGGATTAGAACAAAAACTTCGCGTTACTGAATGTTTAGTTTGTTGCGTTTGTGTTTTGTTTTTATGGCGAAATCGGTAAAATTTCCGCATAGCTCCATACTACATTATGCATTCAGTTCTTGGATAGAGAAAACCAGGACAAAGACATTACATTGCCATCGGGAAAACATTTTTTTTTTTTCAATAATATGGGCCTGTTCGGAAATTTCACTGCGAAATCTATCATGGTTAAGAATGGGTAGCTGTGTTCATTTCTGTTGCCACAACAATTTATTCCTTCGCACTATGTGCGGCGAAGGTTTCCCTCGGTCAATGCTTTGGAGGGTAAAATTTGCGCACAGCCCCATACTATTGTTAAACAAATCTGTTTTCCCAATGGCAATGTATTGTTTTTGTCATTGTTTTCTCTATCCAAGAAATGAATGCATAACAACAATAATGGAGACACTTTTTGGCAGCCAAATCGTACTTTCAGTGCACAAAAGAATGGTCAAGGTGAACTCACTAGGCGTCAAGGTCGATTATTTCTAATTTTAAAAACAGGTATCAACCAGAAAATGCAAAAGAAATTTCGTGTCAGGGGCACTTTAAACAGACGCCGGACAACAATAACAATACAATACAACCTAACACAAGAAACAAAAGAAGCACACAATGTAAGTCTAAGTGACAAGAGCTCTCTGAACGAAAAAAAGTAAACTTATCAAGAAGTGAAAAACACAGGCAAGGATGGAAGTGAGCTTGATCCGAGCGCCGATAGTACGAGGGACAATGTTTTGTTAATGAACTAATCGAAACAGATGAAACCTGCTTTTCGCCTTTTGCTCCTCCTTGGGCTTATCTTTTATAATAAACCAAGCCTCCCTTTTCCAGGACTGTCACTGAACAATGAGTTATGGATTGAGGGGGGAGGGAGGGGGAAAATGGTGCAATTATCGTATCCTGCTTAAAGTCAGTGTAATACAGTCAGAATTCCCCCAACTGCCACAACGGAGACAGAGAAAAGACAAAGAAAAGTGGCCGTTAAGAGAGGTTTGAGTGTAAGATGATACAACACTTTCAAAGGTTAGAATATTTATCGTCCACCGAGTGCTAAGAGGAGAAACGTGAACAGAACAAAACAAAACTAACAAGGTGCAGCAAGAGGTTATAAACTGTTATAATCTCTTGGGTGCAGTGAGTCTGTTTGTTTTTTCAGTATTACAGACTTTTGCTGTGGTTGTATTAAACTGTCCAAGATAGCCTCCTCGAGGTTTTTGTCACACGTTTCTTTTACACCGTCGATTATGTAGTCGGTGTAAAGAGATAATTCAGGCACTTGGGACTCAAATTGGTAGCCTTTGCTGGAGAAGGGGCCGTCAGTAGAGGTTGGATTCCAAAACGATTGTTTTACCGGTGATTTTAACAACATCTACTAATATTTTGAGATTTAAGAATAACAAAGGCATCCAAACGAAATGGCGATGAAACCTGATGAAAACCATTGAGGCCTAAAAAGTTAGGTTCTCTCAAAAAAAAAAAAAAGAACATTAATTTTAGACAAAATACTGTAGTGTATTAAAACCGGATGTTTGAGGTAGCCGTAAGTTTATGTATTGGACATCCCACAATGCCATGCTTGCTCTGTTGCGAGTGTTGTGGAGACCAAAGAAGCATGTTGAATGTATGTTCGGTTTTGTTGTAATCCTATAACATCGTGATTGTAAATCATTAAAATACAGAATTTAATAAATACTACTGAGCTCACATCGCGCTCACTTGTAAGAAATACTACCAGCATACGAAAATATTATTCGTGTCCCCGGGCGGAAATGTGATTTATCACATAAACTGCGGTGTTATACAGGGATTTCCGGCCCTGAGAAAAATAATTGTTTTTGCGTAATTGCTCAAGCGCTTTCGCTTTCTGATGAAAATTGTGTTATTGTTCAAACCATTCTGTTACAATTGTTTTTTTATAACATAGCGCCGCGCAAGGCCTACCTATTTATTCAGGGATGAGCAAGGAGCTACCAGGGTAAAAATTGCTATGTACTGCTCGGCTTTGCATCCATCACATGACGTGTACAATTTCACTTCGGCTGAAATTTTCCGTTGATCTTGGCGCGGTTTCAAAACTTTCAAGATTTTTTTTCCCGCTCTATTCCCATTTTGACAGACCTTCTGGAGCTCAAGAAGGAAAACAATGACCATGTGGTTCTTCCAAGCGACAAAGTTAGTTTTGGAGTCGACGATAATTTATTCCCAAACGCAATGCGAATTATGGCTGAAAACAAAGCTAAGCTTTCTGACTTCAACTGAGGCTTGGCGACGTAGGATAATCTTCATAAACCGGAGAGAGTATATATTTCAGTACAGTGTCTTCCAGAAGAACGCTATTAAAAATCCGGCCAGCAGGTCTCGACCCATTAGAACTCAGCACGTTATGACCACGCCTCTCAATACAGGGAAACTATGCACGCCAAGATTACTAGTTCTACGATGGCCGGGCGATTTCAAAAAGATTGTTTCTAATATGAACTGATCCTCCTAATCGATTCATATCAGTACTTTCCAGCTATAAAATTAATTAAGAATTGCAATATTTATGGGACTCCTTATGGATGATGTGGTGGTGCATATTCTTCAACTTCTTGACCAAAGTCTGGAGTCTGGGTCAGGATGAACTGAGATTCTGTTTTCTCAGACGGTCTAACGGCTTCCAAACTGTGACTGTAACCGTATGAAAAGTACACCAACAAACCTGGAATGAACAATAACAACTTTTTACACTGGAACGTTTGCAACCATGACCAATATACACCAAGAAAAAAAAGAGGAAACTAATCCGGAAATAAATTAATAAAAAACAAAAAAATAGAGAAGTTGGTCGACAGGTCAAGAAACTCAACTTTTCATGTGGGCAAAATTTATGCCAGAGTGCTATGCCAGAGAAAAGGCGCCCTGGGGACGAGGTTGCCTCATCTTCCACTCGACCCAGTCCTCGAGGCTAACATTCAAACATTTCATACCAATTTTCCATTACATACCTAGACACATCCAAATGCTAAACCTTATATACGTCCAATGATTCAGCGTCACCAAAAGCAAAGTATTGACAAATATCGTAAGGGCTGGAATGAACGGGACTCCTGGAACCATGAACGGGAATGTGGCAGAATTTCTAGGCTGCCTGATGATCAACGTCAAAGATGAGACGATCATTAAACCGAAGATACAGGAAAGAATGATTGCCCAGACCTCCCCGAGCTCAGATATGACTGTGTTTGAGTAAGGCAGATATTTAGGGGCCATTATGGATACAGTCAACAAGAATGCACCAACACGTGCATGGAAGCTTGTCGTACTGTCTGGTTCTGTTGTTACATTTGACGACTCCTCATCGTTGCTTTCGACTCGTTGGTAGGTAACCTCGTGACTAGCACCATCTTTGTCCTCAGTCTCGCCAGGACGGCAGCAGACCGACTGAAGCCATTTTCGGGTCCTTTCTTTGGTTCTGTCGTCGTCATATTTGACGATTTGTACTCCAGGAGTGTAACGCGTCACCAACACAGCAATAGCTACCATGGTGTACGACATTATGGTACCGATAGACAACAACTCCACCTAAAAATACATTTGAAAATGACATACCAAGAGTGAGGTGAAGATGGCTGGATATTGGCCGAGTTCTCTTTTTTTGCGTTTCCATGGATCGAGTCTATGAAAACACAAAAAAGGAACTAGCCTAATGTCCAGTCACCTTGACCGAACAAGCTTGGTCAACAAAGGATTAATTGTATCTATATATCGAAAGTATCTCGCTTTGTTTTAATAAAAGATTTAATGATGAGAGCCGGGAGAGAGAGCTTAATGTGTTTGCAGCAGAACAAACCCTCAAGAGTCGTTTATGTTTTCTTTGGTTTGACAGTCTTTTGCGCTTTTTGCGACTCTATCGCCGCTATTGTCCACAAATTACGAACTTTGTAAGTCTGCTCCATGCGACGTTTTTTAGTGCAGGATCGAGGCAGGCAATCCCAAGTGGGCAAGATGGGTCCATGATGCCCAGTTGGGTTGCCAATCAGAACACAGGATTTGCTTCATATTGCTCACGAACGATGCCAGCGATATGATACAGAAAGATATTTTAAGAATTAAAATTTCCCTCAGTATCTTTCTTAGTAAATGTCGAACGTTCTCTATGGGACCACAACGCGTTCAGATGGAAACCGTGTTTTTTTACGTTTTCCATTTTTTAGGTGTCAATTCTAAGCTACGGTTGGCGTTAAAGAGAATTTTTGTCGTTGCTAAATGCTAAAAAAAGTTACCATGCGGAGAATAATTCAAATTCAATCCAAAATTCCATTCTACGGAATATACCCACTTCTACTAAATTATCTGTTATGTTAATAGTAACATATTTCGACAGCTTCGCTAGTGAATCATGTTTAGACAGCTCTCGCGAGACTCGATTTTGCTTTCAGTTAAAGAAATTAATTCCAATTAAGAAACTAACCAGTTGCTTTACGTCAAGAAGTAAAGCAAGGATTGCAGCTAAACGTCCTTCAACCAAAACCGCACGAACTGGAACCTTTGTCTTCTCGTGCACATGCGCAAACCAGTTGAATATCAATCCGTCAGACGCCATGGAGTATGCAATACGTGGGCCTGCGAATAAGTTGGCCAGCAGGGAGCTCATTGTTGCACAAAGCCCACCTATTGCCACCACGTATTTGGCGCCGCTCAACCCACGTTGAACAAAACCTCAGCCAGAGGAGCAAAGTGGCTCAGTTTATGATAAGGTATCATTAATGTAAGCACCGTTGCGACTCCAAAATACGCCAAGAAACTTATCGCAAGAGTAAGAATGGTAGAGAAGGGTAGCGAATGCTTGGGATTGATAGCTTCTTCTCCCGCCGATCCTATGACGTCAAATCCAACGAAGGCGAAAAAGCAGCTTGCCCCAGCTGCTAGAGTACCTCGAAACCTGTACGGGGCAAATTTTGGTTTCCAGTTCTCCCCATCGGCGAAGTAAAATCCAATAACGATGATGAACAAGATGACGGCTAAGTTTACGAAGGTTACAATTTTATTCACAAGAGATGATTTTTGTGCTCCCAGCGAGACAATAAAAGAAGCCGCCAAGGCCAGTGTGAATGCCAAGAAGTCAGGAAAGCTTCCAAGGCCAGAAACGTTCCACGTGGCTATTTCGTTCATAAAGAACTTGAATATATAACCCTGAGCAAATGAGTTGATATACTCGCTGCAGGCGCGCGCCAGGCTTGCAGCAGCGATGACATATTCTAGAATCATGTTCCAACCGAGAACGAACGCCCAAAACTCTCCAACAGTCGCATACGAGTACGTGTAGGCGGAGCCGGCCTTGGGAATACGGCATCCAAACTCCGCGTAACAAATCCCAGACAAAGCGGCAGCAACAGCAGCAATGAAAAAGGAGATAATAACAGCGGGCCCAGCGATGTCACGTGCTAATTCCCCTGTGACCACGTACAGGCCAGCACCTAACACACAGCCCACACCGAAAAAAGTGAGATCTGAGGTTGCAAGGCATCTTTTAAGGCGGCTCTCCGATAGCCAGTCTTCTGTAGGCTTTATACGTGTTAAGTTGTCACGCACTTTGGAGCAGCTGTTCATCGCTGTCAAAATAAAAAAAAAATTGTTTTTATCTAACGGTTACTTTCGATTCATTAGTTCGAGTGTGTTTTTTTCATTCGGTATAAATATTTTTTTAATTCATCAGTTACAGACTTCCAGTGATAAGAGGAAAAGATAGAGATGGAAGGGATGAATTCCACGTTCTCTTACTTTTTCGCTTGCTTTAATTTCGTCGCTTGATTAGGGAAGGATAGGAAATTGCCTACGACACACAAATTTATGAGATTTTCTGTTGCTTTCCTTATCTATCATTTATCAATGTATTTTGGTATTCATGCATAATAACACAGCTTCTCATTGTCGAGGTGTCTGTCGGTTTTAAAAGAGGCGGTAAAAAGTCGAGTGTTCTTTTCTAGCTATGGTGCGTGCCACACAATTTGCCTTTGTAACCTTCAGTTAAATAAAAAAAAAGCTTAAAGCAAAGGCTAACTAGTCGGTTAAGGTCAAAGCACAGCCTTGCGTCATTTTCTGTGCTAAAGTAATCTTGAAAACAAAGGGCAAGTTTGAAAGAGCTAAGCTTCACTAAAATAACCAAGTAAGGCAGAGGTGTTCGACTTCTAAAATGAAATTAATAAATTATTTGATGCTGGCGATGAAATTTTGAACCAGCTACGAGGATATGCGCGGCTTGCGTGTTATTGAGCAACAGGGCTTTCGTATATCGTATAAAAGTCTGTATATCAGTCTGTCAGGGAAAAAAACGAAAGAAACAACGAAATAAATAAAATGAAGACAACATAATTGATTGAGTGAGCCTGTGTACAGGAAGTATGTGGTATTTAGTTATTGAATGCAAACAGACATATTGGCATTGCCAAAACGCAACCGAATAAAAAAAGCAGTAAATTAGGAATGGTTGAGTGTAAAGCGACACTGATTAGCAAAGTCATTGTTTTTAAGCATTGAAGATAAATATTGATGAGCGAATGGGAAGAAATTTTTTTTTCCATACTTGTGACCCAAGAATCGATTTTCGTTATCTGCAGACGATTACTCAGTTTAGAAGAAAACTGATACTCAAAAAAAAACCCTTTTAATCATTATTCAAGGTGGAGAATCTCCTGTGTCAAATGCCTCTTGAAGTCAAACAGTTATGCTTAATTTTTTTATCCCCTTTTTTTGCAATTTTAATAACAACTACAACAATAATTTAAATAACAATAACAATATTTTAAATAATAGAATTTTCAACTAAAGCGGTCCGTCTGCATGACTTGGTATAATGTTCAGGGTAGTTGACTGTGACTTGAAATTCCTGCGCAACACAAGTCTCGCTTTGCAAAAATGTCATTTTAGAGAATAAGTGCACTTTGCAGACAATCAATTCCTAAATCGCGATAAGAATCTTGTGGATTCTATGTCCAACTTCAAGTACACAGCTTTCAACCAAATGCCTAGTCAGCCTTGTCAACGTTTCCATGATTTCTAATGCAGATGCTCATAGTAATTTTTCCATTTTTAGACTTCGGCAGTAAGGAGGGTTAAGACACTAAACTTACCTTCTCTCAGTAAAAGAGATCCTTCGACAAGTTATTAAAAAGCGACCGTTAACGTTTGGATAAAGCGAGCTGAAGTTCACTGAAAGTCCGCCCGTTCTAGTCCCGCTATTGGGATCACGTAGTAGTGTCTTTATTGGTCAGTTTACACCATAATTAGCAAAAGCGGGAGGTATATCATTAGACACAGAATACATTGTCGTGTGTAGCGAAGCATTTAAGTGCCTATGACACGAAACTTTTTTGGGTAAATATTCAGCTTATCATATGTACAAACCAATTCCGAAAGAAGAAAAATTTCAAAAAACTTAAAACTCGGTTTCTTCGGGCCTTAAAGTGCTCTTATTTTGTCTTAAAGTGTCCCGTAGACTGATAACAAATTAGCAGGTGATGACGTAAATACTGTGAAAATTCTCCGTTGACACCTACTAATCTCTCACAAATCTTCTAATTTTCTATATAGTCAGCGTTGAAATACTCTCGAAATAATGTCTGATAGCGATGTATAGCTACCTTCAGCAAGCTCTACCAAGAGTTGTGATACATCGTACTCAAGTAGTAGATAAGAAATGGAAGTTGCGAGTACAGTTCAGCCCTACGAAGGAGAACCGCGTGCATCAAACGAAGATTTTGACAAGACTGACAAAGACGGTTTCTCTCCTGCGGTGTTTAAGTCAAGATTAGAACAAAAACTTCCCGTTAATGAATGTTTAGTTTGCTGCGTTTTTGTTTTGTTTTCTATGGCGAAATCTATCATGGTTAAGAATGGGTAGCTGTGTTCGTTTCTGTTGCTATAACATTTTATTCCTTCGCACTATGTGCGGCGAAGGTTTCCCTCGGTCAATGCTTTAGAGAGTAAAATTCCGCACAGCCTCATACTATTGTTAAACAAATCTGTTTTGCCAATGGCAATGTATTGTTTTTGTCGTTGTTTTCTCTATCCAAGAACTGAATGCATGATGTGGTATGGGGCTCTGCGGAAATTTTACCGCTTTAGAGTTTCGTTGCTGTAGAAAAATTCCATTAGTAAACTAAAAGCTAACTTTTGACGAAAGAATCAGCTGCATCTCGAAGCACGATGATTTTTCACCGAGAAGTCACTGGGCAAAGGCGGAGGCTGTCGTCGCCATCGTCGAGCCAGTCAAACCGAGCGGAAAACGAAAGAGTTTATAGTCATCTGATTCAATTTAATCTCAAATAAGGATTTTAATAGATAAAAACTTCTTTAGGTTAAGTGCAGCGTTGCCATATGACCCATTACGTTCAAAGGAAATAATTGGCATTAGTATTATAAATGAATATTTAGTTTACATTGACTTTCACACAGCTCTAGCTTGGATTCGCTACCATCTAAGTCAATAAAATTTGTGTTTCTTTATTTATCTCGTTGCAGTGCTGTTATCACAATGACACTGCTACTGTGCAATGTTAATGCTCCTAGTTTTTGAGGGCAGGGGGGAATTGATGGCTTGTGGGATGGATTTTCGGAAACCTAGGTTAGGAGAATACGCGGCCGCCCCTTCGAGCTTGTGTTTAATCCAATATCTGCCAGAGGTTTCGTACCGTTTACGCAACAGGATAACGGTGAGCTCATAAAAGGGCTTGAACTTTATTACAAAAGATGCGTCTCTGTTATTAAAATACTACGGAAACTAACAATTGATGGGATTTTTATACGACAAGAAAAGCACAAATATAGTCATGTGGAAAGACAAGGAGTACGAGTACATCTCAAGCGCGTGAAATAAACAACAATAATGGAGACACTTTTTGGCCGCCAAATCGTACTTTCAATGCACAAAAGAATGGTCAAGGTGAACTCACTAGGCGTTAAGGTCGATTATTTCTAATTTTAAAAACAGCTTTCAACCAGAAAATGCAAAAAAAATTTCGTGTAAGAGGCACTTAAACAGACGCCGGACAATCAAAATATACAATATGCAAAATACAACCTAACACAAGAAACAAAAGAAGCACACAATGTAAGTCTAATTGACAAGAACTCTCTGAAAGAAAAAAATCTAAACTTATCAAGAAGCGAAAAACACAGGCAAGGGTAGAAGTGAGCTTGATCCGAGCGCCGACAGAACGAGAGACAATGTTTTGTTAAAGAACTAATCGAAACAGATGAAACCTGCTTTTTGCCTTTGCTCCTCTTTGGTCTTATCAGTTATAATAAACCAAGCCTCCCTTTTCCAGGACTGTCACCGAACAATGAGTTATGGATTGAGGGGGGAGGGAGGGGGAAAATGGTGCAATTATCGTATCCTGCTTAAAGTCAGTGTAATACAGTCAGAATTCCCCCAACTGCCACAACGGAGACAGAGAAAAGAGAAAGAAAAGTAACCGTTAAGAGAGGTTTGGGTGTAAGATGATACAACACAATTTTTCAAAGGTTAAAATATTTATCGTCCACCGAGTACTAAGAAACGTGAACAGAACAAAACAAAACTAACAAGGTGCAGCAAGAGGTTGTAAACTGTTATAATCTCTTGGGTGCAGTGAGTCTGTTTGTTTTTTTCAGTATTGCAGACTTTTTTGCTGTAGTTGTATTAAACTGTCCAAGATAGCCTCCTCGAGGTTTTTGTCACACGTTTCTTTTACACCGTCGATTATGTAGTCGGTGTAAAGAGGTAATTCAGGCACTTGGACTCACATTGGTAGCCTTTGCAGGAGAAGGGGCCGTCAGTAGAGGTTGGATTCCAAAACAGTTGTTTTACCGGTGATTTTAATAACCTCTACTAATATTTTGAGATTTAAAAATAAGAAAGGCATCTAAACGAAATGGCGATGAAACCTGATGAAAACCACTGAGGCCTAAAAATTTAGGTTCTCTCACAAGAAAAAAAAAGATCATTAATTTTAGAAAAAATACTACTGAGCTCACATTGCGCTCACTTGTAAGAAATACTACCAGCATACGAAAAGATCATTCGAGTCCCTGGGAAGAAATGTGATATATTCGACAACTGGAAACGTTTGAGTAATTCGGTTCAACAAGATGCGTAGTTCTTATCTGTGACTGTGTTCTCCCCCAAAACCTCACGAGAGGAGACTTTGGACACAGTCTCTCTAAAAGCGGCCCGGTACGTTTCGGGTCAAAAATCGATTTCTTTCAAACCTTGCCCAGGAATCTACCTTAGTCTAAAAGTAATCGAAACCATCTTGGTTTTTGCAAATAAAGTAAAATAATCTTTTTCTGAGCGAAAATAGCTTCAGCGCTCAAACGCAAGGTTTCAACAATACCGAATATCAAAAATGGCACAAATTGCCGAGCTCGTCTTTTCACAAAATTCTAGTTCGAGGGTTCTTTTGCTTCGCATATCTATATCAAACATATCATCCCTTTATGGGAACAAAGCACGTAAATTTTGTTTTTTTTAACGGTTTTTCTTCACTGCAAAGTATTTGTTTTGTTTGACATCTACTTTGACGATACCGCCATGACCGAAAATATGCAACTTTTTATCTCGGCTCAGCGCAAAATTCCAACTTCTTCCTTAGGATGTTTTTATTCAGACTGACTAAAATAGGGTAGAAGAGCATGGAAATATAAAAACATGTGGTGGTTTCGGCGAAATTCTAGAATAGCCGGCCGACAAATTGCGTGCATTTTCGAAAATTCGACCTAACAATATGCACATGCAGCTGTTTAAAAAATAAAGAAACTTATACAGCCAACTTATGTTTGACGAGTGATTTGAGTCCATAAAAGCTTTCTAAAGACTCACAATAGGATAAAAAATCATTAAGTAAAGAAAATCTTCATCTTCATCAAAGAAATACAGCCGTCGAGAGTTGACTCTTAGCTCTAGGCGATCTTTTGTTTTGTTTATCACTCAATTAATGAGGAAGGGGAAAAAACTTCAGAGGCAGGATAGCTATGACAAGATTCATGTTTATTCAGAATATCTCATGTTGTTCATTTAGAAACTGCTTATCTTAAAAGCACTTAAAGCGCAGTTCCTTTTAATTCGAAAATGTAACCTTTAATCTAAAAGAATTTCGCCTTGAGAACTGACTTAGTGAAAGGACCCCTCTTTTGTGTTTATAAACTTTAAGTTCTCATAAAATCGTCAGAAAAAAGATATTTTTCGCTAAAAACTGGATTATTATTTCCCTGTAGATATAAAGAACGGTACAGAACTCTTCCTATATTCGTTAATTTTGTGTCACGCAATGCAACCTTGCGAAATTCAATTACGCAGTTCGTTTGCAACAATTTCATTCTCATGTAGTTGCGTAAATTTAGAAAAACACCTCAACTCGCTACTTTTCAAAATCGTCAAAATCGTCTGTCATGTAAAAGTAGTCACTATTATATATCTGTTAAGAGACATCGTTTAAACTCGGATAGATATTCAATTTTTCAAATTGTTTTAAGAAGCCGCCTTTGCCAGAGAAAAACAACTTAATTTACAAATAGTTTAATTAATAAATAATTCAATTTAATCTACACGAAATCTTAGTATTGATTTGGTTCACGATTTGCAAACAACAAGATGGGGACTCCATGCTTTTTGTCGTGATTTTCAAAATATAGAGGAACATGTGGTACCTCAAGAGGCATTACACAGTCCGTGAGCCTTAGAAATTGCAATGAGTCAATTGTAAACCATTTAAGCTTTTGTCTTTTATATCGCGAAACGCTAACTGAGCATGAACTCATTTTAGCAAGAGTGGGTATTTTTAAATTACCAGTTTCAAAGCTTAGCCAAACGATGATATGCTCAAGACATCGACAAAAGTTTGGGAAGTACTGAAATTCAGAGAAGGCCCTGTCAATGCCCCACCCATCAAGGCAGTAGTAAAGTTATAAAAAAATAGGGATGTAGTTAATCTCAAAATGGCGAAAGAAATCCTGAAATTTCACGGAATGATTGTTCCGATTGGATCAGGTGAGTCAGTTACGAAGTTCTCCTCGTTGTAATTGTTGGAGAACCAAATTAATATTTCCTGCGTGTTGTCCCTTTGAAAATGGTGTTAGATGTTATCAATTAGCCTTAGTATGAGACTGAGTATGAGATTTTTGGCGGGACTGTTGGGAGATGGATTGCTGAAGGAGGGAAAGTAATGAAGGTGACTTCTCGTGATTAACCTTTTCTATCACGTTCTTTTTACAGGGCTCCTAAGGATGTTGCTGCGGCAGCTCTTTACACCCACGAGGAAGGGCTGTCAACACCAGGAATCGACGTTAGCCATGTTCAGACAAACACACTGTGAACTCCTCGGTTATGTTCCACTGATGAATTAGAAAGTAGTGGAGAAGAAGAGGAATCACACCTGACGGTTAAGAACAACTGCAGTGCTTCCATTCAGGTTTTTGATTCTGCAATGGAAAACCTTGCAGAGGTATCAGGGTAAAAAAAATTGATCAGCTGCAATATCAGCTGAAAAGCTGGGATGCTTGTAGTGATGTAGAGTGAAAAAAATCTGTTTGTAAAGCGACCGAGGCATGCGGGTTGGTTTGCAATATCATAGCACCAAATGATGGAGAGAAGCTGCTTCAAGCTCTCCATGGAGAAAAAGTGAACGACGCGACTGCTGACCCTGCTCTAGAGGCGTCAGTCGCGGCCTATAGGAGAGCGCCATCTAAGATGCTAAAGACACAGATCCTTAGTATGTACGCGAAGAGGTTTAAAGTAAGCGAGATCGAACTTTTGAAAATCTCAGTGATAGGAAAAAAAGGCCAGAGTGCACAATTATTCTAGAGTCCCGGTATCCCAGTAGCCAAGATACCACAACGTCGAGTTTGATTAGATAAATGTCAGTTGGATCACTTTCTGGAATTTACATCTCGCCCGTACTACTACCAGGATGTGGCCCATAGAGGCCGAAAATTCAGGCTTGAAAGTGGTGAAGAATTAGTGATGCCAAAGATAGTGCGTACCGTTGCAAGATCTTGAAGTTAAGGAAGTCTCCCAAAGAAAATCCTTAAAGGTCTTGATAACACGGCGGCAAATGGCGTCGATGGTTTTGAAGCACTTCACAAAATTTTAGACGAATTGGAAGAAGAGGGGGTGAACATAGAGTGGTGGCGAACAAGGAGTGGTGTGCGCAAACGCGCTCAAGGCTGAAAGAGGCTAAGTTTAACTTGAAGACGACTTGTCGAGATAACTGCAAAGCGGAAGACTAGTGTCCCGACCACCGTACTGTTTTCGCCCTGAGCGATCCCAGTGATTCTGATTATTGCACAGATTGTAGCCACGACCATAATATGTCGTGTAACGACTGTGAGGCATTAAAGGAGGCTATTCAGGGAATTCATTCTGCCATTGAAAAGTATTCCTCCAAGCTAAGTAATAAAGAGAAGGAGGATGATCTTCGACATGATGCACTTGTCGCTGAAGAGAAAGTCAAGGAGCCGAAGGCACACATTATGCGCGCCCACAATCAGGAAAAATGCAAGTAAAGTGTCTTGTTTTCTCTTCTGGAGGACGAAGTTTTTGTATTATCTGACACATCGACAGAAACCAAGGACATTTCGAGCCCGCTAACAATTATCAGCGGTATATCGTATTACACTCCGGAACAATAGAATATCAAGAGAATTCAATATGCCGGCGATCACGGCTCGATCTGCAATTTGATTTGCTTTAATTTAATTTTCGCGCTAAGACTACTAAATTTGCATTCAATGCCTGGCATATTTTTATTCCGAAAAGGACCGAGAACTAATTTATTTCCCTGCAAGAACATAGACAAATATAGCCGACGATTCGAAGATCAGCGTTGCTCGTGTTTAACTATTTCAGTCATAGTTTTCAACATGGCGTCTCGTCACTTACCCAACATGGAAAATAAGGGATATTCTGGCGCGTTGGGAACTTTTTTGATGGAAGGAAATGGCAATTTTACAGGATATTTGGACGCTTCGAACTCTGTAGCAGTCAATTCGATCGAGAGCAGTTGACTTTATTGATGCACTTTCCTGAAATAGGCGAGTGTTTGGGATGGAGAACGACGGATTTTGAAGAACTGTATGGCGACTTAGGTCAATAATCAATGACAAAAGAACTGGCTCGGGAAGTAAGTGGTTTTTATTTATCGAGTCCCTGTGAGGTTTGATGAATAGCAGAATCAGTACTAAATAAGTCTCGATCGAGAGCAGACGGGACCACGAGCTCCTGATTGTTATATTTTAGAAATTTTACAAATTTCCATACAGTTTCTTATATCATTTGGACGCCATTATGGACGAAATGCGCAAGCGCGGCCGCCATCTTGTCCAATATTTCTGCCGATGATGAAGTTTTTGCAAATAAAGTTTCGCGAAAAACAATCAGAATCGTTTGAAAAGAGAGGCATAAATTGGCATATATGCATTGTCATTGTCAAGATAGGAGGGAAGCTTAAAGTCTCCTCTTACGCTCACCTGTTGAACAGTTGTGGCCACAAAACACACGATTGGTTCACTGTTCTCTCAATCCTCGGGCAACTCATGACTGTCATAAAAATAAGCCATCCAACCACTACAATAGTGTACCTAAGATCAGACGAAGCGGGTTTTTATCACAACAGCAGTCTCTTTGCGGCCCTTCAAGATGTCGGAAGTCGTCAGGGAGTTGACATTGTGGGATAAAATTTTTCGGAACCACAGCACGGTAAGAATATTTGCGACAGGATTTTATGCCCGATGAAAGCTGCCGTCAAACGTTACTGCAACGAAGGTCATGATATTTTGTTGGCTCAAGACATGCAGACTGCCCTAAAAGAAAGACCAGTACGAGGAACGACAGCAGGAGTATTCTGCATGAACGATAAGTTTATAACTCTGAAGTTAAAGAAGATCCCTAATTTCAGCGCACTGCACAATTTTGAGTTTACCTCCCGTGGACTTCGAATGTGGAAAGCTTTTAAAATTGGAGCTGGTAAGCTAATTGCATGGAATAACATCATATTTTGTTTACAAGAAGCTACCTGCCTCAGCGAGGATAAACTGTTTTTCATAGTTTGAGCACGAGAGATGGATGAGACGACCGCGCACCATGGGAGAGTTGACGATGTCAGTGGCACCTTCGAATGTCCCCATCCCCAGTGCTCAAAATAATTCCTTAGTCGTGCAGAGCTGGAAACTCATCTAAGTGTGACTGCAAATCACAGCCCAGCGAAGACGGTACAGCGGGGCGTGTATGACTAGTTACGAATCGATTGGGTTCAGTTTTTCCAGAACATTTCACTGGATCCCAAAAGAAAGTCTCGCCTCCAGAAAGAAGTTCAAATGGAAACCACAACCGAGGTAAACTCGCTCCGAATGGGTTGGGCGCTTCAAAAACTTAAAGGCGGCCAAACACGCTTCTCTGACAAAGTTCGCGGGTACTTACAAAAAAAGTTTGACATTGGTCAAAAAACTGGGAGGAAGGAAGATCCTGCATAAGTAGCTAACGATATGCGCAATGCACTCAACACCGATGGCACACGAATGTTAAGTAGAATGGAATGGCTTTCAAAGCTTCAAATTCTGGGATTTTTTTCGCGACTCTCTGCGAAGAGAAAGCAATCAGATGGTAAGGAAACCTCCGCCGTTGACGACGAGCTTGACGACGATGAAGAGCTTGTTGAAGAGTATGCCTCGCTAACAGATGAACAAATGCTCGAGAAAGCCAGTGTAGCCGTAGAGTCTGAAATTGGTGTCAAGCATCTAGTGATGTATGATGTCTACAACCTTTGCGAAATTGCATATGAAAATAGACTTTTATTTTCAAGGTTAAGATGCTCAGGGAAAAGGGCAATGTGCAAGCATTTTGAAATCCCATCTAACTTAAGAGACACCAAATCAAGTTTGGTTAAGGTACTATCGCTAATGGTTGAAGATTGCTCATGCATGAAAGAATCAAATTACGCAATGTAAGTTTCAAACAACTATTTTGGTAAATTGAAATTCCACAACTTTGTCAATGGTGACATTTGTGACGGTTTGAATCCATTTGGATTCTGGATTATGCGTAGCAGACCTTAAGGAAGGAACAGTGGGATGAAGTGATAAAAATGTGAAGGCTTGAAAAGATTTAAATTTATTAGAGCTTTCTGAAACGCCACGACCGAGAAAGGATACTGGATAAAATATGTCCATCTTCTTTGAGATGGGGTTTGGGACTGCCTAAGGTTGTGTAAAAAAATCAATTTTCAGAAAACTCATCCGTTTACTTTCAGGTGCTGGAACTAATTGCAGGAAAAAGAAAAACCAAGTCTCGTATATTCTGTAGTCTTTAGAATTATTCTACCTGGTTGATTTACTATGTGTTCTGGCCAAATCCTAAATCGACGACGACTATTTGGAAACTTGTGGTTTACCGACGTGGACGAAGGATCAACTGATAAGGAATTTAAGTAACATAGACGTTGCGTGACGCATGAGTTAAGTTACTGAGTTATCATCACTACTTTGCGACCTGACGGCGGTACACAGAAGCCTTATCGCCTTAGAAAAAAATCCACCATGTTTTTTTGGTATTCATTCAATATTTTATTTCTGGCGACTTCGTGAGGTTTCATAAATTCAGAAGAAAGGACCTTAAGATGAATTAGTTCGCGTGGTAAAACATTATTTGATTACATGTCACATATATCAATTGGAAAGGACTTCGCTCTAAATACCACGAATATGAAAACTTCGACCTTGAAACTAAGTGTTATTCTGAATAAACATGAATCTTGTCATAGCTATCCTGCCTCTGAAGTTTTTTTTCCCTTCCTCGTTAATTGAGTGATAAACAAAACAATAGGTCGCCTCTAAGAGTCAACTCTCGGCGGCTGTATTTCTCAGATGAAGATAGAGATTTTTCTTTACTTAATGATGTTTTGGCCAATTGTGAGTCTTAAGAAAGCTTTTATGGACTCAAATCACTCGTCAAACATAAGTTGGCCGAATTAGTTCCGTTTTTTTTTTAGACCGCTCCATGTGCATTGCTAGCTCGAATTTTCGAAAATGCACGCAATTTGTCGGCCGGCTATTCTAGAAGTTCGCCGAAACCACCACGTTTTTATATTTCCATGCTCTTCTACCCTATTTTAGTCAATCTTTAGTCAGTGGAATTTTGCGCTGAGCCGAGATAAAGTTGCATATTTCCGATCATGGCGGTATCGTCAAAGTAGGTGTCAAACAAATACTTTGCAGTGAAAAAAAAAACAAAATTTACGTGCTTTGTTCTCATAAAGGGTTGATCTAAATATGCGAAGCAAAACAAAACCCTCGAACTAGAATTTTGTAAAAACACGAGCTCGGCAATTTGTGCCATTTTTGATATTCGGTGTTGTTACAAAGTAGCGTAAGAGCGCTGAAGCGATTTTCGCTCAGAAAAAAATTATTTTGCTATATTTGCAAAACCCAAGGTGGTTTCGATTACTTTTAGACTAGGCTAGATTCCTGGGCAAAGTTTGAAAGAAATCGATTTTTCGACCCCAAACGCACCGGACCGCTCTTAGAGAGACTGCATGCGTCTTAATTACCGCAACTCTAAAAAAAACTTCCCTTGGTTGAAATATCTATGCAATATCTCTAGAGTTCGAGTCTTTCGAGGGAAAATTTACCCATGAAAAAAGTAATCAAACTATTCCTTGTCTGGTTTGCCTTAGGAAATCTTCCTTAATCCTTAAAATCATGTTATAATTAAACGGTATATGAGTTAAGTGTAATACCATCAACCTGGTCAAAAGTTGGGATGAAAGGAAAAAGAGAAGTAAGTTGACCCGTTAAACCCTAAGAGTGACCAGCCTCTTATCTCATCTTACAGTAATACTACTCAAGCATTCAGAAAGATCATGAAAATTAGAAGAAATCACGAACCTAAGAAGCTTTGATTGTTAAACTAATTCTTGGCTCCATGTCGGTATCAGAGGAAACGAACAGACAAGAGAATCTAGATTATACATACTGAAGTAAGGGTGTAAAGAGTTACTCTGGTAACTAATTTTTTTTTTTCCTTCTGATGTATTTCCGTGGGTTAGTCCGGATACATTTTGTGCCTCAGAATTATGGACCAATTCTACACCTTTGGAAGTTAATCAACTAAAGGAAGAACCTAACAAGCATTTTCAAGGCCTCTGATTCCGGAAAAAAAACTGTACAAGTTATTACTTTCTCACAACAATTTATACATCAAAGCGTCACGTTAGGTTAAGTCAGTGATAAAAATCGTAAGTGAGTTGTCTTAAACTCCTGAGCCAGTTTTGTACGTTTTGACTGGCCATGTAGTTTAGGGCAAGATCCAAGCTGGTTGTAACAGCCGTCAATTCGATGTCAATTCCACGTTTTATTCGATCCGATCAACTACGCTCAGCACACCGTTCGAATACAATACCGTACAAGAAATCCTTACAAACAAGCAATTGTCTCTATCCGTAACCTTGAAAACTGCTGAAATATCCGTAATGCTTCCGTAATGTTCTATTTTCGATGCGAGACTAGTTAAACGATTTTGAAATAAAGGCGAAAATAACAAGCGATAAAAGCACGTATATGCCGAGGTTTGACCTAGTGTCGAATGACAACACCTCGGCGCAGACTGGGCCTAGTGCACAGGACACCTAGCATTTACACTGGTTGTACCAGATTTTGTAGTTTAACATAACCCTGATAGTAATCTTAAAAGCTCGTACGTATAAATTTTGATACAATAACGCTTAAAGAACGTGATTTCTCCGTTTGAAGAACGTTTCACTAAAGATGTGGAAAACGCTCTCTGTTTCCAGTCTATCATAAAACTGAAATAAAGGAAATGAAAAAGACCATGGAAAAGGGAGAATATTTACAGTATTAGAAGTGCCGGAGACGACGGCGTCCAGCGGCTCATCGCCAGGAACTTTATGGCATCGCAAAATGAAAGGAAGTCGAAACGGCAAGATGGCTAATGGGTCGCAAATAACCACACAGATATTGTTCTGCAGGTCATCCATGATGAATTCTATCGCTTCATTAATGGCATCTGCTACGTCCACAAACTTTCGAGTATACACTGGAGTTTCCTGAAATAAGTTGAGTGTTGTACAAGGAAGCTGTCTCGTCTGGAAACAGAAAAGAGAGCGTAAAACAAGTACATAACTTAAGTTCCAAAAAGGCTACATCGTGACAAATATTGCTTAAAATGTTAAAATACTGGATAAATGTTTTGATTGTAAATTCATTCATCGACTAGCTAATTGATTCATGAATGTCATAGTAACGGCTGACGCGAATTCCTTTGAGAGCACTTTAAATGTAAGCAGACCGAGGGAAGCATTTTCAAGTCTGAGGTAATAGTTTTTCACTTAACGGACGAATCTTGGTGAATATTTACCGTGGTGGATGTTTCTATGATTAGTCTTAAAATATTCTGTTAATCCGCAATTCTTGAGTACCAGGCTTGAGCAGTTCTAGAGTTGGCAAGCAGTAATTCCAAACGTCCTACCGCCTTCGGTCACTAGATTAAATCTCGGGTAAATAATATCTAGTAGCACTACAACTTACAAACAAAACAAAAAAAATAGAATTTTTGACTTAGAAAGAGTAGGGAACACTCGATGATTAAAGACCTGTTCTATCTTTACCTCTAATACTAAAGTTTAGCCATTCTTACCCCCGCGATGAAGTCTTCCTTCATAAGCAACAACTCATCTTTTGCGATTTTTCGAACTTTCCTTTTATTTTCGTCACACTGCCAAATTTCTTTCAGGACGTCAGCTGCTGTTTTGTACACACCGCCAAGATCTTTTAACAGTTCCCATACTGGTATGTACCCTTCAACAGGCCCTCGGTCGATCAAAGCCCAGGTTGAGTTGTAAGACAGAAGTTTCTGAAAAGTACTGATGTTTGTTGCTGTAGGCCCAATGGATCTGACAGAGAGGGTAAAGACTTCGTCACGACTTTCCTTGTACTTTCCCACATTACTACCTTTAGACGAAGTGTGCTCACCAGCAATACTTCCTCCAATATTGAAGACCCCAAGAAATCCAGCAGACATTTTCACTTTAAGATAATCCGTAGCTGCCTTCATTAGCTCGAATTTCTTTTTTGCTCCTTTGCTTTCAGCATCGGCGATGCTGAAAAACACGCCACCAAGAGTCTGAGCACCGGCCGGAAAATGACTCCCAAAACGTTTTAAGAATTCGCGAGCCAAGTATTGCTGTTGGACCTTGTCTATTTCAGTATCTTGAACAATGGATCTTGCCATTTCCCTTGCTGATTCACAAAGTTTTATTTGGTTACGTTCCAGCAAAAATGATCTTGTTGGCGTCCGGGTGTAATGAAGAACAGACGCACTGGTTGAAAATTCTTTGAAAGAATTATGAAATTGTTTCTGCTACTCAGAACCACGAGCTCCTTGTACCTCACCAAAGAGTAAGCCCTCAAGACCAGCTATAGTGAGACCAATATTTGTATTTAAGGACTCAACAGTTCGGATATAATCTGTAGCTGCTCCTTGGGAAGAGAACTTCATATACTTCATATCCTTAGATATGCTTGGATTGGTTAATGACACATCTGTTGGTGGCAGGAGAAGTGGTCTGCCCGCTGGTTTTGGTACTACATATTCAGAATGATAAATTCCGAATAGTGCCTTCCCAGCACTGGCTTTGGTGATCACCTCTACCGCGTTCTTGTAAATTTCATCTGCTTCCACAACTTCGCTGCATCGGTCAATTATCTGATCTAACTGTTGAAACATTTGATCTGGTTGCATTTGATCTTGCTTGAACCATTCTAAAGGTAGCTCAATTGTTTCCATAATTAATTTTATTTTGTCATTGACGGCCTTCTTTGCTGTTTCCGATTTGTCTGTAGCCATTGTTTTAGCTTCATTCATCAGTTCTTTTGCCTTCTTTAGATTTGCTTCATCTACTGCTTTCGTTGCTTTGGTGTCTTGCACGAGTCCATCATCTTGTGGAACGTCGGGGGGCTTTTTTTTTTCGTTAAACTTAGCAGTTTCAACCAGATGGCGAACTTGGTCCATTTCTCCGTCATCAGCTCCTTGGCAGTAAGACTGAAGTTCGCTTGACTCTAGCCGAGAAAGTACCTTAAGTGACGGAGCTTTCTCACAAAGCCTTTTCACCCATTCCTTTGTGACATCGACTCCTTCAGCAATGAGGCCTCCATGCACTTCAAGATGTGGTCGAAGCCGCTTGTTTACACTCGCCAAGCCTTCCTTCTCTAAATCCTCTTCAGAATATCTGTACAAATATTCCGCAAGCTCTCCTGTATTTGTCAGGTATCTCACAACCAGGGGTAACGCTTCTAGGTGCAACCCATTTTCTTTCAACATTTTCTCCAGGTCCTCTTGCAATCCCCTGCAGGCGACACCTTCCAGCTCATCAAGCAGATTCTCTTTCTCATCGTAATCTTGCAAGGACGTGATGCGTTTATACAGTTTTCGAATCAAACCTTCACACTCTGCAGGATTATCTCGCGGTAAATCACGGATTTCTCCTCGAATTTTTTCCAGAGACATTCTTAGTAAGGCGTCTGTAAGTACAAAAATTTTAACGTGAGAATGTTTATGCTGATTATAGTTCTTAGAGAGGCGCTTTACTCACACACACACACACACACACACACACACACACACACACACACACAAACAATCATAGTAATGCGCTTGCAACTATTAAGGATTAAAACTGCTACAAGGAGAGAGGCTGACAAGATAAAATCACAAATATGATTTTTTAAATTAAGTTCCATGGGCTAGAGACTTATCTTTTGCTGTTTGCACTTTCTTGATCTGTACCATTAAGTTACGTAATCCTTTATTTTAATTAATTAATTTTAAATAACCTTATTTACATTTCTAGACTAAGTATGAATTCGTGCGTCTCTGAAAACTTGATACAAGGATTTTTAGGATTTCAGTTGAAAAGTTTTATCATAAGTTTCACCAGAAGAAGACTGAAGGTTGAACATCGTAATTAAACAGCTTGCACTTTTCCAGTTACAAGATGGTTTCCTGACTATATCTTAGTTCACTCATTTATACATTTAAATTTCCGTTTATATCTGTGTGGATTCGCCAAATATTATGGAGCACAGCCATAAGCACCCTACTTTGGAAACTCAACATCCCCTACTGCCGTGGTGACCTAACACACCGGCTGAGCTGCAAGAAGACCCATGATGAGCCTGGCTGTGAATCGTGCGTGACAGCCCAAGACAAAAATAGGCTGGAAAGGCTGTCACAGCCCAAAGTTTTTGAAATTCCCTGACTTTTCCTTGAAAAATGTAGAATTTCCCAGACCAACTGAGTTAACAATACGAAAAACCAATTCTTATAATGGTCTCCAACCTCCCCTCACAGACATACATCCCTCCACCTATTTATTTATGCTTTTAGAAAGTCACATGCAGTGACATCGATTGATTGTTAAACCCTTGAAGTAACATAGAAAAATAATTCATTTTTTTGGACATATGAGCTAAAAAGTCCAAAAACTACCCTCCCAACACTTAGCTTTGGACACACTAACTGTTAGTGATCTATAGCCTGAAGGATTAATGGTCCTTGGGCTGCATAACAGTGCTGGCCTTGATGCTAACTTCCCCTTCCCTCCCTCCCCAGCATCTTCATCAGCCAGGTTAGCTTGAAGACAGGCCATGCCTGCCATCAAGCAAAACCCTAAAGAGCTGTAGCAGGGCAGAACCTTCACTGCCAATCATGCAGAGGACCATGCCAAGAACATGTGGCATTTCCCAAGAAACCCTAAACTCACTAAGGAGTTCAAAGCCTACCCTTCCCATAGTTGAGCTTTTAAAAAAAGCTGTTGGCAACCCACAAGGCAACCCACCCTTTAAGAGGCCAGTCCCTGGGCTTTATCTGGGTGCTACACTTTATGTTAATTAGCCCCCCTGCATTTTAAGTAGCCAAGCTGGCCTGCCAGTGGATCAAAATCATGCCCCAGCCAATGAATTTCTGACCATGTTTGTATCTGTGTCTATTCCATTTTCTAATGACAACTCATTTTCCATTTTTTTCCATTCCACTTTCCTTTCCACCGAAAAAACAGCACTGGACCAACATCAAGTCAAATCAATTATCAAAATGATGGCAAAACCAACATAACAAACTATGAACATAATGCCTACCAATCCTCTTCATTGGCAATGTAAACTTAACTACTTTGTAATATAAATATATACTGTTACTCCGTAAAATAAATATTAATTATAGCCTCAAAGACAATGAGCTGTTCCAGGTTAATTGGGCCTGACAACCTTGCACATCCACTTGCACACATGCTTAGTGCCTTTTTGTATTTGTTTTGGTTCAAAAACCAGGAGAAAAATTGATTAACACTAGAATGGTTTAAGCTATTAGAATTTAAACCTTTCTGATGTAAGTTAATTGAGAATTAAAAAAAAGACTACTTAAGTACTTTTATTTATACAGAGTGTACATGAATAATTTATGTAGTTATTATAAATTGTTTCAAAGTTTTGAAAAGTACAGTTCCTTTTTACTTACAGTTCCTATTGATTGGATGCTGATAAATCCCTTATTATGGAACATACCAGAACATTCTGATACATGCAGGTATGTCCAAAATAAACTTATGTAAGAAAATGCACACAATCAAACAATTAACTAGCCATAAAGAGAATCAAGGGCCCCTTGGAGCAACCTTGTGGTAAATTGTCTTAAGAATTTGACTAAGTGATGTCCTTTGCCACTTTTTCAACTAATGGGTGTCCAAATTGGAATACGTCATCATTAAAAAATACATCATTGTGCTAAGAAGCAATTAGCAACAAGTGCAGTGTCTTTATAACAATATTAGTGGCTCCTCACCTAATAGTCATAACATATATTTGGGAAAAAATATGATTGTTTAATATATATTTACAGAAAACAGTAATATCTTTAGGCAGGTTCAGTAGGGATAAACTTTCACTTGAATTCTAATCAAATTAAGTCCTAAGATGAATGTGCTGTTCAGATTTTCCCTACTATTTTCCATTACCTAATCTATGAAATTCTTTCTTATTAAATAATTAACATAGTTTTTTCCTGAAAAAGCACCTCTCTTGGGGAGGTCAGCCAATTTTAATTTTTTCAATTCAAGATTCTGAAAGAGCTTTGAACATTATTTAAATGCTGTGTGACACTGATATTTTATAATTTTATCAAAATACCGATGTTGAACTGAGGAAGGGGATATATTACCTGCTTGAAATATATATGACAATGATTAAATCTTGTTAATTTCATTAGGCAACACTAATATTCCATTTCAAAATTGAATTTGTAGCCGGTTATAAGGCAATCGGACCTAAAAAAGCAATTAACTGTCTCAAATTGAAATTTTCCTCTAAATGATTGAAAAACTCAACTTAACTCTTAAATCATGTGTGCAAGTTGATGATCTGAATTGAATTTTGATTTGCCATGAATGGTACAATAAGAAAATGTATTGCATTTTTTTAAAATTAACATTTAAGGAAAATTAAAACAGCTTTTCAAATTTCTGCCAACAAAATTACATTAACTTAACTCGATATGATTGACAATTAACTGATTCTTGCAACATATTGTATGTTTCTTATTTCGGTTCTTTCTTAGAATCTCTCGAGAGGAAAATTTTCAAATTCTGCATCAATAAATTAGAACTGCAAGGAACTCCTAGTTAGATTCTGCTGATACAGCAATTCAGAAACAACCTGCAACTGCACTGTGATCGTGCTTGAATTTCAAATTTTCTAGCACGAACAGTTCTTTAGAAGTCTCTCCCTCTTAATGTCAGTTAGGTAAATGCAATGAAGTGTGGGTTTTTTCTGCATCAGTAACTTAGAACTACATAGAACTCCTTGAACTTCAAATTTTCTAGCATGAACAGTTCTATAGAAGCCTCTCCCTCTTAATGCCAGTTACGTAAATGCAATGAAGTATGGGTTTAAACGAAAATCTTACCGAAAATTGCTTCGAATTGGCGGCTGGTTTGAGTTGTCTAAAATCGATTCTATTATTATGTCTAGTTCGTGACTTTGCTGGCTTGTTAAAATACTTGCAGAACAACGTTGAAAGATCAACATAACAGATTTCTCGTTGTCAAAAAATGATCATTGTCTAAAAACAAAAGCAGAATCACTAGAACCATATATTCTTAGATATTTAGGAGCTGCCGGATCTAAGAGTCTTCCATTTTCATTCTCAAATTATACAATTATTAATCACTAATTACTCCTGAGGAGTTCTTCCGCAGCACATGTTTTCCACAGGAAACATGTTTCGATTGAGGTTAAAGCTCAAAACTCTAGTTAGACTAAACATGCCTCACAGTAAAATCATACGTATTAATCGTTCAATGACGCTTTAGAAAAGCTCTTACCTGCTGAAGGGTAGAAAGAAAACTGAGAGAACAAACCGGGCGATACCAAAACTTGGAACACTCAACACGCACCTAAGATTCTGGATGTTTCCGGGTGGATAGGTTTAGAAGCGTGAGACTGGTATCAACCTTTGGATACGAAAGTGAGGCTACGAAAGTTATTCGTAGCGGATGGGAAGCGATGATACAGGGCTTTTTCTGCTGATCATTGTCTTTTTGTCAACTTATAATTCCTATTACGAATACCACCGCTCCACAGGTTTTTCTTGGCGACTGGAAAAACTGGTGGTAAAATTTGACTACCGGGCTCTAAATTATTTTTACTTATTAGGCTGTTTTCTACATACCATGAGGAGCTTTGGCCCCGAAAAAAATTCGCAGCATGCATTCTACGGAGGCACTATATTTCTTTCATCAGTGTAGAGAATTACATCAACGTTTGCGGTCGGTAGATGTCTATGCGGTTACTTAAACCTGTTGATTATAAGTTAAAGGTTCACCTGATAATTATTACTGCATCTATGCTCGAATTTCAAATACGAAAACACAAGAAATCTGGCATTGAAATCACTTGGCGCGATCTTATCATGGAGGCCGAAGTCTTCGATCGATCGGCTGAGCTTTTTATAGTTACGGGATCCAATTTCGACCCCAAAAAGTACTGGTACGTGCTAACGAAAAGTTAATGTGAAATCAGGCCGAAAGCTTTTGCAAAGAACGAATTCTTTCGTCGATTCTGCGATGACTACAATACGTTCTCTCCCGCCAGCAGATCTCGAGCGCGCCAACAAAGGGTGTTCGTTCAACGCCAGGTAACCAAACAACATGCATATTATATCTTCAATTGGTCTCTGTGCCGGACTAATTAGACAGGGAGAAATCCAGCAGATGGATTCGCGAGGTCTCAAAACATAATCTTGTTGTTGATGCGGTAAATCAAATCGCCCTCTACCGTACACTTTAGGCGGGAAATGCCTCCAGTCGAAATATCATGGGAAATTGCAATGATGTCAGTCAAGAATAGCCGAGCTTGACAAAGACATTCGGGAACAAGTAAAGGATAATAATTATATAAGTTAATGGTGGATGCCTCAACTTTCAGTCAAAAGAAAGAGTCCAGACAAAGAGCGGTCTCCTGAAATAAATTAGTGTGAATTCAATTTTTCGTGCCCTCTTGGGTAGTGTATACCCGAGGATTACCTATAATCTCTTGCATATCCTCTTGGGTAGTGTATACCTGAGGGTTGTTTTAATCTCTTCTATACCCTCTTGGGTAGTGTATACCTGAGGGTTGTTTTAATCTCTTCTATACCCTCTTGGGTAGTGTTACCTGAGAATTAATTTTTAATATCTTCTATACCCTCTTGGGTAGTGTATACCTGAGGGTTATTTTAATCTCTTGCATACCCTCTTGGATAGTGTATACCTGAGAGTTATTTTTAATCTCTTCTATACCCTCTTGGGTAGTGTATACCTGAGGTTTATTTTTAATCTCTTCTATACCCTCTTGGGTAATGTATACCTGAGGGTTATTTTAATCTCTTCTATACCCTCTTGGGTAGTGTTACCTGAGAATTAATTTTTAATATCTTCTATACCCTCTTGGGTAGTGTATACCTGAGGGTTATTTTAATCTCTTGCATACCCTCTTGGATAGTGTATACCTGAGAGTTATTTTTAATCTCTTCTATACCCTCTTGGGTAGTGTATACCTGAGGTTTATTTTTAATCTCTTCTATACCCTCTTGGGTAATGTATACCTGAGGGTTATTTTAATCTCTTGCATACCCTCTTGGATAGTGTATACCTGAGGGTTATTTTTAATCTCTTCTATACCCTCTTGGGTAGTGTATACCTGAGGTTTATTTTTAATCTCTTTTATACCCTCTTGGGTAGAATATATCTGAGGGTTATTTTTAATCTCTTCTATACCCTCTTGGGTAGTGTATACCTGAGGGTTGTTTTAATCTCTTGCATACCCTCTTGGGTAGTGTATACCTGAGAGTTATTTTTAATCTCTTCTATACCCTCTTGGGTAGTGTATACCTGAGGATTAATTTTTAATATCTTCTATACCCTCTTGGGTAATGTATACCTGAGGGTTATTTTAATCTCTTGCATACCCTCTTGGGTAGTGTATACCTGAGGGTTATTTTTAATCTCTTCTATACCCTCTTGGGTAGTGTATACCTGAGGTTTATTTTTAATCTCTTCTATACCCTCTTGGGTAGCATATATCTGAGGGTTATTTTTAATCTCTTCTATACCCTCTTGGGTAGTGTATACCTGAGGGTTATTTTTAATCTCTTGCATACCCTCTTGGGAAGTGTATACCTGAGGTTTATTTTTAATCTCTTCTATACCCTCTTTGGTAGTGTATACCTGAGGGTTACTCCTAATCTGTCTTATACCCTCTTGGGTAGTGTATACCTGAGGGTTATTTTTAATCTCTTGCATACTCTCTTGGGTAGTGTATACCTGAGGGTTATTCTTAATCTGTCCTATACCCTCTTGGGTTGTGTATACCTGAGGGTTATTCTTAATCTGTCCTTTACCCTCTTGGGTTGTGTATACCTGAGGGTTATTTTAATCTCTTGCATACCCTCTTGGATAGTGTATACCTGAGAGTTATTTTTAATCTCTTCTATACCCTTGTGGGTAGTGTATACCTGAGGTTTATTTTTAATCTCTTCTATACCCTCTTGGGTAGCATATATCTGAGGGTTATTTTTAATCTCTTGCATACCCTCTTGGGTAGTGTATACCTGAGGTTTATTTTTAATCTCTTGCATACCCTCTTGGGTAGTGTATACCTGAAGTTTATTTTTAATCTCTTCTATACCCTCTTGGGCAGTGTATACCTGAGGGTTACTCTTAATCTGTCCTATACCCTCTTGGGTAGTGTATACCTGAGGGTTATTTTTAATCTCTTGCATACCCTCTTGGGTAGTGTATACCTGAGGGTTATTCTTAATCTGTTCTATACCCTCTTGGGTAGTGTATACCTGAGGGTTATTTTTAATCTCTTCTATACCCTCTTGGGTAGTGTATACCTGAGGGTTATTTTTAATCTCTTGCATACCCTCTTGGGTAGTGTATACCTGAGGTTTATTTTTAATCTCTTCTATACCCTCTTGGGTAGTGTATACCTGAGGGTTACTCTTAATCTGTTCTATACCCTCTTGGGTAGTGTATACCTGAGGGTTATTTTTAATCTCTTGCATACCCTCTTGGGTAGTGTATACCTAAGGATTATTCTTAATCTGTCCTATACCCTCTTGGGTTGTGTATACCTGAGGGTTATTTTGACCTTTTCTTATCCCTCCTAACTCGGCAGTCGCGTAAGACGATATTCATACATGTGAATTTGTTCCCGATGACCTAAAATGCAATAACGATGTTTTAGACCAGCTTCTCCCCTGTCATAGTCGATTTTGACAAGACTGATGTCTTCGGAAAAGCTAAAAATGCCGTTCCAAACTGAAACCTTCGCACAAAAAAAGGTCATTATAAGAATAATTGCATTGTGCCGAAGCTTGTAGACCGAACGGGGAAACCATCTGTTGAAAGCGATGTGTGTATTCTCTGGACTATCTAATCAACACAGTTTCTGGACTTTAAAAGTTAAAAACCATGCCCTGTATAAAGAAGGGTTTGTCGGAGTTAACCTTACGTAGGCCTAGGTCTTCGATCATGGAGGTGAAATCAGCTTTACCGGTGCCGCTTTTTAGGCTATTTTTGAGTTTCTTCGTTTTACGTGTTTTAAATTGTTCCTGTTATATGTTTCTGTAACATTTGGTTAGGAATATTCGTGGACCTTGTGTTAACGATTTACTGTCGTCTTCTTTAAGACATGTATTGTCTCTACAGAGAAAATAAGCTTAGCGTACCGCCCTTTAAGTTTTTTCGAATTAGACCCGTTAAGTTTGTACGAGACATTTCTCCGGACTCTTGTTTCTGGAAAATGAGTGAACAAAGTAGAGTTGTATCTTGAAAATGATTAGAAATGTAATCATCGGAAGTTGCGGTTTTTCCATTCCATTCGAGGGGAGCATAATTACATTTTTTGAAGTGATTATCGGATGTCCTAGAATGTTTAGCGAACACCTCGTGCCACCAAGAGGCGTCGAACCTTGGCTTGAATTACTTATGCAAATTAGCTGGCTGCACATTGAATGTGCAGCCAGTAATTTGCATAAATTTTTTTTCCGACGCAAAGCTCGTCATGTGTAGCACGCTTAAATCAGGAAAAACGCTCTTCTACGAAAGATTAGCGTGTTCATTTTTTTCATGTTGGGAAAAAAAAAAATCAAGAAAAGAGGTATCATATTCGGTAATCCAAGGCTAGGATCTCCTTCCCAAATTATGAATTAAAGCTCTAGTAGAGTAAAAAATAATGTTCCCTCAATTAATCCATTTAAACTGTTTTCAACTTTCTATATTTCCTAAGGCTTTTAAGTGGAAAAAATCTCTAGAATTCCCAAAGAAATTCCTTTTAGATACCATACCCATGCCAAACCGTGTCAGATCGTTAGCTTTAGAACTTCAGAGGATCTTCAGAATTTCAAAGAATATGATCCCTTGCAACAACAACGCCAACGGCGGTTGATTTCACAACCGTAAAGAGATCTATTTCCTTGTCATGGTCCATCCATTCTTAAGTATTCTTTCTAAGTATTGTTGCTAGTTATCATTTATCATACGAGGAACCTATAAACACAAAAGTAAAGTGTTGCAGTAGTTATGGCCTTTTGATTTAACCAGTTTACCATGAATTTCTGAAAAACACTAACTAGGACTAAATTCAGTAATGAACATTTGAAGAGCGAAGTTAAAAAAAAAATAAAGAATTAAGCACCGCTTTATAAATGTAAATACCGATTTCTTTTAGATCAACTAGTTAAAAAGGAAATTATTTGACTTTTCAATTCATACGTAAGCTACCGGCGCGTGAAACACCAAAACAGTACATGCGCAAAATTTACTTTACGCGATGCGAATTATGGCTGAAAACTATATTAAGCCAAATTAAGCTGTTCCTGGCTTCAACTGAAGCTTTGCGACGTTGGTTAATCTTCATTAAACGGTAAATACAATTTTGAAGTGGTGATACTTTGCGCGAAAACCTGTGGGGATACTTTTTCGCGGACATAATCTGTTCCAAGAGTCTTGGAACAGATTCGTGATTTGATTGGTGCCAGATAAATACCATAATGAAGCGATCTGATTGATGCGAGCAACGTATACCGCTCGATACGCTAGCACAGAGTTTTTTTTTTTAAAATAACTAAAGAAGTTACGATTATGTAGACAACGCTACATAGAGTACCGTAAAGAAAATCGTAATCTATATTTCAGAAAGCTTATAGAAGGCCAGAAGTAACAATGAGGAGAAAACGAGTTGCATCTGAGATTGCTAACTTTCTACTGAAGTCATGGTCATCACGGTCGTTGAGGCTTTGTGATCTTTCGTCCGACTTCTGGAATCTCTAACGTTTTATCATCTATCTCCTTGACGACTGGTTGAGGCTTTGTTACCTCTGGTCCGATCTTTGGAATCTCTAATTTTTTATCATCTATCTCCTTGACGACTGGTTGAGGCTTTGTTACCTCTGGTCCGATCTTTGGAATCTCTAATTTTTTATCATCTATCTCCTTGACGACTGGTTGAGGCCTTGTTATCTCTCGTCCGACTTCTGGAATCTCTAACGTTTTATCATCTATCTCCTTGACGACTGGTTGAGGCTTTGTTATCTCTGGTCCGACATCTGGAATCTCTAATTTTTTATCATCTATCTCCTTGACGACTGGTTGAGGCCTTGTTATCTCTCGTCCGACATCTGGAATCTCTAATGTTAAATCATCTATCTCCTTGACGACTGGTTGCAGTGCTTCTGTGCTATGCCGATATCCATAAAATAAGTAGATGACAAAACCTGTATGAAAAACAATAAGAAGTTTATGGAGGTAAGATTAGGCTAAGGAAACCTCCACAGGGAAAATTGTGAAGAGTTTAAGGTACGTTTGCTATCACTAAGCAATCGTTGAACCATGTTCCTACCAATAACGCAGCTCCATTTCTGCATATACCAACACACACAACCCAAAAATCCTCTATTCGCTCTGACGGAGGGCTAACGCTCGAAATGTCAGCTCTGAAACTTTTTTGCAGTGGCCAAATTACGGTAAAAACTCATTTGATAAAACTAAATTGCCCTGTTATACTCTCCCACCGACACAGCACTACAGTTTCTTTAGAAACTCACTCCCTTTATTCATTTGACTGACTTAGAAACCGAACATCCCACTGACTGACGGACTGATTGGAGGACTGATCGACTGATATACTCTCTGACTGATTGATTCACTGTCTGACTGAGGGAAGGACTGAATGACCGACTGAAGGACTGAGTGAACGACTGACTGAGTGAAATACTGACTGCCTAACTGACTTACTGATGTAAATCTTCTGACCGACTGACTCTCTTGAGAGACTGCGTGGACACGCACCTAATATCATCCAAACGCCAAAGCGAACATAGGTCATCCATTGAAGATTTGCCATCAACAGAGCATTGATGAAAATGGTTAATGCTGAAATATAAGGAACACCAGGAACCATAAACGGAAACGTCGCACAGTTCCTTGGCTGAAGCTGGATAACAAAAAGTTGAAAGACAATTGCTCCTGAAAACAGAGTGACGAGAAATATAGCCCACCATTCACCTTTTATGAACACGTCTTGATAAAAATTGCTTAAAATCAAAGCCAATGCTGCCAAAAAAATCACAAGGAAAAATACAGCTAGTTCTGCACGAAATGTTGTTGCTTCAGTGACTTCAGCCCCGGGAGCTGCTGGAAGACTGGACGTATCTTCCTCATCTGGTACTCGCTGATATGCAATGCTTGATGGATCACTTTCTTTCCCTTTAGCCTTGGAGAACATTTTATGAAGCCACTGAGTTATGTTTGTATTTCCTTCATCATTTTCAGGAACACTTTGTACTCCAGACTGAAAGCGACTGACAAGAACAGAGATGCTAACTTTTGTGTAAGCCACCAAGGTTCCAATAGAAAGGAGTTGCACCTGATAATGCAAATTGACATATGCTGATTATCAAAATCAATACAGTCAAATTGAAAAATGAACTTTGAAGAGGGAACATTTTAAGCAGAGAGCGGATTTATTTATACCAATCAAAGAGGGTCCGGAGGTATAGGCAGTCTTTGGTGACTCAAAATTGCCTCTGTCTCCAATATTAAGATTTGATTTACGAAAAAAAAGGTCTTTAAATTGCCTCCAGGGCTTCAGTCTTACGGACATCGCCATTTTTTTTTTCAGAGACCCGGTAGGAAATGTAAAGAAAAACGAACAGTTCTCTTGTTCCGCCACATGCAATCTCATTTATAGATCTTTCGTAACTGCCATGTTTTCGCTGCATTATGGGCCGTGCCTGTACTTTACCAGCGGTCTTTCATCAACGTAAATTGACCTTTGATTTAAAGTTAATTTCACCCTGCTGCGCCATTTTTTTTTTACTTTTTAAGACAAGAAATTAGAAAACGGGGTTTTATCTCACCATTTGATTTACGTCAAACAGGAGTGCTATCAAGGCGGTGATGATACCAGAAATTAGTGTAGCTCTGTAGGGTACCTGGGTTTTGCTATGCACTTTGGAAAACCATCTGAACAACAGCCCGTCAACAGACATGGAGTAAAAAATTCTTGAAGTGGAATAAACTGCACAGAGTAATGCACTGACAGTAGCAGAGATACCTCCGCACACTACGATGTACATAGCACCAGGAAAGGTCTTACGCCCGAAGGCCTCTGCCAATGGTGCGTACTCATCTAAGTCATAATAAGGTACCATGAGAGTGAGTACTGAAGCTACACTTATATAGGCCAACGTACTGAGTAGGATGGTGATAAAGAATGACTTGGGGAGATTTTTCTCAGGGTCTACCGCTTCTTCAGCGGCCTCTGCGACAATGTCGAATCCGGAGAAGGCGAAGAAAGCCCCCGCTGCACCTTCCAGTACACCTGAGACGCCGTAAGGGATGAAATTGTCTTTCCAGTGTTTTAAGTTTACGAAGAAGAATCCGAAAACAATTATAAAGAGAATAAATCCTAAGTTTATGACTGTCACTAAATTGTGAAAATTTGTGGAGGTGCGAGCTCCCAAACACAAAATAACCATTACTGCGACTACTAAGGCAGCTGCCAGCAGATCTGGAAAGGGCTCTTCCCCGGGAATGCTCCAGTAATTTGAAAAATGATTTGATAAGAAGAGGAACACCTGTCCGTTAGAAGCATAATCTATGAATCTGCTGCAAGTTCGTGCAAGACTGGCTCCCGCGATTAAAAACTCCAGAGCAACATTCCAGCCAACAATGAACGCAGATATTTCACCGAGGGTGGCATAAGTGTAATGATATGAAGATCCAGCATCAGGAAAACGGCTACCATATTCAGCGAATGAAAGGGCGCACAAAAACGCAGCGCTGGAGGCCAGGAGGAGAGAGAGAATAACTGAAGGACCAGCGACAGACCGAGCAAGCTCACCAATGATCACATATAGGCCAGTGCCGACTGTTGTTCCAACACCTAAGGAGATGAGGTCTATGGCTGTCAAGCATCTTCTCAGGGGAATTTCTGGGAGCCATGCTTCACGCGGCTTTTTGCGAATAAGGTTGTCGAGTAACTTTTTACAGATCATCTATGGAAGAAAATAAAGTCAGTTAGAAATCCTGTTGCAAATTTTTAAAGAAGATTAAATCCTTAAATCACAGAGTCTACAGGTATTGTATTGTAACAATTCTCTGACACCTACCTAGAAGGTTATTTTTATCTTTTTACGACCACAATTGTGCATGATATAATGTAAGAGTGATGTCAATTCAACGGATATAAAGGTTATATCAATTTTGCTGTTGCTGTTTTAATGACGCTGAGGTAGCACTCAGAATTGTCTCAGGACTTTAATGCTAATCACAATAGCAATTGCTGAGTCACTTTTTGCATAATAATAGAATATATGAAAAAAGAAGAGAAGCCCTGTGTAGCGTACGTACGATCTGTTGCTGGAAAAGAAAAAGCAGAATCTGAACCAGACGAAAACAGGATGTTTTGGTTTACTTATTCAGCTGTATTAATTGATAATGTTAAACGATAAAAATAGAAATATATATAATCTAAAAACAATGTAAGGGTTTCCTATACTGGTGTTGGAAAATGAATGGAAATAATATATTTGCATAAGCCATTCAGTAAACATTATAATAAGCCATTTGATCATTTCTTATTCCTTAAGGCGATCTTATCTTACAGGTAGAGTTTGGTTACTTTTTCCTTATTATGATCGTGAATTTGACATGGAGACAGATTTTTTTGCGTAAACTGCGATTTGCGGCTAGATATCGGTATATTTCCACTATGTTGCTAAAAGATGATTAATTACTAAGAAAATGACTCTACCTTATAAAAATTGATCTCGTACAGGAATTTCCTGGAAGTAACCCTCCTTTATACCTTTACCTCTTTAATATTCTCGTTTTTAGGCTAAATCCATGTCAAATTCCCGATCAGGAAAATAGTTCTTAAATTTTAATTTAGCACGTTCGACACCCCTCAGGAGTTTTTCATAGAGGTGACTTAAGGTGGAAACGTAGTACTTTTCATCTTCCGCACTGAATTTATAATCGGGTAATTTATACGAATAACACGTAGCTCTTTTAAAGGCAGTACCTTGGGTACGCCCTCTCTCCTCCGAATTTTCTGTTTATTCTGCTGTTATGTAACAGTCTTCGAGGACTATTTTCTCTAAAGATATCTTTTCAAGTAGGAATTTTATTTCTGTTAGTAAGTTTATTATAATTTAATATCTTTATAAAAAAATTTTTAATATAATGTTTTTGAATGGCCCGAACTTAACCGTAAGACTAAGAAATTTAAGGTAGAAAGTCATTTTGTAAAGCGTAAACATCACGAAGGTATCTACTTAGTATGCGAACTCAGCTCTGCGTAGCTTAGCGTGATTCGCTAGTTAAGTGTAAAAGCACGACGAAGGTTAGAGATCGACAGCTCAGTAAGCGTCACCTTAATTAGCGGTGACCCACACTTTCCTTGAGAGATTTTTGAGCTAATTCTCGTTCTATTAACTTGTAGTAAGAGAGAATAAAGAAAGAAACAACAGGACAACGAGTGTTAGAATTTTACTTCTAACAATAACGATGGCCGCAGCACATTTCATATTATTAAATAGCCTCAAGCAGCGGTAATGTACCGAATTTTCTAGGTTCATTTTAGTGTGTCCACTGTAAGCGTCGAGCCATTCTTAAATGATCGGAAACACTCTAAGTGACAAGGATCATTTGAATATTTGAAGGCGAAATCGAGCTCGTGTTTTGCATAAAGTCTGCACTCTAGCCAAGTGAACCAAAATATATAAGTGCTCACCCCGATTTTATCAATAACATACAACTACGCATTATCAAGTATTCTAAAATTACAGAATTTAAGAAAATTCGATGCAACAATAGTACATACAGAAGGCAAATCCAATCTTGCGAGCTGGTCATCAATCATGCATGGTTGCTTTCCATTTCGTGATGTATTTAGTTAACAGAATTAACATCCTCACAAACCTTAAAATTGACTTTAAGCTTTCCTTCGTTCACGATAAAACAGGGAGACTGAATTGTTGTAAAGTGAGGTGCGGTATTTTACCCGGTTATCATGTTAGAATGTAATGATAATAGTAATATTTAATGAGGGAACCCAGCACGCCAATGCTCGCCTCATGTCGGTGAAAATTTCGAAAGAGTACAAGATCGGGTAGTAATTTAAAAAAGCTTAGGAACACCAAAAGAGAACTTGAAATCTCATCTATTGTATGACTTTTGTTGTTATCCATAGCCTTTACCTGAAATCTAAACCGAATCTCCTTCAATTCGCCTAAACCCACATTTTTGAGCTACTGGGGTGAGTTAGGACTGAATGAACTAGTATGTTTGCTTTCTGAGGCGATCTACATGTAGATATTTGTCATTGTGAGGGGTGGATTTTGCTCTGGGGTTCAGTATTTACATCTGAGAGGTTTGGTGTCGACTAATTTTCACAGAGACGTATCTTCATCACTGGTAAGAGTTACCCCTGAGACTGTTGAGTCCACTGGTTCCCATAACGTAGTGCTCTCAAGATTAAAACTGCTTACGTCAAAGCTTCGGCTTTGACTTTTGAACGAGCTTCAGGAGGTAGCCCAATGTTTTCAGCCAAGGCTGAAACGGGGATGTAAAATACTTCTGAACGTGGCCAAGGAAAGCCTTGAGCTTTCAGACTCACCAGGCCTCACATACTAAATCTACGTGAAGTTCCCCCCTTTGTCTCGAAATGTGCAGTGTCATCTTAAAGAATGCGTTCATCATGGGAATCGATCGGCATGACCGGATGACTATGTTAACTGTGAATATTAATGGTTTGAAATGCATTTAATTGTTTTAAAAGTGTGTGCTAAGTTTTGACCGTATAACTGGGATATTTATCGACTTAACAGAACATTCTGTTGAGTTTCATCCCCATATACTGTAATGCACATGTGGTTCAATCAAATACATGGTGTGTACTATAACAGAAATGCTATGTGTCATCGCTTACCAATCAATAGAGCGAAACACGGGCACAACTTTCCTAACGACATCTGTTTTCTGCTATATGATGTTGCATTCACTCACCTCGAATTTTTGGGTGAAAGTATTATCACACGATCAACCTTCAGACTCATATTTTAGACTTTGTCCAAGAAAACCCATTTTATGAGCTCAAACATATATAACTTGGTTTACATGATATGAACAATTGGCGCCGATTCACTTAGGGGGTGTAACTACAAGGTGAATTACAATTGTCACGAATCAACTGAAGCTGAAAGCCTTTCATTTGTCTGTTTGTCCTATTGTTCGAGTGAAGAACACCGTCTTATTTATATTGTTGAGAAACACGTTTCAAGCAATTTCAGATTTTCTTGTGGGAGAATTTCCATGGCAATATTTGCAATTGGTTAGTAAGGCCAGTCATCTTAGTTAAATCAAGATTCTGGAAAAGGGACCATCTTCTTTACTCACAAATGTAACCAAAATTATCATTTCTTTTCTAGAGCACTGATTATTGTTATCATTTTTTCAGATTTATCTTATCTCTGGTGAGCAGTTTTCCACCCCCCCGCCCACCCCCTTGGAAGTTGCTGCACGCCACCAAAAAATACCAGTTATTACCAAGTAAATTGCCAAACTTAGCCATTTCCAGAACAATAATTCTTATCCAAAACTCAAATATTAAGACCAGTTGCTACGAAAAGGGGAGAAATAAAGGAGGCTGCTAGCAATGATTTCAGTTGTATTCTCGCTATAAATTGCATCTACATTTCCTTTCATGGTTCGCATAGTTTTTCGCTTTCCATAGTTTAATCTACATAAATGATCTAGGCTCAGTGTTGCAGAGCACAAAGTTGTTTTAAAAGAAGTTATTAATTTAATGGCTGGCGACTATGCCATTTGATCAATGTGTATTAAGTTTAAAACCTAGCAACGTTTGAAAATTTTCGAGTGTGCTTTTAGGCATCAGGATAAATTTTTGGCGGCTTCATGTCACGACATCTTTATTATTCCTTTCAATCAGTCGATGAAAAATTAGAAAATAGACCTTGGCATTGAATATACAACACAACTTAGTTTGAATTATTCACTTTAATTTTGATAGAGACAGCGGAGATATGAATAATGATTGATCAGCTGCTCCTGAGGTTTCTCCGTTCTTGAATTTTATATGCCGGCCTTTTATAAGCTTGTTTCAATTCAAAACCATTTCTTCCTAAAGGAGACGGAATGATTCGGATGCTTTCTAATTCTACCTAAATCAGACTAACAACGTCCTTTTATGAATTCAGAAAATCAATTCCAAGAGCTCAAAGTGAGAGCGATGTTCTTTGCGGTTAGTTATTAAAATTTTGAGCGGAACGTGACAATATCGTTGTAATTTTATTGATGGTAACGTTTAAGTTTGTCGAGTCCTAAGCAGAGCATAGATAGTGAAGTATTAAAACTTACCTCATTGTAAAGATTGTTCCCAACTAGCCGAAATTTCCCATTTTTTTGCAGGTTAACTTCAAGATCCCGTGCAGAAGACGAGAGGTCAGTCAGTTGTCACTTATTTCCATAAAGAGAATTCAATTTTTTTGGGCGAGCGAAATAATTATCCTCAATTCATGGACGAGAATTAACTCAGCATGAATACTTATCTCGTTAGAGCACTTTCTATTCACAGAAAACTAAATGTCTAGCTTAATGATATCAAGAAAATTTATCGGAAGACTTTTCTCAAACCCAACTGAAGCTGGCTAAACACAAATGGAAGATAAAGAACGTTAACAGCTTTGTACACAAATCAGTTAGTTGTGCCAGCTCATCCACGAAAGCATGGCTACCGAGAAGGCCTCGGGCATAGTGGCGTGGTGTATTTATTTGTCTGACAACATCTTATTGTTTTTTAAATCAATGAAAATAAATTAAAATACAGTCCCGCTGAATTCAGCCTGTGACATGCAAACGCATTCGTGACACCAAGTTTAGCCAACGTCAAAAAATCTGGTACTTAATAAAAAAATTGTGTCTTAACTAGGTACTTTTTGAAAGACTCTTCGACTGATTTTCTATGAAAAGTGTAGAGCAAGAGATGTCTGATATTAACATAACATGTCTCGAACAACATTCTCATGCAAATATCACTATAGCAACAGTGCTGAATAGTAAGAATCTCTCTGCTGGGCAGTTTGACTTCTTTCAGTGGAAAGCGAAGGAAACAGGACATTTAATTTTCGCAAGAGATTATGTAACGTTTTTATTGCCTTGGTTTTCGTTAAAGATTTTTTTGTGAACTTCATTCCAAAAGGTCTTTTTGACGAGTGCATACCCGTAATTTTCGAGCTTGAAGGAAACGCAATATTTCCTTTTGATTTCCTTTATTAAAAGAGTCGCAAAGGCAAATGAATTTGCCATTCTTTACGACATAACGATCTCTGACAGCTCTCTGAGACTCCTGAATGTGTGTTCAGATTTTGCACTATTTGGCTCCTTGCCGAACCTCGCTATTTGAAGCCAGCTTTGAATTTAAAGGGTTCACATGATAAGATTTCTCTGACTTCCATGACATCTTTTTGTTCTGTCCACTCCATCCACGAGTTAAACTATATTTGAAAAATAACTCGGCAAATTCGAGCCTTATACTATTAAAGCTTTTCTAATGATCGACACATCCCTTTTGAGATCATTACCGTGAAAAATTACAAACTATTAAGCTTATAAAAGTCGTTCTGCCTTGGCCTATCAAAGACAGAAATTGTTTTACACGTTATATGTGTAATGTTCAAGCGATCAATTGCCATCAATTGAATGCCGGAAAAAAAAACCTTTTGCGAAGAACGCAATCTTCTCTTGTGTACAAGAAGCGCGTATTTGTCTGCTTGTGAACATGGCGATTAACACACTAAATACAAAATTAATTTGAGTCGATTTAATATGCTTCTATATTAAAAGAAAGGCCAGGAGGAAGGAAATACAAAATGATTTAAGTGTTAAGTCAAGCTATCACAATCTACCGGTTATACACTGAAAAAATCGGAAAAGACAACTAATTATTCTGTTGAATGAAAGCAACCTCATCGTTGGAAGCTAGTTTGGCATGCGAAAACAATTTTGAAAAATAAGCCTAATAATGCTTGCAGAACATTATTTCAAACATAAAATCAATCATTATGTAGTTTTACCTAGCTTTCAAACTGAATTAGCCCGAAAGTAAGCTAAAAGTGATCAAAACAAAAGATTAAGTATTCAAGTTCTCGTCGCGACGTGAAGCTCCACGTTCTCGCGTTCTCGACTTTGGGACAACGGCAAGCCACAACGTGTTGTACATGCGCAGTGAGGACTGCAAGGAAATTTCACGTTTCTGGTTGCCGTCGTGAGGCCGGCGACGTCTGTTGCTTAACTCCTGTACAGGCCTGAATTTTTTTTAAAACTTTATTTTCAGTATTGCTCAAGTAGTGTTCATTACTGCAAATATCTCTCTCGTATTCATCTGCACTGAATGGCCGTTATTATCACTCATGGAATAACTGAGGAACTAATAGTAATCGCTGAAATGAATTTTTTTTTTGTATTTTTTTTTTTAACATTCTACCAACACAAATTAGTACGAAAAGCTGGTACAACACATAATCTACTTACAGTACATAAATTACAATAATCAAAATTTACAGTACACGTCTCAGAACAAACTATTCCAATATAATATTAGTACGACTGACTAGTTTCAAACTAAGAGACGCCGCAATGAGCCTGGTCAGTACACATAAGCAAGTGAAAATTATGGAGACAAGAGACATACTGAGACAGTACAAGCAACATACGGTTTTCTTCAATGCGCATACGGTATTTGTTTTTCCCATTTTTTGTAGTGCTTATAAAGTTTATCATTTTTGGTTACAATTTTTTTCTCAGAATAGTACACTGCTTTAATATTTGCTACCAAAGAAATCCTAATGTTGGATTAATGTCATTTAATTTACGTTTATAAATTTAAAAAAAAATTACCATAAGTATCAAATGGTTCATAATAAGACAATCTTTACTATTACTGAGATAATTTTGCCCCAGCAGGGCATGGTATATCAAGGTATAACAATCGTACATGAAAGACTTGAAGAAAAAAAACTGAAAACTAACCAAAAAAGCGAATTTGGAAAGAAATATGGAATTTTCGTTTTCATTATAAGCTTTCAATGTACCTAGAAAAATGTTTTGGTCCAGCAGCTCTAACTATTTATTTGCAACATCGTTTGAAGACATACTGCGTGTTTCTCAAGACAAACTGAAAACAGATCTCGACCCAGATCCAAAATCAATGTAGCAGCAACAACAGGTAACCAACAAAAGCCAACTACTATTTATTTTCCACAAATATTTTAGGGACCAAAATTAACTTAAATTAGCACTCTAAGGCACTTGGAAGTGTACAGTCTTAATAGCCGAGTGGTTAAAGCAATCGAGAAAAATTTATAATATGCACGGGTAGTAAAGTTCAAGACTGTAAAAAGAACAAAGAGGTTATGGAATTAAAGCAAATTATAACATTACCCAGGTTGCAGTGATTTTGCTTTATTTCGCTCTGTGATTGGTCTAAGAAACTCGCGCCACCACGTCAACCAATCAAATGCAAACTAAAACCAACTTCAACTTGGTCATTCGCGTTTTCCCTCGCTTCAAGTAAGTTTCCTGTTTTTGTTCTGCATTTTCACGAGAGAGAATCAAGTCTTCTCTTGCTCCCTTGGTTCTCATTGGTCAATGCTGGTCTTAACCTTTGTTATGATTGGTTGCTGTGATACTTTGGTTTTGGTTTTTCGACACTTGATTGAAAACTGTTTCAATAAATACGCGACAAATAGAAAAGAGAAAAAAATTCCCGATAACGATGGAACAAACTCATGCAAATTACTACGTTTATGGGGGAATATAAAAGGAATATTTAGAAAAGGTATTACAAAGAAAACTAAGCCATTGCTAAGAAAGGGATCTACTAAGAAATAAAATAATTTTAGTATATGTTGCCAGAGACAAAAATATGCTGGTCAAGGTTAATCGAAGGGTGGATAATGCTATCCACTGAATAAATCTCTGTCCAGTGAATAGCACAGTACGTTTTGTTAACACTTATCCACTTAATAGTGATTTATCCGTTGGAAAGCGTCATTCGCTCTTGGAATAACTGGGCCCTAAGCTTAGACAGCTTGCTATCACTTACTGATATATTACCGGTAATTTCAAAAATGTTTTTTGTTTCTAGTTGAAATGGTCGTCAATATTAAGATCTAGATATTTGACACATCGAAAATTATCCTTGGGTCTTGTCTAAAGAACCTCTTTTAGAAAAATTGAATGTTGGTAATTTCTCTGCAAAGAATAAAAGTTTAGATATTTGGCGACACTTATGTGGCTAATGTTAAGTCAATATTGCGCTTCATTTGACTGAAGACAATGCAATGTAATGAGGCCAGATCATGTTTAGAGCGAAAGTGTCGTAAAACCATACTCGAAGTAATTACAACGGCCGATCAGAAGTTTGAGTTCAAGACCCCAAGTTGGAGAAAATGCAAGCGACAGGTTCCCGATTGGTACTTGTGTTGCATGTGATTGGCTGAGAGTGTGGCGCCAGTTTCCTAGACAAATCAGAGGGCCTGTAATTCTTCCAACGCCTCCGGGATAGACGTCTAGAATGGAGGATTTGGGGCTCAGTCGACCCACAGTGATTTTTCCTTTGTACAAAGCTCGTCACACATCAACTCATGCATGTGGAGGTCTATCAGATTCGATTTAGGTCAGCTATCACTGCACGTCCGGCCCGCACGCGCCCTACCCGCCCCATACGCCTCTTAAATTTCCCACAAATTCGTCAGTTCCCGCTTTGTTGCTTGTCACGTTTTCTTTTTGGTTGAATGTATTTGAAGCTTGCATCCACGTCAGGATTTTCGAACAAAATAAAATCACCCTCGGTTGATTTCTTCGGTTTGAGCGCCTCTTTGCTTCGTCTGTATCCATATAAAGTGTAGATAATCAGTCCTGTAACATGGAAAAAAATAGACGATCAAATGAAATTATTCACTTAGAAAAAATTGCTGAAGGGAATAGTACAAATTATAGCTGTAAGAAAAAACGTAACCATCTTACTTTCCAAGAATAGGAGTTTCATTAGATAATTGCAGAACAGACTTTCGTTTGGGCATTAAGTAGAGCATACATAGCGTTGAGAGCGAGGCAGCGAAACATCGGCATCGGTTCTACCATCCGTTCTGGGCTCATTCTCCTTGTTGTTTTGTTGTCCCATTGGAGATCACAGATCATGGGATAGGACGCCAAGAATTGTTGTCTTAGAGATTTAGTAATGTCAATGCTTGTTTATATCATTGATTTCCACACAAAAAAGCACAGGAACGACCCAAAGATTGCAAATGTATTTGTAATTTTCGAATTGTTTCTTTGCTTTCCCATCATCAACCTATAGCTATATCATCATCATCATCATCATTATTGTAATCCCTCGTTGCACCAGTAGGGGCTTAAAGCCGTCACATTTTCCGTCCAACCCCCTCCGTGTGTCGCGTGCTAGCTATATATGGGTTAAATTTTCTCGGTACTCGTTTCTTGTTGGGAAGATGACTATTAAAAATCGGAGAAACTCAAGAAGTCGGTAAAGCGATGAGTCACTATAAAAACGTTCGAAAAAGAAGTGTCCTCGAGATTATATTACCTGGAATTAGCCACGCGCCAAATCGTACAAAAGACAAATAATCCAACCCGGAGATCAGAAGGATATTAACAAAAATGGTAATGATTGGTAGCCAAGGAGAACACGGCACCATGATAGGAAACTCTGCATGGTTCTTAGGCTGTCGTGTTAGGAATATAACAGCAGCAACTATAAAAACTCCACTCATGCCAGCAGCAAAGAATGCCCAGCTCTCCCCCTTTTGGATGCCATTTGACATAGTCATGAGGACAGCGGCGAGGCAAGAAAGACTGAGAACCAATAAAAATACAGCAAAGGTGGCATTATCACGTGTCATCGTGTTAGGCTTTTTTTTAGTGTTACTTTTTTGGATGTCACGTTTCTCAAGTTCTGATTGATCGAAGAATGGAGGTGGATATCGTGATTCCAATGTGATTGACTTCAGCCACTCGTTTGTTCGTTCAAGCTTAGCTGCTTTCCCATACACTTGACTTTCCACACCAGGCTGGTAACGTGCTAATAAGATCGAAATAGCAACCAAGGTGTAAGCCAAGAGGGTGCCAATTGAGAGAAGCTCAATCTGAAAAGAATACAACACCTGATGGGATGTTCAGTGATATCAAATGTGCCACCCAGCTCGGAGACAGAAATTCTAGGTAATTCAGCTATATTATGATTGTTTGTGAAATAAAATAAAGACGTGATATTCAACAGAAAGGACCAGGGCTGTTTTTGAGGCCTGTGAGGTGTTTCAATTATACCAGAATCATTTTGATACCACCCGTGACAGGTTTAAGCAATTTGTCTTTATTTTGATTATTCTCTGTTAACAAGACACCTTTACAACAACTCTTCAAGAGCCATGCAAGTGTGAGCTTACCGTGGTTGCTGTGTTGAAGCGAAATATTACTCATGGGAAAAGGAACTATATCTGTTATCCAGACAAGGAGCAATCCCTATCCGGTAAGAAATTAGACTAGACTGGGACGGAATTTCATAAACGTTTTTCTGATAGGTACATGACAAAAATGATACGACAGAAAAAAACATGTTGTTAACACTATATTCAAGAGCTTGCAGGATGATTACTGTACCGCGAGGACTCTCATAATCGCGGCCCCCTGATACACTCACACCGTATCTTACGATTGCCTACTTTAACCAGAGAAACTATGTCCAAAGATGTCATTTTGACACAAATAGTTGTGTAGAGCCGGGTGTCAAAGAACTGCCTATCAAGGAAAAAACAAAGCTGTAGAGATTTTCTTGGAGGCAAAGATTTCTGTATGCAAGCACACACTTCGTGGAATGAAAAACATGCAAACGAAAAATAATATCAACAACGAAAACAATAATAAAGAAAGTTAGCCGTAATATACCAAATGTTCTGTGGAGAACAAAGCTGCCAAGCATCCACTGAACACACCATGGACAATGGAAATTGTCGTCAAGGCACTGGATATTTCATCACTACAAGCAAAGCCAAACAGAAGGCCATCAACAACCATAGTACAGAAAACGCGAGGTGCCGCCAGCGAACACGAGATCAAACCATGTGATGTTGCTGAAATTGCTCCAATAGCAATGGCATAGTCAGCTCCTGGAATAACGCGAAAGATCTTAGCGAGGGGCGCGAAACCGCTCTTTTCATCGAAAGGTATTGCCAAGGTGAAGATAACAGTAGTTCCGCAATACATTATTGTTATTAAAGTAACTGTTAAGATTGCAACTAGGGGAACCGATGACCCTGGTCTTTTTATCTCTTGGCTTGCAGAAGATATGGCATCCAGGCTAATGAAGGTGAAGTAGCTCTTAGCAGCGGCTCTCAAAATGTCATGGGCACCATATGGCACAGCTTTATTGTGTGTCCAGTTATCTGGTTTTGCAAAAAAAAGACTGATGACAAGAAGTAGGATTAATATTGCAGAACTGAAAGCTAACATGGTGTGGTTGAAGAATATGGCCCATCGCATTCCCACAGCAATGATACAAGTCACGGCTATTGGTAGAACGAATGCAAGAAAATCTGGAAATGGAGCCAGAAAAGGATCATTCCAAGTTGCCACCTCGTCTTTAAAAAACTGGTAAGCCCTTCCTCCGAATATGTAATCAATGTACTCGCTGCATGTTCTTGCTAATACTGCTGTTACGATCACATATTCTAAAATCATTGTCCAGCCCACGATGAAAGCCCAAATCTCACCAAGAGCTGCATAACAATAAACGTAGGCTGAGCCACACTTTGGAATCCTTGAGCTGAACTCGGCGTAACATATCCCGGATAATAAAAAGGATAAAGAAGTCACAATGACGGATAAAATGACAGCAGGCGCTGCAATATCTCTTACAAGCTTTGGAATTATGATGTATACACCAATACCAATTGCTGTACCCGCTCCCAAGAGTGTCAAATCCATAGTTGATAAAAATCTTCTGAAAGAACCCTCTGACAAACGTGAAAGGTCGGGTTTGGTTCTTGTTATTTTTGCCAACAAACTCGGGTATTTTGAGCCTAAAAATGAAAAGCCATGTTGTTAACTATATGGTACGTGGTTGGATTTGTTTAAGATTCCCCACGAGTTAACTATTATTGAACAAGGTTACTCTTATACTGCGATGCAAAATTTGGCTATCATCTCCTCATATTGGCACAAACAAGGGTGTGAATATGTTACTATCAAGTTTACGCTGTAAATGACACTATTGACATTATTGTCGTTAGAGAGGTTTTTTCGTCATACACAGACCTAAACAAGCCTAGAAGGGGAGCTTTAGTTGCGTGATTTATACTACCCTTCACCAAACAAATTTCCTTACAAGTTTTTGCTCAAAGGAAGATTCTGTTTTACATGCTGAGCTGTAGCTACAATGCACCACGATTAGGAAGATTCTAAGGCGCATTTCTCTTACCGCTTTGTCCTTCGTCATATTCTTCGAGATTCTCTGACATTTTCTGCAAAACAGAATGCATAATTCATTAGCTTAACATCGCTTGATGTCGGTGTAATCAGTTATTTGACTTTCAAATTTTTTTTAAAGATATGTCCTTCCTTTCTCAAGCTATCTTTATCAAAGTCCATTTTTATCACTTGATTCCACGTACACATAGAAGAGATTGAAGAAAGATTCTAGACTATCATCAGGAATACCAGGCAACTAGAGCGGATGTTTGAAGATTCTCTTCCTTGACGTTAATCTAATACTCGCTTGTTAACTCAGATTTTCTCCTTTCGCCCAACGCACGAGACGACGCCGTTTAAGACATCTTTCTTTATTTCTCTCATCTATTTCCATAAAAACGAGATTAGCTTTAACTTGACACAATAAGGTAAATAAAAAGTAAAATGAGGTGCTCGAGTTCATTGTTGGTGACATAGATAGATCGAAAAATCGAAGGCATGGTCGATATTTTAGTCTTTATGTATATAACACAATCAACCTCTTGGAATATTCATGCTTTCTTGTTGTAAGGACAGTAAAAGTACGAGAGTATTCCGATAGGAAAGATTTTGTGCTTTATTATGGAAAATAATTTATGCTCTACCCTCAAATGTGTTTCAAACATTTGTATTTCTCGCTTGTGGCCATGTAAATTTTTGTTTAAATGGTTATAAAATTGCCTTGTTCTTTTTCAAGAAGCAAATAAAATCCTTATTCCAATCCATTCCAAAGAGAGCTTGAAAGGTAGCATGGTTTTGTTTCATACACTTCCATGAATTTGATCAAACGATAACATGGAGTATCTCTTGATGAAACACTGACCTACCACTTTCTATACCAACTAACCAGTTTCTCTGCCAAATTATTCTGAATAACTTTTCGAGGATTAATATCTTTAACGAGTTTGTTAAAGGCCAAAGTTTATCGAGGAACTGTTAAAAATTAAACCTACCTTATTCATATCGATATTTGAAATGCAAGGCCTCACTACAACATGATAACAAAGAAGTCATGCCAGTTTACTTACACTGAAGGTTTCCGGTTGGTCCGTTCGGTTTGTTTTGCCGTAGTAAATCAAGTAATAGAACTGTGTACTGAGTACTGTGCTTATTGATAGTTTGATTTAAGTTACTTTCCTTTTTCTTTATTTTAGTAACGTACCCGTCAGTAAGCACCAGCTCCTGGGTGATGGTTCAACGTCAAAAGAACTTTTCTTAAATTAGCATTTATTTGATGCCAAGGCAACCAGTTTTAGGAATATTAACTAACTCCCAAATTAAAAGGTACGATACCATTTATTCAACAGGAACACGTATATGTTCTAAAGACGCACATCTCACAACGGCAGTTAACAGAATGATAAACAAAGAAGTTATGTAGGGGCCCGCACCACGAAAATGATTTTAATAGAAGACCTTTCTCTCCTGAAATTGTCCTTAAAGATGCCAAAAACAAGTGCAATTATGGCATTGCTTTTTAGTCATACTCAATCCATTTTAAAAGTTACACAGAGCTGGAATCCAAAGTAGTTCCCCTGTAAAAATAGCGGTCGAATTTCAAAACTCATCAAAACAAAAAATTAGCCCTATGGCAAGACTGTAAAAGGTCAAAACATGCAATACTTGCTAGAATTTTCACACCAATACAACTTCCCTTCAGTTGAAAAATAGCCCCTGAAAATCTTCATGTCTTATCGTAAACGTTTATGTGATTGCATTATGGTCTGATCAACCATGCAAATGTCGATAATTTTCTTCATCAAATTTAACTCAAAATTTTAATACCTCTCTCAGTTGATGCTTGCGCTATAATATAGCTCAGTTTTGCTGTACAGCCCCCTTGATTCAAAAGTTTGTTTGAAATGAAATCTTATCCTCTATCTCAACCCATTATAATATAATAAATATCTTGCTAACCTCGTCTTTTTCGGTCAACACTGTAAGTTACGGAACCTCGTTTTCTTCCGCTCGGATTCGAACTCGGTTAGTAAGAAATAATTATCATTTTTCTACTGAAGCGTATGTGGCTAAAAATTTTACGTTTTGATATTTCCAAATACAGGGTGGCTATTTGAGTGTCGATTTAAGTTTTCTTAGCATTTTGATATGTTTTATTCTTCTAGCCCCCGTCTTAGATATCTTTCGAACAGCAACTGTTGCGGAGGATATCATTTGCATCTTTCAACTTGGGTCCTCCAGGCGGCTATGAGCTGGTTCTTCACATACAAATGAAACTGCTCTTGATGAACATGGGGGGTTGGGAAGGGGTGCAAGCGTTAATCGAGGCCCAGGCTTTTGATCGGGATCCCGACGACTTATTGCCGTCGAGCTAACAAGTAACTAGAATTATGAGCAGCTTTACTGCGACATACTGCTGCTTTAATTTGGTAATTACATGAAAATGTTCAAAGGAAATGGAAGAATTCTCATGGAAGACCCCACGACAGATTGTTGCGGCTGGACAAATTTAAGGGGAAAAAAATATGCCATCTTTACCCTCTATTTCCGAATAATCGCCGGTTAGTGGTTGATTCGAAAAGGCCAGGTTTCAGTGAAGTAAACACTGGGGGCGGTTAATCGAAAAAGAAGAAGTAATAAAACTTGAATTAATGATTTCACAATTTAAAATATGTAGGGTGAGTTGTTTCTTTGATTTTGCTCTCAGTTATGGTCTTTCACGACTGTTGCTGTTAATTTCGATCTTCAGTTAAGTTGGGCTATTACAAAGTGGGAATCAATGCATGATCATGCAAATATTTCTATGTTAGATATATCACTTTCACCAAAGAAGGCTTCTTCCATTTCAGTTTCTGAGTAATCAACACTTCTGTTTGCTCTGTGGTGTATAGTAATGCCCTACGCTATTAATATGAACTTATTTGTAGGGGCAAAAGATGAAGCCCTTCTCTCAAACATAACTACCGTTGAAAATTAAAAAAAAAAAAGAAAAGAGAAAAAATAAGTGAAACAGTCCTCGCTTTCAGTTGATTGATAATGTGTTTTGACTGGGAGACTTCGTAATTTTTGCAATGCTCAAAGCGGAGCGTTAAGTGTCGTGTACCTTACTGACTAAACCGAAGCTCACTAGAAATATCGCTATTGAACACTAAGGTGCAACGTGCTCGCCAGACGTTCAATTGAATGCTTTGTTCCATTTCATAATTGCCTAATTTTCAGAAGTCGTAACCACCTCAGTTATAATAGAGTGTGAATGCGAACGAAAACTCGGTTAATGAAAAAAATTGAGGGTACACAGAGACACTGCCCCACGTAAAGAAAGAGACTGAAAGGGAAATCCAAAGACCAGTAACAGTGACAATCATATGCTGCCGACAACGGCAATGTTTAAGGTGATTCACAGAAATGGTTAACCCTTTAACTCATAAGAGGGACAAGCATGTAATTTCTCCTAACAGTATCACCCCTGAATTACACATTAAGGTCATGAGTATAAAGAAGATGGTCACTAAATATAGAAGCTCTTGATTGTTAAATGAATTCTCCTTGTCAGCACCTTAGAAACTGTATCGAGAACAGTATGGAGAATGTGCATACTGATTTTAGGGTGTAAGGAGTAACTGTTAATTATCGTTTTTCTGTGTGAGGGCTGTCAGACTTATACCTGATTGAGATAAACTCATTTAACAAATCAGACACATTTTTATTTTGTTTTACACAAATTGATTACATGAAGGTGTCGACTTCTCAGCGTCTAAATGCAAAGATCGAACTAAGCCTTCTTTGAGCTGTGTCTCAGGTTGCTCTAATTATCAAGAGGCTGTCCTTTCGCCCTCAAGCCTGCTTGTGTAAAACAGCAATACCATCTTCCATTCACAATCCCTGGTTAAAAAATATTTTAACTGATCAGTAAAAGCGAAGCAAAGAAGTCGTTGAACAAATCTTAACGATCCTATAACTAATCAACTTTATATGAAGGATAACTTAAGAAGCGTGAAATGCAAAGTCAATTTTACCTTCCTGCTATTATGAGTTTTTTCAACATCGGACGCAACACTTTACGTCGGGAAATATTAAAAGGAACGAGCCTGATTGATTCTTACGGTCGTTTCTTCATAATGCATATTTCTTTAACTGACACCATCTCTAGCTACTAAATCATAAACTTAAAATGTCGTACTTGTAACAGTTTATCAGTGGCTATGATTGCATATGTGACGTGAGAAATAACTTCATAAATATCAATCATCGAAGAATGATCAGTTCCTCATTGAAGCTAAATAAAATAAGGATAAGATCTGAATAACAAACCTAATGTGCGTTTTTCTCTGGAGAAGCGACCATTATTATAGGTTTTCTCTATGTGAGCTCTTTGGTCTCTTGCCTTCCAGTCGTTCCACCAAGCAATTATTGCCTCGTTTTCATAATAATAATCAGAGATACTGTCCAAGGCTAAGAATATTAAAAATAAATGCGTAGATAAGAAACTTGAAAAGTTAATAAAATATTGACGTTATCTTTTCAGAATACCGCAATCATTCGTTCAAAGCAATTCAAGATATATCACTTTGTGGAGTAGTACTGTTTTCAAAGCTAACTATTTCGAGCTCTCCTGTAACTCGAACTTGGAGCCTCGTTCCAAAGCTTTCTCAGCAATTTTGTTCTGATTTGACCTGGTCACTAACTCAAACAACAAGAGTCTTTCTCACAAGGTTACCCTTTTAACTCGAAGTAGCATCAAGCGAGAGTAAATAAAACAAATGTTTATTACGAGTCTCCATCCCCATAATGGCATGGAATGCTCTGTTGCCTTAGTAAAATTCCACCTGCCTCGAATGGCATCTATTTAGACTCGCCGCAACCACCAGAAATCTTTGCGATTTGACATTGTTGTTGCGGTATTTCTACTCAGTATCTGAAATGAACCTGTCAATCCAGTATCTTAATGAGTATTCGATATTTATATGGGAATGAAATCCCGGACAGCAACTGTGTTACTCGAGCAACTATCAACATTGTGTTAAGCTTCCATATAAAAAGACACTCCGAGGAATCTAATTTGCAATCTTCCACTATACTGAGCACCAACCTTTCGTTCCAGTTTCTATCGCCTGGTTTAGAACTGCGAGTCCTGCTTGAGCTCCTGCCATAATGACTGTTCTCTATTTCCCAACACTTGTTACAAATAAGTCTATTAAAAAGATTGTCCAGTGTAATAAATTTCTGAATCAATACCTGCAACCCGCTGAATTAGTACAAAAGGGATGTGTTTTTACACCAGAAATACGGCGAAGGGTTGTGTTGGGTGAAGGATGAAAGTATAGTCAAGAGCAGCCTAATGCCTGTGTCGACCATTTGTAAGACGAGCAAGTTAGGAGTAGTACTCGAAAATAAAAATTATTACAAAGCAAAAAATGGGCCTAACCTTTTACAGCGTCTTGAGTGACCTCCGAATGATTTAGCGAAGTAAGCCGTTCTTGGCTTATAAACTTTTAATCAGGAACTAAATGTCAACATGCCAATCAAATCAAAGATGGTAATAAATGATCGCCGAAAATGAAGAATGGGTGGGCCCATGCCTGTTCGATGTTTAAGGTGATCTTTGAAAACAGGAAATTGTATACGAAAATAGGAACGGGAAAAAAGAAATACAATACTACGATTCCACTTAAAACTAGATCAATCAAAACAACATACTCTGTGCCAGCTCTACTGTGCTACGTGACTTTTGTTATTTATGAGTAGTTTTATATTTAGAGAAGAGTTGTTCTCATAGAAATGATTGTGAAGATCACCCAAACACTTTGGTATTTCCATCGGTTTTAGATGTTTAGTCAAAGTACAAAGAACAATTGCCGGGCAAGTCTTCGGTGAAAACAAATCTAATGAATTTGCCTGTTAGGACTGGCCACTACAAAACAATGGCATATTCCTCTAATTGATAATATTGATTTGGCTTTGTATGTCGTACTGATTGACAGAACTCAATAACATCCTTCTAGAAGCATTTTATTCCTCACTGGGGCGGATGAACTGAAATGTGAATCATTTCTTAAAATGGATGGAAATTATGCAATGAAGGGCCGGCTTGTACTTGCTTTATGGTGCAGTTTGATGAGCAGGCAGGTATTCCGGCTGAATAATCCCCTTGCAAAAGTTCAAGACGTTCTTCACGATTGCAACACGGATAAAATCTTCGGAGGGCTTGGTATGTTAGCTAAAGCAAAATCTTGTATGTTTCAGCCGCATGCATGATCACATGTTATTATTGAGTGCTGTCTGCAGTCAGTGAAACGACAATCGTTCTCTCAGGTACACAAGATTTTAAGACAGAATGAAAAGAAAAGAGCGCAAGACTCGCACGCCGGTGGTCTCTGGTTTAAGTCCTGAGCCACGCCTGTACAGAGTGCAGAGCAACAAGGGCTGGCAATTTTCTTCTGGATTCCTTCAAACTGCAAACTTGAGCCAAAAATGAGTAAAGGGTCATACGATTTTAGCGGTTACATCTCGAGCTCACTACCTGATATAACAACTAATTGTTTACTATAGTCACAGGGCGAAACTATTTAATTTTTGTAGCAAGAATGACGGCTCCAATTTAGGATAATTTGCAGATAATATATCGCAAGTGTGATCCAAACCCAATCTCTTAATGAACACTTTCTTTAGTAATCAACAGTCAGCCAATCGAGAAAATGTAAAAAGAGAAACTTCAGCGTATGCAGTTATCACGAGCCAACCAGGTAGATGTTTCTGATCTCAGGAATAAAAGAGTCACTTCTAGGAATACTATTGTGTGTTTCTTATTCTTGCCGTCTCTGTGTCTGATGCCAGCACCAATCCCTTCTTGTGCGATTAATCAGAGAGAGCCACTTTAACTTAAACTGCAACATTTTTCCAAATCAATAATACGATAAGGAAAGGGCTTGCTTGACGTTATATCGGGTTCCCAACGACTAATTGCGGTCGAGCCAACGTTTCTGAGCATAAACGCTTTGAAAGGTAAAATAACACTAAGAGTGATAATTCTCAGAAATTAACCCAACGCATTACCAGCAATCCGAGACATTTTACTCCCGCGGTCCGCGAGGTCAGTAGTTTCTTCAGGTTCTACTGTTCATGCGCTATGGCGTCAGATTTCATGTAAACATGGAGCGAAGTAGATTTCCGCGGAGGAATCGAGTTGATTATAAAGCACTAAATGTTCTTTCTACAGTGGATTTAGAAGTTCATTTGAAAGGAAGGAGAAAATTTAAAAGCGGATCTAAAGTTTATTTTGTGGAGAGACTTATCAGCCGGCGAAGATTGAAGAACGAGGTATGTGTATTGACCCTTTTATAATAATAATAATAATGAACGTTCTTTAATACGCATTTAAGAATCTCAATGCGCTTACAATTTTTTTACTAAGGTTGAGATCGGACGTCAGCATAATCAGGCGCCTCTGGCAGCCGCTTTAGTCCATGTAACGACCTCACCTTTTCCCCCCCATCCCACCCCAGGGGAGGACATCCATCACACAGTAATCTCGTGCGTGGGAAATTAACGTCTCCTACCCCTAACCCTGCAGGAGACGGGACCTCCATTTATTCGTCCCTATCCGAGAAGACTAGAATATCTAACCATTTCTTGATGTTGAGAAAGGAAGCATATTCTTCTCAGTTAATTTTAAGACCCTGAGTGTTGGTCCGGCCGGTATTGAACTCTCGACCTCCCGCACAGCAGTTCGGCGCTCTCCCAATTGAGCTAACCAGGCGGCGGTTTTATGTTCCTGCAGCTATATTTTACTTCGGATGAAATTTATACTACAATCGAAGTAAGTTCATAAACAGCTCTATCTCGCTATTCGAGATTCTTGAACGCATTGCTGTTTTATATAAGAAAGAGGAGATTCAGTGACCTTAAGTTGAAATTCTAGGGATTTCTTTTCGAAATCGAGCAAAACATCAGACATTTTTTGACGATTCAGACTGGAATGAGCTCACAGTGATACAAGTTTTGTTTTTTATAATTGGCGCGATTTGGCGCTTGTAGGAGTCTGCAGATTGTTAAAACAGCGGTAAAAAGCGTGGAAATGCTAGGCTGCTAAGCTGAAGTAAATATGGCGACTTTTTTCACGAAGAAAACGATGGAAAGTGGTCGTTCTTCGCGTCCTACAGGACATTCGCGAGCTCAGGTAAAGGTTACGTCTAATAGTGAAAAAGCCCTATTTTCAAGATTGATTTGCGGCCTCCTATTTTATCATGGAAGGCTTTATTTAACGTATTTGAAAGATCGTAAACTGAAGAAAATTTTGAGGGTCGGCACCGATGAAAGCATGAAACACACGGACAGCTCAAAGCATGGAAGTGAAGGTAAGTGAAGGTATTTGGATGAAACTATAAAGGAAGTACAACCGAAGATCTTTGTTATTTTACCTCTATTCCGCGGCTCGACGAATAAACGAAACGGTGAAAAACTTTCGCTTCGTAGTGCAGTTGCATATTATTTATCAACGAGAGGTCGGCACGTAGAATTTAATTTATTTAAACTGCCAAAAAATAAGATTTTATTTCAGATCCCATACATTTCTTTGTATCTTCGGGAAGCCATTTTGAAAGTAATCTTTGATTGACGTACGGTATTTGAGACGCAATATGACTCGCATTGCTGGTAATGGACAGTTTGTTGCGGTTAGACAAATCAAAGGAAAAAAATCATGCCGTCTTTACCCGCTAAACCTGTGTCTCCTAAGCACTGTAAAAAGAAACAAAATCGGAGAAATGTGATGGGCATGAGTTTATTTGACAAAGCAAGAGTGGAAGTCCTTCACTTAAACATAACTACTGTTGATAAAAAAGATGTTGACCTTCGTCTTAATTTGATTGATGAAGTGTTTCTGTTGACTAAAAGGTCAGTTCTGAAGCTGAAAATAACCCTTCACATTTAGGTGTCCCTTCCTGACCAAACCGATTATCAAATATCACAACAAACTCTGACATGCAACGTGAAGGCCAGACGTAATCGGCTTCTTGATTTTGTAATTTTGTACGATGCTTTTCCTTCTCGTGCGATAATCTTTAATCTCTAACCCACTTTAAAAATTGGATTTAGGAATTGAACGGCGTTTTAATTCCCTTATCTTTTCCACTTTGTCTTCGTATTCTTTTGAATGCTTTATGTTCCTACATATACTTTTTATGGGCGATCAGTGAAATGAGGGAATATTTTGGCCTGTTCTTCGCAGGGAAGATTTACACTTGGGTCAGAAGAAATGAACAATATCACCCGCGTGAATATTTTTTATAGCTTGAGAAACATCAAAAAATTGTGATTGCAGGTCCAAATGTGTAGATTGTTTTGTGGGTATCACATGGAAAACTTATCCATTTGTCTTGATTGAGCTGAATCAAGAGAACGCAAGATCTCTTGGCCGAAGAGATGGAGTAATATGGGTTATTACACAAGCGATCTCATCATGATGGCGAAATAGGACTTTGAAGTCTTTCCTTGATGAGTTTGAACAAATGTTTGAGAAAATCGAGTCGAGCCTACGATTCTGCTGCCTCTGGCTTGAAAATATTCGTACATTATAGATTTCACCATTTTGCATGTCATAGTCTTCAGCTCACTTGACTTTCGAGCCAACTGAAATGTGCGTTTACTATTTGCATTTTAAACGACGTAGCTTTAATGGAACGAAAAAAGTGAGAAAGGAAGAACGTACCCACGAATGAACTGTTGAACGGTTCAGTTCAGTATCAATTCAAGTAAGATTCCATGACAGCTTTTAAGACTTTGGTTTCAGTCAAATTAGCGGAATAAATCATAGGATCCGGAAAGAGGGAAGGATGGGCCCATGCCTGTTCGACGTCTAAGGTCAATTTTCTAAACAGAAATTTGTTATTTTTCTCGTTTGCAACAGGCAGTGGCGTGAGCCTTGTTCACTTAAACCGGCCGTCATTTATCATAGTGGCACGTGCAGGCCCAACTAATTGACCCATTGTTTGCATCGTTACCTTTCGCCGTAAAGTGTTTGATGTGTACTGAGATTTATTCGCTGGCAGAATGCCTTGGTTAACAGGAAACACTCAATTCACAAAGTCACAATTCGTTTTCAAACACAAGCAGAAACATAGACTGATTGAATTGACAACTTCTTGCAAAATCATGACAAGAATGCAACCATTTCTCTTCCACGGATGAAGCCGAACAGAAGGAATGCATCGTCACTTAAGCAAGATAGAGCGCGCCTCTTCACTAAAGTTCTTGATCTTGAGCACAAGGAACGTGACGGAATGAGAGACTTCGTAATTTTTGTAATGCTCAAAGCGGAGCGTTCAATGCGTTTGCCTTGCTGACTAAACCGAAGGTCACCAGAAATATCACAGCTGAACACCAAGGTGCAACGTTCTCGCCAGACTTTCAATTGAATACTTTGTTTCATTTTTTAATTGCGCCGTCTTAAGAAGTCGTTACCACCTCAGTTATAATAGAGTGTGAATGTAAACAGAAACTCGGTTAGTGACAAAATTAAGGATACACAGAGAAACTGCCCCATATAAAGAAAGAAACTGAAAGGGAAATCCAAAGACCAGTAACAATGACAATCATATGCTGCCGACAACGGCAATGTTTAAGGCGATTCACAGAAATGGTTAACCCTTTAACCCCTAAGACGGACAAGCATGTAATTTCTCCCAACAGTATCATCTCTGAATTACACATTAAGGTCATGAGAATAAAGAAGATGATCACCAAAATTTAGAAGCTCTTGATTGTTAAATGAATTCTCCTTGTCAGCACCTTAGAAATTGTATCGAGAACAGTATGGAGAATGTGCATATACTGAGTTTGGGGTGTAAGGGGTAACTGTTAACTATCGTTTTTCTTTATGAGGGCTGTCAGACTTATACTGAATTGAGATAAACTCACTTAACAAATCGGACACATTTTTATTTTGTTTTACACAAATTGATTACATGAAAGTGTCGACTTCTAAGCGTCTACATGTGAAGATCGAACTAAGCCTTCTTTGAACTGTGTCTCAGGTTGCTCTAATTATCAAGAGGCTGTCCTTTCGCCCTCAAGCCTGCTTGTGTAAAACAGCAATACCATCTTCCATTCACAATCCCTGGTTAAAAAATATTTTAACTGATCAGTAAAAGCGAAGCAAAGAAGTCGTTGAACAAATCTTAATGATCCTATAACTACTCAACTTTATAAGAAGGATAACTTAAGAAGCGTGAAATGCAAAGTCAATTTTACCTTCCTGCTATTATGAGTTTTTTCAACATCGGACGCAACACTTTACGTCGGGAAATACTAAAAGAGCAAGCCTGATTGATTCTTACGGTCATTTCTTCATAATGCATATTTCTTTAACTGACACCATCTCTAGCTACTAAATCATAAACTTAAAATGTCGTACTTGTAACAGTTTATCAGTGGCTATGATTGCATATGTGACGTGAGAAATAACTTCATAAATATCAATTATCGAAGAATAATCAGTTCCTCATTGAAGCTGAATAAAATAAGGATAAGATCTGAATAACAAACCTAATGTGCGTTTCTCTCTGGAGAAGCGACCATTATTATAGGTTTTCTCTATGTGAGCTCTTTGGTCTCTTGCCTTCCAGTCGTTCCACCAAGCAATTATTGCCTCGTTTTCATAATAATAATCAGAGATACTGTCCAAGGCTAAGAATATTAAAAATAAATGCGTAGATAAGAAACTTGAAAAGTTAATAAAATATTGACTTTATCTTTTCAGAATACTGCAATCATTCGTTTAAAGCAATTCAAGATATATCACTCTGTGGAGTAGTACTGTTTTCAAAGCTAACTATTTCGGACTCTCCTGTAACTCGAACTTGAAGCCTCGTTCCAAAGCTTTCTCAGCAATTTTGTTCTGATTTGACCTGGTCACTAACTCAAACAACAAGAGTCTTTCTCACAAGGTTACCCCTTTAACTCGAAGTAGCATCAAGCGAGAGTAAATAAAACAAATGTTTATTACGAGTCTCCATCCCCATAATGGCATGGAATGCTCTGTTGCCTTAGTAAAATTCCACCTGCCTCGAATGGCATCTATTTAGACTCGCCGCAACCACCAGAAATCTTTGCGATTTGACATTGTTGTTGCGGTATTTCTACTCAGTATCTGAAATGAACCTGTCAATCCAGTATCTTAATGAGTATTCGATATTTATATGGGAATGAAATCCCGGACAGCAACTGTGTTACTCGAGCAACTATCAACATTTTGTTAAGCTTCCATATAAAAAAACACTCCGAGGAATCTAATTTGCAATCTTCCACTATACTGAGCACCAACCTTTCGTTCCAGTTTCTATCGCCTGGTTTAGAACTGCGAGTCCTGCTTGAGCTCCTGCCATAATGACACTTCTCTATTTCCCAATAGTTCTTACAAATAAGTCTATTGAAAAGATTGTCCAGTGTAATAAATTTCTGAATCAATGCCTGCAACGCACTAAATTAGTACAAAAGGGATGTGTTTTTACACCAGAAATGTGGCGAAGGGTTGTGTTGGGTGAAGGATGAAAGTATAGTCAAGAGCAGCCTAATGCCTGTGTCTGCCATTTATAAGACGAGCAAGTTAGGAGTAGTACTCGAAAATAAAAATTATTGCAAAGCAAAAAATGGGCCTAACCTTTTACAGCGTCTCGAGTGACCTCCGAATGATTTAGCGAAGTAAGCCGTTCGTGGCTTATAAACTTTCAATCAGGAACTAGATGTCAACATGTCAATCAAATCAAAGATGGTAATAAATGATCGCCGAAAATGAAGAATGGGTGGGCCCATGCCTGTTCGATGTTTAAGGTGATCTTTGAAAACAGGAAATTGTATACTAAAATAGGAACGGGAAAAAAGAAATACAATACTAAGATTCCACTTAAAACTAAATCAATCAAAACAAGATTCTCTGTGCCAGCTCTACTGTGCTACGTGACTTTTCTTATTTTTGAGTAGTTTTATATTTAGTGAAGAGTTGTTCTCATAGAAATGATTGTGAAGATCACCCAAACACTTTGGTATTTCCATCGGTTTTAGATGTTTAGTCAAAGTACAAAGAACAATTGCTGGGCAAGTCTTCGGTGAAAACAAATCTAATGAATTTGCCTGTTAGGACTGGCCACTGCAAAACAATGGCATATTCCTCTAATTGATAATATTGATTTGGCTTTGTATGTCGTACTGATTGACAGAACTCAATAACATTCTTCTAGAAACATTTATTTCCTCATTGGAGCGGATGAACTGAAATGTGAATCATTTCTTAAAATAGTTGGAAATTATGCAATGAAGGGCCGGCTTGTACTTGCTTTATGGTGCAGTTAGATGAGCGGGCAGGTATTCCGGCTGAATAATCCCCTTGCAAAAGTTCAAGACGTTCTTCACGATTGCAACACGGATAAAATCTTCGGAGGGCTTGGTATGTTAGCTACAGCAAAATCTTGTATGTTTCAGCCGCATGCATGGTCACATGTTATTATTGAGTGCTGTCTGCAGTCAGTGAAACGACAATCGTTCTCTCAGGTACACAAGATTTTAAGACAGAATGAAAAGAAAAGAGCGCAAGACTCGCACGCCGGTGATCTCTGGTTTAAGTCCTGAGCCACGCCTGTACAGAGTGCAGAGCAACAAGGGCTGGCAATTTTCTTCTGGATTCCTTCAAACTGCAAACTTGAGCCAAAAATGAGTAAAGGGTCATACGATTTTAGCGGTTACATCTCGAGCTCACTACCTGATATAACAATTACTTGTTTACTATAGTCACAGCGCGAAACTATTTCAAGTAAATATAATTGGAGTGAGGTGTACTTGGCCATAAGGAGCCAATTTTTTAAAATTTTTGTAGCAAGAATGACGGCTCCAATTGAGGATATTTTGCAGATAATATATCGCAAGTGTGATCCAAACCCAATCTCTTAATGAACATTTTCTTTAGTAATCAACAGTCAGCCAATCGAGAAAATGTAAAAAGAGAAACTTCAGCGTATGCAGTTATCACGAGCCAACCAGGTAAATGTTTCTGATCTCAGGAATAAAAGAGTCACTTCTAGGAATACTATTGTGTGTTTCTTATTCTTGCCGTCGCTGTCTCTGTTGCCAGCGCCAATTCATTATTGCGCGATTAATTAGAGAGAGCCACTTTAACTTAAACTGCAACATTTTTCAAATCAATAATAAGATTACAAAAGGGCTTGCTTGACGTTATATCGGGTTCCCGGCGACTAATTGCGGTCGAGCCAACGTTTTATAGCATAAACACTTTGAAAGGTAAAATGACACTAAGAGTGATAATTCTCAGAAATTAACCCAACGACAGTTTTTTGTGGTTAGACAAATCAAAGGGAAAAAAACATGCCGTCTTTACCCGCTAAACCAATGTCTCCTAAGCAGTGTAAAAAGAAACAAAATCCGAGAAATGTGATGGGTATGAGTTTATTTGACAAAGCAAGAGTGGAACTCCTTCACTTAAACATAACTACTGTTGATAAGAAAGATGTTGACCTTCGTCATAATTTGATTGATGAAGTGTTTCTGTTGACTAAAAGGTCAGTTCCAAGCTGAAAATAACCCTTCACATTTAGGTGTCCCTTCCTGACTAAACCGATTATCAAATATCACAACAAACTCTGACATGCAACGTGAAGGCCAGACGTAATCGGCTTCTTGATTTTGTAATTTTGTACGATGCTTTTCCTTCTCGTGCGATAATCTTTAATCTCTAACCCACTTTAAAAATTGGATTTAGGAATTGAACGGCGTTTTAATTCCCTTATCTTTTCCACTTTGTCTTCGTATTCTTTTGAATGCTTTATGTTCCTACATATGCTTTTTGTGGGCGATCAGTGAAATGAGGGAATATTTTGGCCTGTTCTTCGCAGGGAAGATTTACACTTGGGTCAGAAGAAATGAGCAATATCGCCCGCCTGAATAATTTTATAGTTTGAGAAACATCAAAAATTGTGATTGCAGGTCCAAATGTGTAGATTGTTTTGTGGGTATCACGTGGAAAACTTATCCATTTGTCTTGATTGAGCTGAATCAAGAGAACGCAAGTTCTCTTGGCCGAAGAGATGGAGTAATATGGGTTATTACGCAAGCGATCTCATCATGATGGCGAAATAGGACTTTGAAGTCTTTCCATTATGAGTTTGAACAAATGTTTGAGAAAATCGAGTCGAGCCTACGATTCTGCTGCCTCTGGCTTGAGAATATTCGTACATTATAGATTTCACCATTTTGCATGTCATAGTCTTCAGCTCACTTGACTTTCGGGCCAACTGAACTGTGCGTTTACTATTTGCATTTTAAACGACGTAGCTTTAATGGAACGAAAAAAGTGAGAATGGAAGAACGTACCCACGAATGAATTGTTGAACGGCTCAGTTCAGTATCAATTCAAGTAAGATTCCATGAAAGCTTTTAAGACTTTGGTTTCAGTCAAATTAGCGGAATAAATCACAGGATCCGGAAAGAGGGAAGGATGGGCCCATGCCTGTTCGACGTCTGAGGTCATTTTTGGAAACAGGAATTCGTTATTTTTCCCTTTTGCAACAGGCAGTGGCGTGAGCCTTGTTCACTTAAACCGGCCGTCATTTATCATAGTGGCACGTGCAGGCCCAACTAATTGACCCATTGTTTGCATCGTTACCTTTCGCCGTAAAGTGTTTGATGTGTACTGAGATTTATTCGCTGGCAGAATGCCTTGGTTAACAGGAAACACTCAGAATGAATGCATCGTCACTTAAGCAAGATAGAGCGCGCCTCTTCACCAAAGTTCTTGATCTTGAGCACAAGGAACGTGACGGAATGAGAGACTTCGTAATTTTTGTAATGCTCAAAGCGGAGCGTTCAATGTCGTTTGCCTTGCTGACTAAACCGAAGGTCACCAGAAATATCACAGTTGAACACTAAGGTGCAACTTGCTCGCCAGACGTTCAATTGAATGCTTTGTTTCATTTTTTAATCGCGCCGTCTTAAGAAGTCGTTACCACCTCAGTTATAATAGAGTGTGAATGTAAACAGAAACTCGGTTAATGACAAAATTAAGGATACACAGAGAAACTGCCCCATATAAAGAAAGAGACTGAAAGGGAAATCCAAAGACCAGTAACAATGACAATCATATGCTGCCGACAACGGCAATGTTTAAGGCGATTCACAGAAATGGTTAACCCTTTAACCCCTAAGACGGACAAGCATGTAATTTCTCCCAACAGTATCACCCCTGAATTACACATTAAGGTCATGAGAATAAAGAAGATGATCACCAAAATTTAGAAGCTCTTGATTGTTAAATGAATTCTCCTTGTCAGTACCCTAGAAATTGTATCGAGAACTGTACGGAGAATGTGCATATACTGAGTTTGGGGCGTAAGGGGTAACCGTTAATTATCGTTTTTCTGTATGAGGGCTGTCAGACTTATACCTGATTGAGATAAACTCACTTAACAAATCGGACACATTTTTATTTTGTTTTACACAAATTGATTACATGAAGGTGTCGACTTCTCAGCGTCTACATGTGAAGATCGAACTAAGCCTTCTTTGAGCTGTGTCTCAGGTTGCTCTAATTATCAAGAGGCTGTCCTTTCGCCCTCAAGCCTGCTTGTGTAAAACAGCAATACCATCTTCCATTCACAATCCCTAGTTAAAAAATATTTTAACTGATCAGTAAAAGCGAAGCAAAGAAGTCGTTGAACAAATCTTAATGATCCTATAACTACTCAACTTTATAAGAAGGATAACTTAAGAAGCGTGAAATGCAAAGTCAATTTTACCTTCCTGCTATTATGAGTTTTTTCAACATCGGACGCAACACTTTACGTCGGGAAATACTAAAAGGAGCGAGCCTGATTGATTCTTACGGTCGTTTCTTCATAATGCATATTTCTTTAACTGACACCATCTCTAGCTACTAAATCATAAACTTAAAATGTCGTACTTGTAACAGTTTATCAGTGGCTATGATTGCATATGTGACGTGAGAAATAACTTCATAAATATCAATTATCGAAGAATGATCAGTTCCTCATTGAAGCTGAACAAAATAAGGATAAGATCTAAATAACAAACCTAATGTGCGTTTTTCTCTGGAGAAGCGACCATTATTATAGGTTTTCTCTATGTGAGCTCTTTGGTCTCTTGCCTTCCAGTCGTTCCACCAAGCAATTATTGCCTCGTTCTCATAATAATAATCAGAGATACTGTCCAAGGCTAAGAATATTAAAAATAAATGCGTAGATAAGAAACTTGAAAAGTTAATAAAATATTGACGTTATCTTTTCAGAATACCGCAATCATTCGTTTAAAGCAATTCAAGATATATCACTTTGTGGAGTAGTACTGTTTTCAAAGCTAACTATTTCGAGCTCTCCTGTAACTCGAACTTGAAGCCTCGTTCCAAAGCTTTCTCAGCAATTTTGTTCTGATTTGACCTGGTCACTAACTCAAACAACAAGAGTCTTTCTCACAAGGTTACCCCTTTAACTCGAAGTAGCATCAAGCGAGAGCAAATAAAACAAATGTTTATTACGAGTCTCCATTTCCATAATGGCATGGAATGCTCTGTAGCTTTAGTAAAATTCCACCTGCCTCGAATGGCATCTATTTAGACTCGCCGCAACCACTAGAAATCTTTGCGATTTGACATTGTTGTTGCGGTATTTCTACTCAGTACCTGAAATGAACCTGTCAATCCAGTATCTTAATAGGTATTCGATATTTATATGGGAATGAAATCCCGGACAGCAACTGTGTTACTCGAGCAACTATCAACATTGTGTTAAGCTTCCATATAAAAAGACACTCCGAGGAATCTAATTTGCAATCTTCCACTATACTGAGCACCAACCTTTCGTTCCAGTTTCTATCGCCTGGTTTAGAACTGCGAGTCCTGCTTGAGCTCCTGCCATAATGACTGTTCTCTATTTCCCAATACTTCTTACAAATAAGTCTATTAAAAAGATTGTCCAGTGTAATAAATTTCTGAATCAATACCTGCAACGCACTAAATTATTACAAAAGGGATGTGTTTTTACAACAGAAATGCGGCGAAGGGTTGTGTTGGGTAAAGGATGAAAGTAATAGTCAAGAGCAGCCTGATGCTTTTGTCTATCATTTGAAAGACGAGCAAGTTAGGAGTAGTACTCAAAACTAAAAATTATTACAAAGTAAAAAATGGGTCTTACCTTTTACCGTGTCTCAAGTAACCACTGAATGTTTTAGCGAAGTAAGCCTTTCGTGGCTTATAAACTTTCAATCAGGATCTAGATGTCAAGATGCCAATCAAATCAAAGATTGTAATAAATGATCGCCGAAAATGAAGAATGGGTGGGCCCATGCCTGTTCGATGTTTAAGGTGATCTTTGAAAACAGGAAATTGTATACTAAAATAGAAACGGGAAAGAAGAATTAAAATACTAAGATTCCACTGAAAACTAGATCAAGAAAAACAAGATGCTTTGTGCCAGCTCAACTGTGCAACGAGACTTTTGTTATTTATGAGCAGTTTTATATTTAGTGAAGAGTTGTTCTCTAAGAAATTATAGTGAAGATCACTTAAACACTGGTATTTCCATCGATTTTAGATGTTTTGTGAAAGTACAAAGAACAATTGCTGGGTAAGTCCCTAGTGAAAACAAATCTAATGAATTTGCTTGTTAGGACTGGCGACTGCAAAACAATGGCATATTCCTCTAATTGATAATATTGATTTTTCTTTGTATGTCGTACTGATTGACAGAACTCAATAACATCCTTCTAGAAACATTTATTTCCTCATTGGAGCGGATGAACTGAAATGTGAATCATTTCTTAAAATAGATGGAAATTATGCAATGAAGGGCCGGAATGTACGACGTTGTATCGGGTTCCCGGCGACTAATTGCGGTCGAGCCAACAATAACCTTTCAAATTTACGTGTGCCTTCCTGACTTAACCGATTGTCAAATATCACAACAAACTCTGAAATGCAACGTGAAGGCCAGACGTTCAATCGTTTGCTTTGTTGCATTTTGTTTCTTATAATTGGCTGCTTGATTTTGTTCTTTCGTGCTATGCTTTTCCTTGTCGTGCGATAATCTTCAATCTCTACCCCACGTTAAAAATTGGATTTAGGAATTGAACAGCGTTTTAATTCCCTCATCTTTTCCACTTTGTCTTCGCATTCTTTTGAATGCTTTATATTCCTACATATACTTTTTGTGGGCGATCAGTGAAATGAGGGAATATTTTGGCCTGTTCTTCGCAGGGAAGATTTACACTTGGGTCAGAAAAAATGAACAATATCGCCCGCGTGAATATTTTTGTAGTTTGAGAAACATCAGCTCAACTGTGCGACGAGACTTTTTTATTTATGAGCAATTTTATATTTAGTGAAGATTTGTTCTCTAAGAAATTATCGTGAAGATCACTTAAGCACTTTGGTTTTTCCATCCCCTTAAGATGTCAAAGTACAAAGACAATTGCCGGGTAAGTCCTTGGTGAAAACAAATCTAATGAATTTGCTTGTTAGGACTGGCCACTGCAAAACAATTGCATATTCGTCTAATTGATTATATTGATTTTGCTTTGTATGTCATACTAATTGACAGAACTCAATAACATCCCTCTGGGAACATTTATTTCCTCATTGGAGCGGATTAAATGATGAATCATTTCTTAAAATAGATGGAAATTATGCAATGAAGGGCCGGCTTGTACTTGCTATATAGTGCAGTTTGATGAGCGGGCAGGTATTCCGGCTGAACAATCCCCCTGAAAAAGTTCAAGACATTCTTCACGATCGCAACATGGATAAAATCTTTAAAGGGCTTGGTATGTTAGCTACAGCAAAGTCTTGTATCTTTCAGCTGCATGCATGGTCACATGTTATTATTGAGTGCTGTCCGCGGTCAATGAAACGACAATCATTTTCTTAGGTACACAAGATTATACGATGAAATGAAAGAAAAGAACACAAGACTCGCGCACTTATGGTCTCTAGTTTACGTCCTGAGCCACGCTTGTACAGAGTATTTATCGAGATACTTTGAACTTGAAATATTCGTTCCATTTGAAAACTTTAGTTGATTTTGTACCGAAAAATTTTTGCAGGTGTTGTAACTGGAAAATTTTACAACATACATCAGGATTGGTCAAAGGCCCCAGAATGGGTGAAGGAACATTACAAGATTGAGGAGCAACAACATTGTGGTGATATTAGTGAGTAAAGCACTACTGGTTTATCTTGTTTAGGTAAAAACATCTATCATCAGAGCGTTAAAAGTTAAGTTGCTGAGGCGCTAGCACCCAAACAGATTTGTTTTTCTGCCCACCAATGACTTCTTAACCTAAATAGTAAATGTAAATTTATTATTTGATTGGCATAACTTAGCTTTTGAATGTCTTAAATTCAGCCACTATTCCACAAGGCGCTGTGAAGGGAGTGGTTGAGGCGGTCGGTGTATTTGCCAAGGAAAATCCACACGACGCAGCTCTGATGGGTAAGAAGATCGCCCAGACTGTAGGAGTTACAGAGCAACAAGGGTTGGCGTTTTCTTCTGGATTCCTTCAAACTGCAAACTTGAGCCAAAAATGAGTAAAGGGTCATACGATTTCAGCGGTTACATCTCGAGCTCACTACCTGATATAACAACTATTTGTTTACTATAGTCACAGTGCGAAACTTTTGCAAGTAAAAATAAATGGATTGAAGTGTATTAGCCATAAGGAGCCAAATTTTAATTTTTGAAACAAGAATCTCGGCACCAATTTAGGATATTTTGCAGATAATATATCGAAAGTGTAATGCAAACCCAATCTCTTAATGAACACTTTCTTTAGTAATCAACAGTCAGCCAAACGAGAAAATTTAAAAAAGTAACTTCAGCGTAAGTATATTAAAGTTCAGCGTATGAGGTTATCACGAGCCAACCTGGTAGATGTTTCTGATCTCAGGAATAAAAGAGTCACTTCTAGGAATATTTTGTGTTTCTTATTCTTGCCGTCTCTGTCTCTGTTGCCAGCGCCAATTCCTTATTGTGCGATTAATCAGAGAGAGCCACTTCAACTTAAACTGCAACATTTTTCCAAATCAATAATAAGATTACGAAAGGGCTTGCTTGACGTTATATCGGGTTCCCGGCGACTAATTGCGGTCGAGCCAACGTTTCTGAGCATAAACACTTTGAAAGGTAAAATAACACTAAGAGTGATAATTCTCAGAAATTAACCCAACGACAGTTCTCGGTTTGTTGCGGTTAGTCAAATCAAAGGAAAAAATCATGCCGTCTTTACCCGCTAAACCTGCGTCTCCTAAGCAGTGTAAAAAGAAACAAAATCCGAGAAATGTGACGGATATGAGTTTATTTGACAAAGCAAGAGTGGAAGTCCTTCACTGAAACATAACTACTGTTGATAAAAAGATGTTGACCTTCGTCTTAATTTGATTGACGAAGTTTTCTGTTGACTGAAAGGTCAGTTCCAAGCCCAAAATAACCTTTCATATAGACGTGTCCCTTCCTGACTGAACCGATTATCAAATATCACAACAAACTCTGACATGCAACGTGAAGGCCAGACGTAATCGGCTTCTTGATTTTGTGCTTTTGTGCGATGCTTTTCCTTGTCGTGCGATAATCTTCAATCTCTAACCCACTTTAAAAATTGGATTTAGGAATTGAACGGCGTTTTAATTCCCTTATCTTTTCCACTTTGCTTCGTATTCTGTTGAATGCTTCATGTTCCTACATATACTTTTAATGGGCGATCAGTGAAATGAGGGAATATTTTGGCCTGTTCTTCGCAAGGAAGATTTACACTTGGGTCAGAAGAAATGAACAATATCACCCGCGTGAATATTTTTATAGTTTGAGAAACATCAAAAAATAGCGAAATAAGATAAGTCTTTCCTTTGTAAGTCTCAACAAATGTTTGAGAAAATCGAGTCGTGCCTACGATTCTGCTGCCTCTAGCTTGAGAATATTCTTACATTATAGATTTCACCATTTTGCATGTCATAGTCTTAGCTTAGTTGACCTCCGGGCCATCTGAACTGTGCGTTTACCATTTGTATAACTTTAAGGGAACGGAAAAAGTGAGAATGGAAGAACGTACCCACGAATGAACTGTTGAACGGCTCAATTCAATATCGATTCAAGTAAGATTCCATGACAGCTTTTTAGACTTTGGTTTCAAATTAGTGGGATAAATCACAGAGTCCGGAGAAAGGGAAGGATGGGCCCATGCCTATTCTACTTCTAAGGTCAATTTTGTAAACAGGAATTCGTTATATTTCCTGTTTTCAACAGAGAGTCGCCGGAGGTCAATTATTATAGTGGCACGTGCAGGCCTGACTAATTGACCTATTTTTTGCATCGTTGCCTTTCGTCGTAAAGTGTTTCATATGCACTGAGATTTATTCGCTAGCAAGATCCCCTGATTAACTGGAAACACTCGAATCACAAAGTCACAATTCGTTTTCAAACAAAAGCAGAAACAAAAACTAATTTACAACTTCTTGTCTTAATCATAACAAGAATGTAGCCATTTTCCCTTTCACGGATATAGTTGAACTGAAGGAATGCATCGTCACTTAATCAAGAGTGCGGCTCTTCGCTAAGGCTTTTGATCTTAAGTACAAAAAGTGCCTTTGTATCTGTAAATCTTTGTTTTAGGTTGTTTGAACTTTTCAAACACCTTGGAATACTTTGTCAAATGGTAAAGAAAAACTAATAGAATTTGGTTTGATTCAAACACCGCTTTGAATGGTAACATAGAATCAAAAATCGATTTCAAGAATCAAAAATTTTTTTTAACTGTTGTAAAGGATAGATAATAAACCGGTTGATTAATCCTTTGACCCTCAAAAGTGACCAGCATCTGATTTCTCCTTACAATATCATCCCTAAATCTTACATTAGGGTCACGAGAATAAATGAAATAATCACCAACTATAGAAGCTCTTGATTGTTAAACAAATTCTCCTTTTCAGCTCCTTAGAGAATGTATAGAGAAGCGTAAGGAGAATATACATGTTGATGTTAGGGTGTAAAGAGTCGACAAGTGCTATAGCAAAGAAGCCAGTGATGAGTATCAGTGTCCCAAATGAGGTCATTAAAGGTGAATGCTAAGGAAGCTGATAGTCGAAATAAAATTTTGAGTCTTGATAGAGAGGAGGAAAATTAATTGAAGCTTCTTTTCGTATTGTCTTGCACGAAAGAGATCAAAATTCTCTGTAATTAATACTGCGACATAAAGACGCTTGCCCTGTGATTATTCAAACTATTCAACCTTTTTCTCTTCTTTCATCTGTGCCCATATAAAGTATACATTGAAAAGCCAGGTGGTTTTTTAATACATATTTGTGATAGATGGATTTTGTTGGCGAATGACAAAAAACTTGTACCTCAGGGGGGTCTGGTAAGCTGTGTGATTCAAGTGGGGGTTTGCAAAAGCATTTAGTTCTGAAGTGTTCCGCATGTTATTAACCCTTCGACCCAACTGTGACCAACATGTAACTTCTATGTTATTTAAGAGCAATTTTACATATATATTAGTGAAAACTTGTTCTCTTGGAAATGATCGTCTTTTGACAAAAAAACCCCAAAATTTCAAAAACAGTCAGATTAGTAATTGTTGACGAAGAATTTAGGAAAAAGACGCCTAAGCAGTAAACTAGTCACTGATTTAATGATTTCAAAAGCGACTAAGAAGTTATTGTTATGTAAATTTATATACATTAATGGAAGTCCATAAAGAATTAAAAGGCAAAGCTAACTACAAGTAAATTCACCTTCAAAAAATGGAGCTCACTTTAACTGATCAAACTCAAGAAAATTGGGACTTTCTTTACTAGAATACGTTATGAAAAACTGTCCATTATAAGATAAGAGCTTCACCGCTGACCAAAATAAAAAAATCAATAATCAACTTAGAAGTATTAAACCGAGAATCCTCACAAAAAGCCCCAAAACCGCTTGTAGTACTGACGCAAAATGGGCACCGTTAAAAATATGGCTTTGAAAGAATTGTTTTTACAAATATATTCTTTATTTCTATGGACCATGCGATATGACTCAGCGGATGAACATTCCGCGAGAAGTGGACCACTCGAATTTAATAGCATCACGGTCAAAACACCGATATTGATTGTCTATGCTGTTTGATAAGTACTAAATACAAGCAAATTGATCTTTCGTAAGGGAATATAAGATTTTTGAGGGTGAACCCAATATATCACTCAATGTAATTTCGTAGTATCAAAACAGGAAGAATTTGGAAACAAAGTACTTGGTAACCATCGATGCGTAACAAATCCTTTGTTTTCTGCCGAGGACGGATGTAAATTCCAAACATGTCAGCCCGTTCCTGAAGGTCGCTAAGAACACGTAAAAAGTTGCGAAACAACCTGTTATTAACCCTTCAACCCCGGTTGTGATCAACATGTAACTTACCCCTATAATGTCCGTACATTATCCAGTAAACAGATAATGTGAATACTCAAACTTAAGAAGTTAACTTAATTTAACACCAAAATCAGGTAACTTGTGTACAAGGAAATATGTAGGACCGTGTAGCAGCCAGAGGGGGGAATTAACTATTTTATCATGGGAACTTAAGGGTTTCGAGCCGCTAAGAACACGTCAACAGTTTCAAAATAACTTGTAAGTAATTATTCTATCTTTATTGTGGGGACTAATTAGTTCTTTTCGTTTTTATATCTCATCTTATTTTTGATATAATTGCGCAAATCTGTTCTTTGTAACAAACAACGAAACGGAAGAACCTGTGAGAACACCATACGTACTTCAATCCTGCAATACGATATAAAACCATTCTGTTTCGTTGAAGAAACAGACAAGTCTTGATAAAAAGGAACATTAAAACTCTATAAAACCACTTTATTCCCAAAGTATTATTTCAACAGCCTTGAATGTCCAACGAAACCATTTACATTGCTCCGTTTACAATACCGTTGTTGTTCCTGATATAATACTTCAGTGCACGTTTATACACGGAAAAATTATCCAACGGTTGACCAATTATTCCATTTAGCAACTATATAAACAAGCGTTCTTAGTTCACTCAACGGGCTCAACCTCCAAAACATCGAGAGGTAAGTAAATTTCGTGTTTTGGAAAAATTCGGTTCTTCGGCTCCTATTTTCTCCTCCATTCTTATGCCTAATGTTATTCAGTTGTGACTTGGTGGTGACGTTAAGCAAACTTCGAGACGTCGTCTCTTTTCAAAATTCTTTAACCGAGATGGTTTACTAAGTTTTTCACTGCTATCGCAGTGTTTCATAGTTGGAATACAAGGCAACTCTCTGCGTCCTGCATTCTTATATAAAATCGTAATTACCTTGTATCTCACTTTTGTTTTCATTGCCTAACTTTTTAGCTGCACTTCTCATTTTAAAGAGTAATAATTGCACGTGGCTTTGGATTTGAAATGAGTCGTTTGTTTCATTCTTTTAAATAACAATTAGTCAATCATCTTCGAGGTTCTTCCTTTGGACGAGGAAAACTTATAGAAATAGTAACACTATTGGGAGGAAAAATTTTGTTAAGGTGGATTGTGATTTTAAAAAAAGTCTGACATCCACGAGTACATGTCAAATTTAATTTTTTCCACGCACTGCTTGCTCTGTTTCTACTTATCTTTTTTATGTCACAATTTCTCTTGTAGGCTGCTAACGTCATCCGGAAGAGCGTTCAAAGTTTTTCCACCTAGGTCAGTTAACCTTGATTTTGTGTTAAACAACTTGGAATTGACGTAGTGATTAGTAATGTGCGAGTCTCGAAACGTATTTCTATTAGTCTAACGAAGAAAGCAAAGGAGTTGTCGGCCAGAAAGGAATAGGCGCTTTCAGAAAACTCTTCGCTTCGTTTCCGATTTGTAACAAAGATATTTCCATCGTTTGATCCTTCTTATGGTCAGTCTTATAATCCTTAGGGGGTGTATTATGTGGTTTTTCTTCTGGAGCTATCTAGATGTTAACAAACATTTTGCTTTTAATATGTAGTTCAGATGACACCCTCATGTTCTACTGTGTTCTGTGTATGATATACAAGATACTCAATATGTTTAAGGTTGCCAAAGGCGATTTACACGCGCTGAGCTATTACTCTGCAATTTTTTTTCCCACTCGGTCAACTAGACCAAATCACTTCAGCTTTACATTGCAAAGAATAGATAGTAAACCAAAGTTTATGTACACTGCTTCGTCCCTTCTCTATGCTCAATAACAAGTTAAAAAATGTTGCTGTTAAAAAAATTGATAAAAGTCAAATCTCGTCGGTAAACACATCATATCAAAGAGTAAAGTTTTCCATTCATTTGCACGTAGGACTGGATAAAAAGATTTAACATGGCTAAACGACAAGGAAAAAAAGAAATTGCAGTGCACGAAGAAGAAGAGAAGCATATAGAACAGATGAAAATGGAAGTAGAGGATGAAATATCCAAGCTCCCTCAAAACAATCCTTCAAAGTGCGAAGGTCTCATTCGAAGGTTGCACAAAAAAGTAAATGCTCTTAAAAAGCAAGACGTCAAAAATGATCTCCTAAGTCAGCTAAGATCTGCTTCATGCTATGGATTAGAACCAGAACTCAAAGATATGATGGAGAAAAATGGTTTGGAGTTAGAAGGACTTGAACTTGTGGTACACTACCTAACAAACAAGGCAGAACTTGCAAAATACTTCCACCTCAATCCTCAGGAGGTTGTGGTCAAGGACGGCCTGAGTGTCATAAAAAGACGACTTGGACCAAGTCTGGAAGTGCTTGGTGGCTTGAGCTCCAAGGGAATTGATGTTGAACAAGATTGGGTCAACTGTTTGGTTGGAAAGGCTCCATCTCTTGAGGCGCTCGGTCGTATCTCCGCTGAAGACCTTGATGCTCTTGAAGCTAATCCTGGAGAAAAAAACGAGGTTAGGCGCCTGTTTAAAGCTGAATTGAATAACACTGAACCTTCTGAAGCTGAAAAAGCTGGCGAAGAGAAGAAAGCTATTGATGAAGAAAAGCTAGAAAAGGCTAAGGCTCTGATGAAAGAGGCAAGTGAAAAGGCAAAAGAGGAGTCAGAGCAAGCAAAAAAAGCAGTAAGTGAGAAGATGGCTGAAATTGGAAAAATCCTCCAGCTGCCACCTGATTGGAATAAACAGGAGAGTGGAAAAAAACCTGACGAACTGTTGACGCACTTAAATCAAGTAATTGAACAGTTCGAAAACGCTGTAGAAGTCAGTGAAAGTTACAAAAGCGACCTCGAAATAGTTAAGAAAGCCAGTGGAGGCCGAGCGCTCTGTGGAATCTATCACTCAGCGTACAACCCGCCAAAAACGGCGGAACGACCTCTCATCCTTATGCCCACAGAGGTAACACTGGGTAGTCCTAACAACTCTCAGCAGATCAATTACTTGAAGTTCTCTGAAAGCATGGCTGCCTCAAGGTATGCCCACGCCGTAAAATCGTCAAGCACTAACATTGGGTTCAGTGTCGGTGGTTTTGTAGAGCTCTTCGTTGGAGAAGCTCATGGTAGTTACGCCTCCAGCTTCGAAAGTCAAGGGACAAGTTCAGTAAAAAAGAAAACCAGTAGCGTCTCTGTACTGCAATATGTTTGGATTGCAACCAAGACCTTTAAACTAGAGCAAGAGCAGATGAGGCTGTCCATGAGTGCAAGAAATATGGCAAGATCCATTACGAAAGCCTCTGATCCCAGTGCAGCAGCTCGTCGATTCATGAATCGCTACGGAAGTCACTTTCCAGCAGGCCTGCACTCACTTGGTGGTGTCCTCTTTCGGATTGTAGACGCCGAGAGCAGTGCAGAAATAGAAACGTCTGTCTTCACGGAGAAAGCGGCGAAGGAGCTTCAAGGTCAAATATCGGTTGGCTTCCTTGGAGGAGCATTTGGAATCGGAGCCAGCATAAGCGGCGGACACAGTAATACTAGCGGTGAGCTACAAGCAGAAGAGAAAAAAGCTGAAGCTGCTTCTTATAGGTACTCCTTCCAGGCCATGGGTCCAGCAGCCACAAACCCTACTACATTCACTAAGTTGCTGGCTAACAACTCAACTTGGGCTTTAATTGATCGTGGTAGCCCTCTGGCTTACATACCAGTTTGGGAACTGTTAACAGACCTTGGTGACCCTGCCTTCAACATGGCAGCCGGAGTCCTAGAAGAGACTTGGAAAGAAGACGAGTTGAAGAAAAGTAAGAAGATTGCTCGCGCTGAATTCAAAATATCCGAGATCATTAAGGGAGAACTAGAAACGCTGGCAAATAGTTACATAGACAAGGTTTGTTTAGTTTTCTTTCTTAATTTTTGTTTTGCAACCTTTCGAAATCGGCTCCTTAAGTCTTAAAACCTGCTTTGAGAGACCAAGTAACTTCTTTTCTGATCTTTAAACTCCTCGAGGGAAATTGAAAAAAATTTTGGAGATATTTAAAGACTACTGTTGAAAAAAACTTGAGCTAGGTTTGTATGTAACATTATTGTTATGGTTTTAGAGCTGATTATTTCAAATAAAACATACAAACGTTTTGCAGTCTATTTTTATCTGGTAAAACTTTTCTCAAGAAATGTATTTGCACTCGACACGGGTACGTGAACTTACTGCTTGTGAATTCAGCTTTGCCTCTCATCTTACATGGGTGTGCCTTTCTTTCAAACTGTGAAATATAGATAGTTCTTCCGGCTGATATGTTTTCGGTCGGCTAAATGATTAAATGAAAGTTATGCAAGTAAGAAGTTTAGGTAACAGTTTGATGATCTTTAAAACTGACGAGTAAGACCAAAAGATTATAATCTTGAGGAAACCTAAGGAAAAATATTGGTAACAGACATCCAAGGAATTGAGAAATTCCTTCATCAGAAATAGCAAAAGTCGGATGGAAATATTTAAAATCTATAACTTTGTCTCAGAGATAAGTTAACTGATCCTTCTCCCCAGTTACTTTTTTTTCATAAAATCTGGTGCTACCTTAAATGTAATGATTATGAAAATCACAATAAGCTATATGGTCTTACATCCATGCATGTTTATGAACTGCGAAAAGGGGATAATGATACTTTTTCTCCTGCAGAAACCAAATCCGGACGGGTACGGACATAGGCCGAAAAATGCTGCTCAGCTGTTGAAGTTCCAGGAAATCAACTTGTCGCGTGGAAGTGCCTACACCAAAGCTGTGGATATCATTATGGAAGATCCAAGGTACCGTATTTGCGAAATTGCTTGGTGTGTTGGAGATTCGTACTCTTTATGTTGTTGGCAGGCAGCAAAAAAGGAAGAAATGACCTACCAAAAAGTCGATGGAGAACATGTCCTGTTTTACAGTGAAGCGCTATTCCGGTGGAAAGATTTAGTTCCACCTGGGGAGTAAAAGGTATTGTTACCAAATTGAGGCTTAGAGTAATCAAGCAGGTTGATACTGGTCATAGTGCTCTTATCCTAAAGAAATGCAAGTAACACATCTACCGCCTTTTTAGTACTTCCACCACTTTCTGATCCTTCATCAAAATGGCGACCAAAGTAGAAATTTATTCATGTAATATTAGCCTCAGAGCTAGGAATGCAGAAAGTGTTCAACATTTGGATCAAAACTACTGTGGACAATCTGAGTGTTTTCAATATCAAAAGACTCTATAATGACCCTCCCTCCCCCGAAAAAAAAAGGGTAGGTTAATATTCTGAATTTGAATGATATTTTCCTGGCTGAAACTACACTTGATTAAATGAAACTTTGTAAGATTACAAAATAAGGTTATAAAATGATAGGTACCCATTGTGAGATCGGTTTGATTTTCCAGCAAATTTTAATTATTTCAGGCTTCACATTTGGCAGCTATTTTGGGTCAGGGTCTGTTGATAATTAATACAAAATAGAATAACAGTTATCTGGAGTGAAAGTGATATGAAAATCATGCGAAGTTTGACAATTTGAGATTTGACATTTGATCGCCATTTTGGATAGGGGTCGGTACGTCTTATAGCAGAGTTCTTGTAAGATGTCTCTTGTAATGCATGGGCTCTGTCCACTTTAAAGGAGAGCGAACTGCGCAGTGTAGTTTTCCTGAAAACATGTACAATTAATATTTAGAAAATCAACTTTTCCTGTTGTCCTGTTAAGGAATCCAATGGATAGTTTTGTTTATTTTTTAGCCAGACTTTTTCCTACTGTACTTGAAGTACATGAGGCAATACTTTTCCTAGTTGTAATGTTTATTTTAAGGGGTTGTTATTATATACTTTGGAGTTTGATATGATCCCTTCCCATGTTGCCCACCCTTTTGCTTTGGAATTTTTAAGTTCTAACTAAATGAACACAAACAATCTTGAGTGAATGTTGATGCGCTATTGGCTTCAGTTGGAGTGAACTTATGATTCGACCACAATTTTTGCCCCCTCTTTCTTAATTCTTGGGATCCACCTTATAATTCAGTGTAATTTGTGTACAATTCAAAAAAGGGTCTGCATTTTATAACTTTTGCTGTTTCCTAGAAATTACATTGCCCTCAAATAGAAAAATTGGAGGGCATTAAAGACCTTTTATCAACTAGACGCAATAGACATTTGTTCAGAGTTTTTCGTTACTTTGTTAGAGTGCTAAAAATTTTTAAGTTTTTACAAAAAACCGACAATAGTTAGATGAAGGAGGCTGTAGGTGTTTGTCCTAGTGACAAAGTTTGTGTGGACGCGTGAAATTTCAGTGAAGGTAAATGTGTTTACTGTCGAGTGCATTTATACAATACTAACGTTATCTAAGCAAATATGTTTGTTTGATTAGTTGAGTGTTTTAAGTTTTCTCTATTTTGATAATTACGGTTTTCCTCCACTGAAAGTTAGTAGAGGTGAATCGAGTGTGTGTTTGATAACTGTATCAACTTGTGGTTTTTTTCCTTTGAAATTTGAGTGTGTTGAGAGTCAGATTTTTAGGGCAGAGCTACAATCACTTCAATTATGCTGATTTCGGAACTGGACAGCCGGACTATCGAATGTCACGTTCTGTTGTTCAGATTGATCCAATTTCTTGATTATCAGCCAGCAACAGAAAATGGTCTACCCTGGTTAAATACATCGACGAGGTAACAGCTACTGAAATAGAGAAGCTCCATGGCTTCAATCAAAATGATATAGAGCTAGAATACTAGTGATAGCAGAGCTAGAGTAAAGTTTTATGCCGGAAAAGTGTATTTGTAAGTAATTGCACATTGTTGGAAATCACAGTTTGAGTTTAAGAGGTGAACGGAGTCATCGATTACCAAACAATTTAAAATTATTTTGGAAGTAATAGAGCAATTTTCCATCGAGTGTTGAAAGTAATCCGGAGTTGCACTGTTTTTGCTTTACTTCGTTCTATGATTGGTCATGAAAACTCGCACCTCTCTCTTCACCAATCAGATGCAAGACCAGACTAAAAACCAATCCTGACTTGATCACCCGCACTTTAGGCAGTTAACTCGTTTTTACTTTGAGTTCTCATCAGATATTAAAGATGTTTTCCATTCTTCTGATTGGCTGTTGCGAGTACTTTGGTTTTGGTTTTGCGACACTCAATCGAAGAGTGCTCTATAATTTATCGTAGGTTTTTATTTTAGTTGTCAGTTAATCTAATGAAGAAGTGATAGAGGCAGAGGCAGTATTAAATAACGAGAGCAGGATTTAGTATGACTGATAACAACGCTGGGCAATCGCAAGAAATTTGTGCAGTTCAACTTTTCAGCCTTAAAGTTTTAACTATGCATATATTTAATGAAAGTTTTTTTTAGGTAGCAGCTATTTCCTTAAGATTGTCCAGAACGAAACATTTTTTTACCTTCAACCTAAGTGGTGTGAAGTTAGAATATGTTGTGGAAAGATTGCGTTCATTGAATACTCGTGGTTTGTAACTGCATGTACTGCTGTTAAGTGCTTACTTTTGTACATTCTCTGAGAAGAGAGAAAAAATGGATTACATTGAAGTTTTACCACTTGCTCGTTCTTATTTTTACGGGAACTCCTTATGAAAGAGCTGCAGTGTTAGTTTTAATTTGTTACTAGCGTCGGATATAGAAAGGTTGAACGATATCAACGCTTATAGCAAACAGGGTTATCTTATTTTCAACTCTGCCTTAGTGCCTCTCTACTAAATGTAATCAAGAACTTAACAAGCAATAAACTGACTCGGTGTGTTCAAGTTTCATATTGTTCTGATTATTTTATTCAATGGTGATCAACCCCCTCCCAGGGACAGGGTACCATAGGGTATGGTTACTGGTCCAAGAGCGGGCATAGATTTTGAACATTACGGTCTTAAATCAAGAACAGCTTTAAAAGGAACCATGGGAGCGTACATAATTACTTTTCTTTACCACTCTATGTGAATCATTGAGAGAGAGAGATGGGGCCAAAGATAAGCGTACACTTATGAATCGTTTCGTGGTGAAACTACGTATAGAGCAACATTCGATTACGTATCTTAAGCATTCACAACGGAAAATCAGAAGATTTTCATTCGCAGATGTCAGCGAAACTCGAAGTATGTCACAAATAATGGCTTACATTTGACGCGGGAAAATGTTATAGGCCAAGTCACGATTGGTTTTAGTTTCGCATCTGATTGGTTGAGGAGGAGGTGGGAGTTTTCTTGACCAATCATGGAGTTTAGTCAGGGCAAACCAATGTAATACAGGATCACCCTTAACTGCAATGATCATTTGTTCTGAAATTGATAACGGGTAATGTCTAGCCCCAACCTGCTCGGTGCATATGTTCAACTAAATTACCACGTTGTCTAATGTATTAGCTGTCTATGATCTGTGGGTACCTTCTGTAAGAGATACTGGCTCAGCATGCTTATTAACCCTTTGATCCCTAAGAGTGACCAGCATCTTGTTTCTCCTCACAATATCACCCCTGCATCAAACATGAAGGTCAGGAGAGTGAAGGAAATGATCACCAACCAAAGAAGCTCCTGATTGTTTAACAAATTCTCTTTGTCAACTCCTTGGGAAATATATGGAGAACAGTATGTAGAATGTTCACATGATGTTAACCCTGAAAAGGGTTAAGTAAGCACAAGTTATTGCACAGACACTATATTGATACATCATTTATATCATTACACATGTACTGATATCTCTTTTCACACTGTTAGTAATTTGAGATTCATTTCATGTTATCACTTTGATAGTAAATTGACATCATTCATCTTTAGTATACATAGAAACAAAGTAACAAGTTTAGTTCCAAGTAGTTCTTTACAGCAAATTTGATTTGACAAATAATTTAGTGAATGATTGTTCCAATTTTAGCAAGATCATTTGCCAACACTATTCTGTGTGGGGTAAGGGTACCCTAAACCAGCCCTTCACAAGCAAGGAGGGCTGTCTTTTTGTTTGGCCATCCTAGGTTACCCCTCTTAGTGCAAACAAGGTCTTAACCACCCTTCTGTTGAACAAATAGTCTGCAATAATAGATTTGCTAAAATATATTTCTGAAAGGTTGCTCTAACTTCACATTTTATCATTGATGTCATTTTTTTGCCGCCCTGTGAAAGTGTTCATTGCCACATCTGCTCCAAGGAAGGTCAACAGCAGGTCTGTAGCTCTCTCTGGTAGGATACTGGAGGATAGAACAAGGGAAGAACATTGTCACAATGGGTTTATAGAAGGTTTCTAGTTCAAGGTATTGGGGTGTTTACCTATGATAATGGTTTTAAACTGGTATGAAAATTGCGCTGTATCTATTCAAATGTGAAACAATATTAGTGTCACTTTGTAGGTAATTATGAGTTGTGTCAGGGTCAGGGTCACCAACTTTTCATCATGTAGTGAATGCTGTTGAAACCTTTGGAAAGGTTAAAATCACCTCAGGCCATCATTTAAAGTTATGTAGACATCAAAAAATATGTGTCATCTCTTTGCAAAAAGCAATTTTGTATGAAAATTCTCTCCAGGTTTCCTACAGATTTCAAATGCAAAAAATTAATAGGATTGTTTTTGGTGTAACCAAATTTACATAAAAGTTGGGTCAGTTTGACTAGAGTTAGTGAGGCAATTTGTCTTGTTAGCAAGAGCTGCATGTGATGACATTTGGAAGTCAAGACATATGGCAATCTTACTACAATGCCTAATAAGCCCAAGCCATTGTTGAGCTCATGAACTAAACTGAAAAACTTACTGTTGTAGGGCTGTTGATAAATAAGCACCTCGAGGCATAGTGAGGTGAATTTGGTTCTTTTCAATAGCATCAATGACCTTGGATGCGGCATATTGTGGAGTAAGAGTACCAAAGCCTACCAAGTTAGGAAACCTAAAAACCCAGAAATAATTTCCAATGTAATAAATTGGGTGCAGTTGTAGTATCATCTGACAAATAAGTTTTTGTGCGAAGTACACAGAAGCCACCTTTCATCACATATTTTGTAAACTTACATATATCTTGTAAATTATTATGTCTTATTATTTTGTTCCCCTCTTCCTCCTCACAGCTGCATCACTCCTTTCACAGCACGAGAACTACCACCTTTCCCTTCTCCCAACTCTGCTTCATCAAGCATATCAACCATGACTTTGAACTCATCTTACCTACTTGCCCCTCCTTTCTACCTAAGTAAGGACTTGACAAATCTAATCTAGGGGTTAGGTGGTGGTGGGAGGGGAGGGGATGCCGGGGGAAGACAGAGTTTGAGGTGCAGCCCTTTCTGATTGCTTCCCTCAAGGTGTAATTACAACTAAGCAGGAGGATACTTTTCTTCCTATACATATGAACTTCTCATATAGCGACATAAGAAACTTCACCAACCTGAACCTAACTCCATCAAACATTCCAGTGGTTATAAGTGAAGGACATACTGTTGTCAGTTGAATACCAGTCTTTTTCTGGCTTAACAATTCTTGACGTAATGCCTCCATCAGACCAACAGCTGCAAACTTGGATGAACAGTAGTCAACAGCACCAGCAAGACCAGTATAACCAGCAATAGATGCTATGCTTACTATGTGGCCTCGGTTTTGTTGAAACATGCTTGGAAGGAACTCCTTAATAGTCTAAATGAGGGAGAAAAGAACTTTAACATAAGGAAATTTTAAAAACATGAGACAGCAGTTCACAAAATACTATAATAATAATAATAATTGCAATATTTCTATTTCTTGAATAAACAAAAATCTTACACATGTGTTGTTTTCAATGTATGAATAAGTTACATAGATCCAGTGAAGATGGGATAAAAGTCCATGTAAATAACAGTGAGATCTTCCTGTTTATGTTTGAAATGCTTTGAAGTAAGGATCCAAATCAAGAGCAAAATAAATCTTAATGTACATCAAGTCTGTGAATCAAATATGGAGGTAGGTCAGGTAGGTCAGGTAGGTGCTCTCACCACTGCACCATCCCACCTCCTCCTAACCCTTTACACCCTAACATCAGTATGCATATTCTCCATACTGTTCTCTATACATTTCCAAAGGTGCTGACAAGGAGAAATTGTTTAACGATCAAGAGCTTCTTTAGTTGGTGATCAATTCCCTTAGTGTTGCAGCGGTGGATCCAGGGGGGGGGGCATGAGGGGGCCTGTACCCCCCCCCCTTTTAGGTGGACCAAAAATTAATATTAGTGCTGAACTGAGTTTTTTAAAATCAAAACTCTCACTATAAGGAAGATTCTAAAAAATGTTATCAGACAACTTTAGACAACTTTCAAGATGTAACCAGCATCAGTTGTGGCCCAACTCTTTGTTGTAAATGACAAATAGGCGGCTGAGCCGTAGGTGCAGTGAATTGGAGGCTGCCAATTACAAACTCTGCATTTTCATGCCCCCAGACCCCCCTAGAAAGCTTGCGCCTATGGTACTTGTGGTGCGCCTCCCCTAAGGAAAATCCTAGATCTGCCCCTGTCTTGTGACCTTACTGTGTGATCTGGGGGTGATATTGTAGGAAAAAATTAAATGCTAATCACTCTTCCAGGTCAAAGGGTTAACCCTTTCACTTTCAACAGCTAAATATTAATTCTAGATCTCTGCAATGTCTGTCTGACATTTCTTTAAATTTCTTAATTTTAAGCTGTGAGAATTTGGTGGCAAAAGAACAAATATCTCTCAGTAACTGACCTTTTTCTTACTTCTCATCACTTTTCTGCTTAACAATAAAGTGGCATTGTTAGGAGAAGTTCTGTCTTGGTCACCTCTAGCAGGAATGAATGGGTAAATAAGAAGTAGAGTCTGTTGCCTCTAAATTTAAGGTTTCATGAAATAACACAAGTGCCCTTGGAGCAGTTACTTAAGTACTGACTACTGCCTGCACAACTAACCTACCTAATTTTAAGCCATAGACAAAAAAGAACTCACCCAGAAATGTGATAAGATGTTTACATCGATAGTGGCTGAGATTTCTTCATCACAACAATCCATAAGCTTCTTTCCTGTTATGATACCAGCGTTATTAATGAGAAGGGAAACTTCACCCACTTCCTCCTTCACTTTCTCTGCTGTCTTGGAAATTTCCTTCCTATCTCGCAGGTTACATTTGTAAGAGTGCACCACACCATCAGCCACTTCTATTTCCTTGGCAACAACCTCAAGTCCATCACCATTGACATCCCATATCACCAATTTGCAACCTGAAAAAAAAAATTTAATGATTTTCCTCACCATGACTTGCTGTTGATCATGGTTCAGTTTTATTCTTAGCTTAGTAATTTTAGATTCATCTCATAGAGACATCTATTCTTGTATGCCAACTCTCCTGCATTATAAAGGAGTATTCCCTACATTTACATGGCACATCTCATGGTCTCCCCTAAAGTTGGCTAAATCTCTTGCACAAAAGTACATTTGGATATTAAATTTTCTCTACTAAGTTAAGAAAATTTTATCTCTATTGGCTCTTCTTTTCAAGTAAAATAGTGTTGCATGTCAGAAATTGTTCACACTAGTCTTGCAGATAGTGAGAGTACATTGCAACAAATTCTAGGTTAAAGGGAGGGACTACTACAGAGCTGTAAATCAAAAAATTTGAAAGGGGTAGGGCAACATCATTCAATGTCCCAGATCTCTAGATTCCAGATTTCAATAAAAGAACAAAGGGAAATAAATTTTTAAAAAGAAAAAGAACAGAATTAAACTACATAATACATCAAATTGAAGCTGATAAACTCTTTCACTACCATGACTGACCAAAGAGAAATTTCTCGTTACTATAAATGTAAATTTTCAATCAGAAAGGTGATGAGATGAAATACATTGAATAAAGGATATTTTTTTGATCAAAAACTAAATTCTCAAAGGTAAAATTATACAAAATGTACAGCAGACAGTGCAGAGAATTGAGATTCAGATAGTCTGATGAAGTCATATATTTACATGGATCTCTTTTTTTGAAATCTAATGAGAACCAATAGTAGATTACAACTCTCTCCCAGTTACTTTCAAACAAGCATAATAAAGATTTCATTACCAATGTTGAAATTATCCTCATGATGATAGAGTTCTTTATTAGAAATTGATAATAGTGGTTAAAAAATTGGGGCATAAGTAGTGGAAAGGTGGTAAGCAGTAAGTAAGCCTTTATATGGGCATAAGTGGCCCATGGGGCCAGTGCTTAACTCCGGTTTTCTTAGCATGATGTGGCTAGGAGTATTGCTACTCCCCCCTGGATGGGATGCTAGTCCATCGCAGGGTTACCCCTAGCACATTTACTGGTACTCATTTGTACACCTGTGTGAAGGGAAGCACTGTGAGAGTAAAGTGTCTTGCCTAAGAACACAACACGACCCCAGCCAGGGCTCGAACCCAGACCACCCGATCTGGAGTCGACCGCACAAACCAATTGAGGCCACCGTTGTTAAAAAAATTTGACCACTTTACACTTTTCCTTTAAAAATGTCCAATTCCTCTGATGGGCCTTACTGTATACCTACATTTAAAAATCTATCTTACTATATACTGTTAGTAATATATTTTATGGGTATGTGGTTTCCCTCAATCTTTTCCATTTGGCATCAGCATCCGGTAATTTCATTCCTATTTTTTTCCAATATGATTTTAGGCTTGACTAGGGCAGCAGCCCACTTGGAGTAAGTTCCAACTGAAATCTTTGATGTTAAGGCAAATAAAAGTCACCTAACCAACTGTTTTCAATAAAATTCGGTTCTCTGATATTTGACGATCATCCTCTTTAGGCAGTATTCCACACACCAAGAACTGCTCAAGATCATAATTATGTTAAATACACAGCACTTTCTGTGTGAGAATATAATCCTTGACTGAGCTAACATCAGTGGTTACTTAGCCCTGTGAAAATATCAGTCATTCCCGATGTTTTCTTCCAGCACTTTCGTTTAAATACTGTTCACTGTTTTTGAAGAGGATTACCCTATTTCAATTTATCAAGTCCGATCAGCACTACAAGAGATAATTTAAATCAACCCCGAAGAAAACCTGTCACGATTTAATTCCCAGATATATGAAAGACCAGTTTAAGTTTCTAGTTGAAAAATTAAAGTGGGAGAAATTCAAGTCTGGAGGGCGAGCTCGCTTCATGGGCATTATGCCTGATCATGGTGTAATATTCATTTGACGGGTAGAAGACAAACCTTTGGCTGCCAATCCAAGAGCAATTAGTCTGCCAATTCCGCTCGCTGCTCCCGTCACCAAAGCAATTTCTCCGCGAATGTTTTTTCTCTGTGGGGGGAAAATCCATTTCATCGCCGACTCGAACACATAGAGCCAAACTCGTAGTATAACGCAGGCTATTTCCCAAATCATGCCAATCACATATCCTTTTCCCGTGAAAAACAGGGCGAAAAGAATGCCTTGAATGGACATAAGAGCGTATAGCACATATACCAGCGCCATCACCCTAAACGAGTTGACAAGTTAATCTTTGTAGGCTGATGCGTATGATGTTCGGTGTGCTTTGTTTGGAGGCAGCTGTCTCATTCCATTTCCGGAAAACTGGGGAGAGGAAGTCGGCTTGAATATTGGGAGAAATAAATTTGTTGTTCTTATAAAAGACGCCACAAACAGGAAAAGGTCAGCTCGTCACCCTTAAGAAAAGAGAAAATAATTTCCGACTAGCCACTCAAAAATCTAGAGGTTCACTCATAAACGTTGTCGTACATGTAGCTGTCAATTTTTTTCTGTCATAGGCAACATCAGTATTTATAACTTTAAAAATAAAAACCAAGGTTTATTGAAGAACAAAATGTAAAATATTTTTATTTATTTTCCGATGCTTCTCTCGGCTCAACAGCTGAAATCACTCTATGCCGGCAGAAGAGGATCCACATACAGCACTATTCTTCTTCCGCCATTTTGAATATCCCATATGCCTTTGCACGCATTATTGTGAACCCGCGATATTTTGGTGTTAAGATTGAATCATCTGAAAATATGAAGTAATTTCGAGAACTGGTAGGGTTAGCTATTTTGCCGTTTTTTTCGGCTACGTGTTACCTAATTTGCTATCACGATGTGATATTTTTGACACAATATTATAAACGTCGCAAATGAGTGGCAACAGTGTTGTTCTGCAACGTGTAATTCGACCAACACCGCGATTTAAATATTCATTGAGGGACTTGTAAAGTCATGTTGGAGAGCTTGGCAGCATGGGTTCTGAGAACTTACGTTGGAGAATACGTGGAAAACCTTAACACTGACCAGCTTTCCATCGGCTATGGTATGTCAGAATAACGTGTAAGCTTGTTTATACTTCTCATTGAAAACCTTTGATCAATTATAGGCGGGATTGTTGCGTTACACATTATCGAATTAATATCGATATGTGTTAAATTTAAACTTATCTTGGTGATATCCCTGGGATATGAACATTTTGTGACTTTAGGAAAGCGTGAGTATGGCTACTGGATACCTTTAGTCCTATTGACCATAAAGTAATTTTCAATTATAATTATTCTGACGAGGTGACTCTTAAATAGACATTCTCCGCTTGGTTATAAAATATGATTGTGTATGGTGCCTGCAAAGCAAAAGTGTGTGCAGCTTTCGGTCTGTATGGGGCACCGTAAGCGGAAAACGTAGTTTTCAATTTCAGGAAGGTGTGTTCACCCAAATGTTAGAAAAGGACACAAATTGCAAGAGCTCTGTCGATTTGCTTGAACAACATCCAGGAATGATGTTATTAATATTTGCTATCTGAATAATTAAAATTAATTTCAAAATATGTATCTCCTGGTGGATACGTTGCAGGAGGTAAAATTTTCAATAGTTCATGTTTATTTGTAAGGTATTGATGAACATTTGTTTTGTGTGGAGTTTTTTCATCTAGTTGCTTAATCTGACAGCTCAAATATTTACATTAAGGTACATTTTATAACATTATCTGAGCACCTTATCAATGTTTTCATGTTTTTTGGTACATTTTGACTTTCTGGTAATGCAATTGAGGGACAAAGATTTCTGGTTGTCTAACAAAAATATATGATGTTACAATCAAATTGCCTGCTTTGATTCTATGCAAGAAAAAATGAGCAGAGTAGACTTACAAAGTGAAAGTAGTTCTCACTATACTAAATTTCTGGAAATTAACTTTATTAAAAATGTAAAGAACACCTTTCAAATCACTTTGTTTTGGTAATGAAAAAGGGACACGGGCCATCCCTGCTGGCTTTCTTTCCCATGCTCAAGGTCATTCTTGATTCTTATTGATGCCAAATCTTTTTGCTATATGATATATATTTTATTGACCAAGTTTGTTTGGCCAAGATGGCTGGATATAAGCCATGTTCTTTTTTGTTTTCTGTGCTTTTATGGACCTTGACTTTGTCTTGGTCCACTTAGATGTTAAAAAAGAACTCAGCCAATATCCAGCCATCCTGAGCTCGTGCTTGGTCAATAACACATCTATATTTTATGGAGAAATTCAGTCTTGGTCATTCATGGGATTTAAAGGGTTAACCTTTACCTTCATTGATCTTACCAGGTACTGTTGATCTTCATAATCTACCACTAAAAAAGACAGCTTTGAAAGGGCTTGAGCTTCCATTAGAAGTTAAATCTGGATTTATTGGTCATCTGCAACTCTCAATACCCTTGCGTCGGCCAAAGTCTGAACCATGGATTGTACATATTAATAAGCTTTATCTTGTTGCTGGCCCTCTTAAACATTCAGAGGTAATGTCAAATTAATGTGTGTATATCTTTTTAGCTTTAGTATTTCTTTTTTCTGTAGCCATATATGATGCTGCTGTCGAAGACTCTCTCAGTGTGGTCTAGTTTGATTTTTTTTAAAATTTTATTTTGTGCATAACAGTGGATCAAAATTGAAAACTAACAGCCAGATTACTGGAGGATTCAAACAATTACTCACAGCTCTACTTCGTACAATTATTATAATAAAAAAATTAGCCATCCTAATTTCTTGCGCACTCAGGTGTTCATTATCTTTTGTTTCGAACATTGATCACCTCACTCAGTAACAAATGATTGGGCTTGTGTTAGTTAGTCACACATGTGCATGTACTGGTAGTTCACTCTGTTATCCAAAAGTGGTACAACTGACAGTGATTTAATTTTGTCTGTTTAGTACAATGAAGAAGAGGAAAAGGAGAGAGAAAGGACACGCAAGAAGAAATGTCTGGATGCATTGGAGGGTCAGTGGCTGGTAAGTTGTCTTGGTTCCTTTTTAGACCTGCAAACAGAACAGCATTTTGTACTTCTCATAACAGAATAAACTTAAGTTGATGGAGTTTCAGCTCTGTTAGTGTTTGGTGTTCATTTAGCACAACAAAAATTGGTTTAGATCTGTGACTTGTCTGCAGTTTCACTAGGAATCTCATAAAATAACTTGGGAAAGGCAATCAAACATTTGGTAATCAAACCCAGTCAATCACAATGTAACTCAACCCTAATTAACAACTGCATTGCTAAGTGGAGGTTGGGTGCCTGAAGCATCCAGGGGCCTCCACTTTTGGCAGCCAGCTCCTAGATGGAGACCTCTCCCATGGCTGGCAAATCCTAGCAACTCAGCCATGAGCCTCTACACAGGAAAGTGAAACAGGCACTTGTCACACTGAATAAACAGTGGAAAGAGGGAGGGAATAGATTGGGAAAACTGCTTGGACAATGAGCTGCCACTCCCCACAATGCTGCAAGTTCAGGCTCAAAGCACATGCTAGAATGCCTCAAATGAAGAGCATGGAATTCTGACACATGCATATAATTATGCAAAAAACTGCTGACTTCTAGAGAATGCTGATGCTCTTTGTTATTAACTGCATTAAATTGCATTTAACTGCATTCAAATCTGTCCATCAGATTGCTTTCTTGCATTTCGTGATAAAAAAAAATTGAATAAATTTTTCTGGGAACTTTTCTTTCTGGAAACCAGTCCCAATTGAACAAGTATGCATATTTTTTTACTTTGTTGAGGTAAAAAAATGGATAGAATTTTATAATAAGAACATTCTTTACATGGATATGCTGTATCATAGCCTTTCCAACCCCATAACAAATTGTAATTATGTGACTTTGGCACAAAAATCATTGAGGTGTGAATTGAGTTGCATGCTGTGGATTTTGTTGGTATAATAATTTTTCATTCATAATTTTCCATTACTATAAATGTTAGTCACAATTTAAATAAGGTCATCTAATTATTTGATTAACTTGAACAAAAAGTGTGTTTAACTTAGCCTTTTTCTGGGTCTACTGGGCAGTTTTTGATTGGAGAGTTTCTGAGAAATGTCATGGAAATTTAAATCATTTGATTGCTTTCAATTGTTGTAAATTGAGAGGTTCATTTTAGAGATCTTGGTGATGAATTTGATCATTTTCTGATTACAGAACTCAACTGAACACATTCCTTGATTGATAAGATTGTGTTCATTTAAGTTTGATTGGAAATTCATACGATTTTGTTTTGGACCATCTACTATGGATACATGGAAATTGTGCTGTGCAGTGTAATGTTCTAAGGTATGATACCTTTTTCTTTTTGACACAGGCTGGCAGAAATGAGACCAGTGGAGGCTTCTGGTCTGGTTCATGGTGGCCATCCTTGTACTCATCTTTCTCAACAACTATTGTTGAGAACTTACAGGTATCATTTTCAATTGGCTGCTCTCATCTCGCTTTGGCTTTATCTCTCTTCTTCAACTTTTGTTCAGATATTGTTCTGTTCCTTGTTTCCTCTTTTCCTTTCTTCCTCTGTTCTGTCATTCCCCTCATTACTGCTCTTTTATCCTTTTTTCCATCATCCTGTTGTTTTTCAACCCTGTAACCCTGAAGAGTTACAAGCATTTACTGTATTTACCCGTGTATAATGCGCGCCCGTGTATAATACGCACCCTAATTTTTTACCTCTTTTTTCCGAAAAAAAAGATTTCATGACAAATACCAAGAATTAAAACTTCTATTCTTTCACTTAATTAACAAGAGCTGGGAATTAATCAATAATATGTTTACAACAATTTCTAACTAGTTGTTACTACAAATATCGCACGCACCGAGCACCTATTTACAAGCTTTTTTATTCAGTAACAGTCAAACGTTTTATAAATGTTGTAACTTGAAGTCCTTATTAATATACCTAAATTCACAACTTGAATTATTATCATAACAGCCGTTCATAAACATTATTTCTACTCACAGTACTGCTGGTAGCTTGAATATAATTACTGCATTGCAATTGCGTGATTTAAGTAAAATGTTCAGTGTCTTTAAACAACGAAACCTTCAAATTCCGACTCACAGTCCGATTAGAATAGGTTTCGATGACTGAATCCTCAAGTTCATCAGTGATCTCAGTTGAATTGTAAACCAATTCATCTTGTGATCCATTCGAATTGTTTGTGCACTCACACTTCAGAGAGAGGCAGCGATCATTTACATGT